GAGTTGCCAGGAGTCAGAGCCCATGCAATGGCAGGTAACACACGCACCACAATTATATTAATAGACTGATAGAAACTCTTTTCTTCTCAAATCTACCTTACGTCCCACTTTATTTAAATCATGAAGTGAAAACAGAGTACCTTTCAGACAGAATTGAATGAGTTCATGTTAGGACATTTTTGCAGACACTCTGATTCAACACATGAAAAGTATTTTTATAACAACTGCTCAGAATATGATAAAGCTATATCTTTATTAGATGTTCATTACTTACTGATATCTCAGTCGTATATAGGATGAAACACTATGAATTCAAAGGAAGAGTTCTTTGTATATCTAAAAAATAAAGAAATAAGAGTCTAATGAATGCGGCATAGTGATTTACTTCAGTTTTAATCATGCTATTTAATTTCTGTCTTGCTCTACGATGAACACCATGAGCAGCAACAAATAGTATAATATATGGATCCTTTTTTAAAAAAAAAACTTGTCAGCCCTGGCCGGTGTGGCTCAGTTGGTTGGAGCGTAATCTTGTGCGCCAGAAGGTTGCTGGTTTGATTCCAGGTCAGGGCACATACCTAGGTTGCTGGTTCCATCCCTGTTCGGGGCTCGTATAGGAGGCAACTGATTGATGTGTCTCTTTCACATCAATAGCTCTCTTTCTCTCTCTCCCACCTCCCTCTCTAAAATCAATTTAAAAAAAAGAAAGAAACTTGTCATAATTTTAGAAAGCTTAAGCCTACATAAAACACACAGGGTGAAGATAATAAAAGATAATCCGGCCAGTGTGGCTCAGTGGATTGAACATAGTCCCATATACTGAGAGGTCCCAGTTTGATTCCTCGTCAGGGCACACGCCCAGATTGCGGGCTCAATCCCCGGTAGGGGGCGTGCAGGAGGCAGAGGACTGATGTTTCTCACATTGGCGTTTCTCTCTCTCCCCCTTCCTCTCTCACTAAAAAAATCAATAAAACATTTTTAAAAAGGTAATAAAAGATATAAAGACAAAAGTACTAATATACCAAATTGGTTATAATTAGGCGCTGAAATATGCAATTTAAGGAATTTTTTTGTTTTTTTAAATTGACATTAGCTGATGTTATTGAAAATCATAAAAAAGGTGGAATCTTAAATTATTCATTAAGGATTGGTAGGACCTGGGCAGAAAGAGACCAGAGAAAAAGTATTCAAAACAATAACATGATCAAAGGCACAAAACAAAAAATTACAGCTGCAAGTGAAAAAACTAGCTTGGCATATTAATAGGAAAGGGCCTTCCTGGCCCGTGTGGCTCAGTTGTTGAGCGCTGACCCACGCACCAAATGGTCACCAGTTCACGTCCCAGTCAGGACACCTGCCCAGGTTGTGGGCTCAATTCCCAACAGGGAGCGTGCAGGAGGCAGCCAATTGATGTTTTTCTCTCATGGATGCTTCTATCTCTCTCTCCCCCTCTCCCTAACTCTTTAAATGTCAATAAAACATGTTTTTTTTTTGGGGGGGGGGTGCATTCATCTTCAGAAAGAGCAGGAGGAAGAGAGAAAGCGAAACATCGATGTGAGAGAGACACATCGACTGGCTGCCGCCCACACAACCCCAACCGGGGGCTGGGGTCAAACTGTAACAGCAGGACTACATTCTAACCGCTGAGCCAAATCAGCCAGGGCAAAACATGTTTTGTTGTTGTTGTTGTTTTTAAAAAGGGCCAGATAGTGAAAGGCCTTGGAAACTTTGGACCTAGTTCTACGGGCAAGAGAGAAATATTTTAAGATCCATTACCAAGTAGGAAGATGACATGATACAGGTAACTGTATTTTAGGAAAACTGGCTAGTGTTATGATTGATGGAAAGCACAGAAAGTCAGATCACCCGAGGACATGCTTAGAAACAGGAAGGGTGGGGGCGGGGAGGGGGATGAGAGAAACATCAATTAGTTGCCTTCTGTATGTGCCCTAACCGACTGGAGACAGAACCTGAAACTGGACATGTGCCCTGACCAGGAATCAATCCGGCAACCTTTCTGAACACAGGACGATGCTCAACCAACTGAGCCACTCCCGCCAGCTGGGCTTATTTATTCTTTTGAGGCTAAATTTCTTTAGCCCCAAATGTACTGTTATAACTCTAAGATGTGTTTGATTCCTTTTTTTTACTTCTTTCTCAACAGTCTGTTACCAACTCCTGGTTATTTTTCCCTCAGAATGCCTTGCACACATATCCTTCCCTTTCTAGTCCTACTGCCAGTACCTTAACACAGGGTTTCTGTGTCCTCCCCTCCAGTCTTTCCGCCCTTATCTCAACTTCAACATTCCTGCCAGGTTAATCTTCAGAAACACCCCTGCACACATTATCCCCTGCTCAGAAATCTAGGAAGGCTCCCTACTGCTTGAAAAAACAACCGAAACCTAAAAGCCTTCACTGGCAATGGAGAGTACCAGCAAGCTGCCCTGATTGTTCACCATCATCTCAAGACCCAACTCAGCGGGGAGGAGGGGGTCAATGGGGGACAAAATGGGGACATCTGAAATACTTTCAACAATAAAGATTAAAAAAAAAAAAGACCCAACTCAAATTCTATCACTAGTCTAGACTACGACAGTCTAGTCCAACAAAAATATGAGGCAAGCCACAAATGTAATTTTAAATGTTTTCACAGCCATATTGAAAATTTTACAGGCGAAGTAAGTTTTAATATATTTTTATTTAACCTGATATACCTAAAATATTTCAACATGGAATCATTATTAAGTTATTGAGATATTTTACTTTTTTTTTTTTGGATTAAGTCTTTGAAACCCAGTGTGTATTTCATATTTAGAGCACATCTCCATTTGATCTAACCACAATTTCAAGTACTCAACAGCTACACGTAGCTCCTGGCTACTGTAATAGCACAGGTCTAGACTCTAAAATCAATGCTTCCCAATGCAGAGCACTGTGTTCTGCCACTCCTAAAGTGCAGGTTGGCACCACTCTATTTTTATGAACATGTCTTAGGCTTGATTTTAATGGTATCACCAACCATTTAGTCTCCCAGACAAAAAACCCTGGAGTCATCCTCTTACCACCAAATTGGCTGCCAGTTGAGTCCTATTTTGACATTTTAGAAACGTCTGACATCCTTTACTATTCTACCTCAGTTGAGGCACTTATTACCTTACCTGAATGATTGCAATTTCCTCATCTATTTTTCCTGTTCCAACTTGATCTTCCATATAGCTGTCATCCTTTTAAAAAACACATATACTCATGCCCCCTCCTTGTGCAAAGTATTCACTGGCTTCCTACGAACTACTAAATAAAATTTCAAAACTTGTCAAATCTTTGCATTCCTGTGCTCCATCCAGGAATGACCTCCTCTTGAGTCTAGTAAATTGCTTTTGACCCTTCATGACCCAGCTCAAATATTTACTCCTTAATAAAGCTTTTTGGTGTCCTCAGGCAGTTCTTTCTTTTCACCTAGCACAAAATGGACACACAGAATATTTGTTGAATACATACTGAATGCATAGGTGAAGAGTAAAAGTGATCACCTTTGTGTGGCCAATACCACGCACAGCACTTAAAGCAACATAAAGGTGTACTGAGGTTAAGAATGAACGCTAACTACATCATACATTTCTTCTGGGCAGCGAGCGATTCTGATCATACTACTTCACTGCAATTATCTATCACAGTTACTTGCTCTCTCAATAATAATCTGCATGTTGATGACAACTAAGAAAAACTCTGCAAAATGCAAGGGAAAAGGGGATCTCAGTGCGGAGTCTCTTCCAGGTCAGCTCCAGAGAAGAACAGTGGTTTCCTACCAGGATCAAAGGGTTTGTAAGTTTTAAAAATTAAGAGATGGGCCCTGGCCGGTTTGGCTCAGCGGTAGGACCAGAGAGTCACAGGTTAGGTTCCCACTAAGGGCGCGTACCTCGGTTGCGGTTTGTCCCCGCCAGGGTTGGGGTGTGGGTGGCAGCCACTCGCACATGATGCTTCTCTCTCTCTCTTCCTCCCACTCTATCTGAAGATAAATGCAAAAATGTCCTCCGGTTGGGATTAAAAAAACAAAAATTAGGAGATGGGCAGTTGATAACTCAGGTTCGCCAGGTCACAGGACACCAGATTTGCCAGGGTTATGGCTAGTCTGACTTCCTGTCTCCTGAAAACCCTGTAAAATAGGTTGACTGTGGCTGGGGAGCAGGAGACACGGAGGGCCGAGAAATTTTTAATTAAAAAGGACGCCTACTTTGTTCCCAATGCTCAGCCTACTGGTCTCTCAACCCCAGAGGACGGGAAAACCCAGAGGGAGGAGACTGAGAAGCGGGAGCCACGAGGCGAAGGAGCCAAAGCTGGCGGCGGACGCACGCCGCCTGCGCGGAGCCTGCAAGGGCAGAGGGAAGCAGAACAGGGAGGGGAGGAGGGCGAAGGAGTGAGTCGTCCGGACTGCCACAGAAAGCCGAGACCTCTACCCCCTCGGAGAAGTCACTTCTCTTAACTTCGCTGAGCACTTCTGCCAAGAACGACCAGGACAGTTGCAACCGAAACCCGGGAGCACGTCCCAGCAGAGCCTGGGTGGGAGTTGGAGCGGGCTCTCCGGAGCGCCAGGACGCCCCCTCCCCCATCCAAAGGCTCCCTCTCTCCCGCCCTCACTTGCCTCGTCAGTCCTCCCCCAACGCCGTCCACTGCCCTTCCCAACCCCTAGTCGAATCCAGGTTCAAGAGCAAGGAAAGCTGACGCTCGCTCAGCAGCAGCCGTAATGACCAGCCAGCAGCAGCAGCTCCTCAGTGGCGGCCGCCATTTTGAAACTGGAGTCGAACCGCTGGGGCGGGGACACCCAGGGCGATACCATCTTCGGGTTGGGGTACAGGCGAAATGTAGGAAGGCGATGGCCCTTACACCAAGTCTAATCACCTGGGACCTAAGTTTTAGTTTAAAGTAATTTGTAATATATTAAAGCTAACGTAAATGTGAGAAGAGTCGAATGTGAAAAGAAAAAAGAGTTATGGTTTCGCAGTGCCACCCCTGCCTTGGAGCGGGCACGGCGAATGGAGTGTTCCTAGGCCTCGGCTTCCGCAGGCGCAGGAGGTTGGACTTGCCGCTGCCCTTGGTCGTGGGGTCGTTGCTGCCACCGAGACCGCAGGTGGGTCCGGGCTCGAGGGCGGCCGAGGCTCTGCGGGCCACCGTTGTGCAGGTGGGGAGGGTGCACCCCTAGGAAAGCCCTGGACGATGGAGTGTGGGGTGTCTGGGTCTCGCCGGGCCCGGCCTTTCCGAGCTTCAGAGCGAAGGAGACGGGAAAAGGAAAGGGAGGTGGGGTTTCTCTTGATGGACGGCTGGGCTCACGTTTGCCGTCTCGGGGCTGTTCGAAAGGGTGCCCTGAGGCTGTCGTAACTGGGAAACGTATTCGAGACTTCGCGGGGGCCGCCCCCGGCTGGACCCCGATGCTGGGCTGCTGCAGGGAGGGAGCCTGTTATTCTTGCACGTTCCAGCGTCTGTCTTTCTCGTTGCTCACAATTGGAAGCCAGTCTCGCTCTCACTTGTACACCTCAAACCCTCTTGTGCCGACCATTCCACAAAATGTGCACTTTTAATAGTATTATTTACTTTGTGCTTGGTTCCTGGGGTATATGTGTCGTGAGGACAGGTGACTTCAAGGAATTCCATTTCTCTGTGCATCCAGCACTCTTTTTCCATCAGTTAAATCGACACTTTTTGATCAATACATATAAAGTGCTGTAGGGACCAATTAAAAAATAGAAATAGACATATATTTAAAATTTTAAGTACCTTTATTTTTCCAACGTGAACTCGGAGTGACTGACAAAAATACGCACCAGATAGTTTATTGGAAGAGACAGTAAGGCACAAATAAAGAGCGAGCCAGACTGCCTATTAATCCCAGCTCTGCCACGTACTGCATCTGTGACTTTTGGCAAGTTGATTGTCCCTGGATTGCCTCATCTGAAAAAAATATATCTACTGCATTGGGGACATTTGATCAGTTGTATGATTCCTTAAATCCATAAGAAAAATCAACTAGCTTCCCTCCCTTGCCCCCCCAGGAATACCATAGCTACTCCCAATTCTGAAGTAAGAGCAAAATTTTTCTTGAGTCTTTATATGAAGAAGACATTAATACAGGGTGGGCAAAGGTAGGATTACAGTTGTTTGTATAGAAAATATACAGTAAATAAAAAATAATAATACAAGAATAAACTGTGTTTTGCATACTCAACTGTAAACTTACTTTTGCCCACCCATGTGTGTACAGTGCCCTCGTGGGCACCCATGTGAATGTCACTCTTCATCCAAAGCTAGGCTTGTCTCATTGGAGCCTGTCCCAGGACGTCTACCTTTTCCCACCCTTTATAGTCTTGGGCTGTTGACCAAGAGCCTGAAAGCCTGTCTGTGCTCCCGCTCCTGTCCATTCTCCAAGGAATCATGCTAGCTCGGTTTTTATGTCCATAAATCTTTGTCTTCCTTGGTCATCCACTACAGTGAAATAAGCAGGAAAAATGATGTTCAGTGCTGCTCTCCCAAAGTCCATTAAATTATAGGTTTTACAATGGTAATGTGAAATACCTCTGGGACTAAGATTTGCCATTTACTTCTTAGAGATGAAATCAGGCTTCCTTCATGGCGGGTGAGTCCAACTCTAGATTTTATTTTACTTATTTTTAAATTTTTTTAATATATATGTTATTATTATTGATTATTTTTTTCTTAAGAGAGAGGAATGGAGAGAGATAGAAACATCGATGGGAGAGAAATATCTATTGGCTGCTCCTGCACGCCCCCCTACCTAGCTCCAGCCTGCAGTCTAACCAGGAGTCCAACCAGGGGGCGTGCAGGAGGCAGCCAATCAATGTTTCTCTCACATTGATGTTTTTCTCTCCCTTCCTCTCGCTCTCTAAAAAAAATCAATAAAAAAAATTTTTTTTAAAGAAATATATAAAATTAGTTGGTGACTAAACTGTAAAATATTACACCATAATTTTCTAGATCAGTGACATGCAGACAGGAACCTTCTGTAATATTACATTCTATAAAAGACAGTATATTAGTATAGTCACACCTCACATCACATTAGTGTGCTTCATGGTATTGTATTTTTTACAAATTGAAGGTTAGACACTCTACCAGCAAAAGGACTATGACTTGCCCTGGCTGGTTTGGCTCAGCAGTTAGAGCATCGGCCCAGAACTGCAGGGCCTAGGGTTTACATTACCATTGTAGAATCTATAATTTAATGGACTTTGGGAGAGCAGCACTGAACATCACTTTTCCTGCTTATTTCACTGTAGTGGATGACCAAGGAAGACAAAGATTTATGGACATAAAAACTGAGCTAGAATGATTCCTGGTCAAGAGCGTATACCTGGGTTGCAGGTTTGATTCCTGGCCCAGATCAGGGTGGTCGGGGTTCTGTAGGGAGGCAACCAATGGATGTGTCTCTCTCACATCGAAGTTTCTTTCTCTCTCTTCCCCTCCCTCCCTCCCTTCTACTCTATCTAAAAATAAATGGAAAGATATCCTTGGGTGAGGATTAACCAAAAACAATGTGTGTGTGTGTGTGTGTGTGTGTGTGTGTGTGTGTTTATTGGGATACTTGCTTTATTTTGTGGTCTGGAACCAAACTCGTAGTATCGCCAAGGAATGCCTGTAGTGCAATTTTTAGCTTAATGTCCATTTCCTAACCCAGTGCCTTTAAATGGGAGTGAGTGATTCAAATCTGAGAAATGAAGAATTAGAATGTGTAAGTGTGAGAATCGGTGCCTTAGAAGGAGAGGCAGGAATTCAGTCTACACAATCCTAACACAATTTAGTGCTAAACACTTCTGTTAGCAGTAATGTATAGTCATGTACCGTATAAGGACGTTTCAGTCAACAGCAGACAGTGTGGAGGATGGTAGCCCCAAAGATAATGATGGAGCTGAATTTCCTGTAAGAAATGGAGGGATGTGTGGTTCAGGAGGAATGTTTTCTCTCTGCTGGAGTAATACCTGGGACTTGTCAGGAGGTTCCCAGTCACTCACAGCAGCTCGGTTTGGAGTGCAGGGATGACACCCCAGCCCCAGCACTGCACTCAGAGGGCGCTGCACCCTCCCGGATGGAGCGCCAAGGTCTTCAGACAGCATTGCTGCGAAGTCTTTGTTCAGCACCTGAGACCCTGGACAAGGACACGGGTGCACAGGAGCTGCCTGAACAAGGATTAAGTGCCTCTGCCAGTTAGTAAAGCTTCCTGTGCAGTCTGGAATCACTCCCAGGTTGAGTGAGGTAACGTGTAGGTACGTTTTATTTCTTCCATCAGTTCAACGCCAGAGAGAGCCCTTTGTGCCAGATAGGGTCAGTGGAACCGAAAACAAATCTCCAAAGTCAAACTGTTACGTCCTCAGGTCTATATTCTGTCCATGTTAAATGCCTTTTTAAAAATTTTGTTATTTTTTAAATCCTCATTTGAGGATTTTTTCCATTTTATCTTCAGATAGAGCAGGAGGGAGGGAGGGAGGAAGAGAGAGAGAGAAACATCGATGTAAGAGAGACTCATCGATTGGTTGCCACCCGCATGACCCCAACCTGGGCCAGGGACGAACCGCAACCATGGTACAAGCCCTTGGCCAGAGTCGAACCTGGTACTCTTTGGTCTGCAGGCGGACGCTCTAACCACTGAGCCAAATCAGCCAGGGCTTAAATGCCTTTTTTATGAATTCCAGAAAGTTCCTTAATCTGACCACTGCTCCAACATGCAGTAGCCGAAACCTCATTGCCATGACAGTCCCCTGTGTTCCTTTATCCTCCCATCTTGATTTCTTGTTCCTGCGGACCCTCCAGCCGCCTCTCACTCTTGACAGTCACTATTAGGGTGAGCTTCACTTTCCCCGGCCAGTTTCTCCTCGGCATTTCTCATCAGTCCAGCCCACCTCCCTGTTCATGGAGCAGCACGGACAGCTTCCAGGTTCTGTTTCTGACCCTGTCAGAAGGAAGCAGGGGAAGGGCTTATGGGACAGTGTTTATAAAGTCTACAGTAGTGTCCAGTAGTGTCCTAGGCCTTGACATTCACTCGCTCACTGCCTCACCCAGAGCAGCCTCCAGGCCTGCAAGCTCCATGCATGGTCAGTGCCCTGCACAGGTGCACCATTTCTTATCTCACCATTGTTTTACAATTGCCTGCTGTTCAGTAGAGTAACATGCTGTACAGGTTTGTGGCCTAGGAGCAGTAGGCTAGACCATCTAGGTTTGTGCAAGTGTACTCCATGATGTTTGCACAACGAAATTCCCTAAGGATGCATTTCTCAGAATGTATCCCTGTCATATGACTGAATTCTCTTTCTAGGGTGTCATCAGTGTCTTCTCAGCCATTCTCTATGAGTTATTCATTTTAGATTCATGCACACAAGGATGTATTTTGATTTAATGTTTATGTTCAAATTTTTACAGAAAATTGACAATTCAACTATGATGTTATTGAATTAGTCAAATTTATTTTCCATATGATGACTTTTAGTTCTCATATTCCTCCTCCTCCTCTGCCTTTGGAAACTCTTAGAACTTAAAAGCTCTTAAGGCCTTGGCCGCTTTGGCTCAGCGGTTAGAGTGTCAGCCCGCGGACCAGAGAGTACCAGGTTCGGTTCCCGCTAAGGGCACATACCTCGCTTGCAAGTTTGTCTCTAGTCCCCAGTTGTGTGGGTGGCAACCACTTGATGTGTCTCTCTCATGTCGATGTTTCTCTCTCTCTTCCTCCCTCTCTCCCTCCTGCTCTATTTAAAGATAAATGCAAAGATGTCCTCGGGTTAGGATAATAAATAATGCAAAAGAAAAAGCTCTTAAGTACCATAAAGATCAGTTTGGGAGCAGTCTGAGAGGCACTGTGATCTAATGTAAGGCATCCAGAGCTTTGGAGCAAACCTGAGTTTGAATTCCAGCTCTGTACTTAATATCTATTTGAGTTAAGCTTCTTTCTTATGTATAATGAGGATAGATATAGTTGTTTCATATTATATAGATTATACTGTGATGTCTCTGGTACCTATTAGTCATTTTATAAAAGTAAGTTCCCTTCTCGCCATGTCTTTTGTAGAGTCATTTAATTGTCATTCAAATCTACTGTGATATTACTGAATTTTTGTTTGTTTTTTAAATCCTCACCTGAGGATATTTTTCTATTTATCTTCAGATAGAGCAGGAGGGAGGGAGAGAGGAAGAGAGAGAGAGAGAGAAACATCGGTGTGAGAGGGACACATCGACTGGTTGCCACCCACTCAACCCCAACCAGGGCCGGGGATGAACCACAACTGAGGTACATGCCCTTGGCTGGAATCAAACCCACGACTCTTTGGTCCACAAGCCGATGCTTTTTTAACTGTTGAGCCAAACTGGCCAGGGCTATTTTTGTTTCTTTATTTCTCTCATATTTTTTCATTTCCTTTTAAAAATTAGTTTTTGGCTTTGCACAATGGTGGTATATATAACCAGTGAGGTTTATTCTAGACAAGATTGTTGCTAATTGAAAATATAGCGTTCAGTAATTATAGCTTTATCTAAAGAATCCTGCTTCTGGCAGAATAGTATCATTCTGTATTTGTTTTAGCATTGTGAGAGGTTCTAAAATTATTTTACACATATAAATGTTTTAAGTCAATACTAGGTGGGTACAAATACTCAGGTTTTCCAGGTAGAATTTATATTCTCCATTTCTCTGCACTATCTCATCAGGTCACTGATAAAGCTAGGAAAAAAGTTAATAAACTGTCTTTAGTGCATCATAATTTTTATATTAATCATTGTCATCTACATCTTTATCAAGTAGATTTTAAGTAGTACACGACATTCCTATGCCAAGCAAATTTAAAGAACCTGATGCTTTTAATATCTATTTCTATGTTCAGGGCTATCATCCTGTTTCAGATGCAATTTAAAAGATATTTCAAAGACAGTTATATTTCTGACAATTTTTTTTTTTTTTTTCCTAGCAGTCAGGATGAATTTGATTCAGATTGTGCGTGACCACTGGGTACATGTACTTGTCCCTATGGGATTTGTCCTTGGATGTTATCTAGACAGAAAGAATGATGAAAAGCTAACTGCCTTCCGGAACAAGAGTATGTTATTTAAAAGGTTAGTTTGGGCATATTTTTAAACCAACAATTAGCCAGATTTTGGAAGTTTTCTTAACATCATATACGCCAAAAATAAACAGAAGGGGTAACTGCCCTTACACCAAGGACTTAGATTTAAGTGATATTATTTTGTAGTCTTGTTTGTTGTTTAATACTTGCATACAACTGTATGATTACATTTGGAATGTAAACAAATCTTCAGTTTATGAACAGGCTACTTCATATACAGCTTTCACATATATTATTATGTACTGTCCTACTTAAGTCATGGGGTAGCTGAAATAAATGGTGCTAATAGTGGCTTGGTGCTCTGTTCTCAGCAATACAGCCTGAGAGCTTTAGACGTGGTTGAGTGACCAGATGGCAATAGGTAGCTGCCTGACTGTTGTGTCTCTGAAGATGGCTCCTCTGGCAGCAGAGAGAGTTAGCAAGATGGTGTCTGCCCCTGGATGTGCAGTGGGTAGGGGGACACTCAAGGGACAAGAGAACTGAGCAGCACTCACAGGCATTATAGAGGAAGATATAGTCAAGGATTTCAGGAAAGATAGCATGAGCTGGGAAAGAGCTAGAAACATCAAATGAACTCAGTGAGCTTTCCTAGGAAGATAGACTAAGAAATTGCAGTTTCATCTGGAAACAATTGAAAAGGTAGTAAAAGTTGAAAATCCTGAGAGAATAGAATGACTATGTTGAATCAACAGAAGATCTTTTAAATGGGTTAATTTAATAGAATATAAAATATTGAGTTTATATTATGCTGATTTTTCTATTTATCCCCTCATAAAAGTTGTGTTTATACTTTTTCCTTTCCTTCCTTTTTTCTTCCCACACAGGGAATTGAGACCCAATGAAGAAGTCACCTGGAAGTAAAGGAGTAAAGGCTGTGGCTGAATTACAGAATGTTCACAGTTTTTTAAATTGAGAAAAATAAAAACACATTTAATTTGAACAATTTGGACTGTGGTCCTTTTAATGCTGAAGTAATCTTTCACATTTCAAGTAATAGGCACACTAGCTTTAAAAATAATTCCTGAGTGCCTGATTGTGTACCTTGACATTAACTTTGCAATGAGCATTTAATTTGCTGGTACTTATTTTAGACCACAGTAATCACTCGTGTCTCCAATTTTTTCTTCATATATTTTTCAGAAAAAATTTTTTTCAAACCATGTGCTTCAAAGGAGCTTTAAAAGGATGATGCTAAGATTTTACTTGTAATAAAAAGAAATGATCTATTGATACAACAGAGATGAATTTCAGGTTAATTAATCTGAATGAAAGAAGCCAAACAAAAAGAGCATACGCACACACACTATATGATTTCATTTATATAACACTTTAGAAGCTGCAAACAAATCTTTAATAAAGATCAGTGGTTGCCTGGGGTACCAGGGTGCAGAAAGGGGTTGGAAGGAAGAAGGACAGAGGGACACATGGAAATGGGTATAGTATGTTAGTTTTCTTGACTGTGGTGATGGTTTCATGAGTGGATATATATGTCATCTGTTATTTTCAACTACTACTTATTGGGAAATTATCTTGTAGGTAAGATTGAGTGTAGAAGTAAATTTACAATGAACTAATACTCCCTCCTTAGAACTGATTCTTGTCAGAACTCAGGACACAAATTGACACATTATAAATTTTTAAATGTTGCCTGGCCAGTGTGGCTTAGTGGTTGAGCATCTACCCATGCACCAAGAGGTTGCTGGTTTGATTCACAGTCAGGGCACATGCCCAGGTTGTGGGCCAAATCCTCAGGCGGCGGCTAGTCGATGTTCTCTCATTGATGTTTCCATCTCTCCCTCTCCCTTCCTCTCTTTCTAAAAATACATGGAAGAAAAAAAAATTTTTTTTAAATAAATAATAATAAAATCCTGAAGCTATTTGGTTTTTAGTAACAAAATGCCAGTTTAAAAGGTACAATGTTCAAGGAGGCAGAAAAATATTGTTGCAATCTCCCTTGTTAACAGTTTCAATGAAGTGGATTAGAGAAAAGCTGAGTTGTCCAAGGTAAATAGGAAGTACTAGAAGTGCATGTGTTCCATCTACCCTGTCTCCAGGAACTCTCCCATTAGCTCAGTAACCTCTCTCCCCTACTTAATTATAATACTTTTTTTGTTCCAATCAGTCAAAAAAAATTCATGCATTAATTCACTCTTCTGTACCAACCCTTGATATATACAGTACATAAGGAGTAAAACTCCTCTGACCCTCAAAAGCTGAGTCTAGTAGCATATAAAGTAGTAATTTCAGTATGCTGTAATAAATGCTTTAATTCAGGCATGTGCAAGGTATGGTGGTGGCACAAAGGACTTCTCATCAGAGAACTTCCTGGAGGTCTAGGGGAACAGCTGGTGTGACTGGAGCGGAGGGAATTCAGGGAGATAAAGCTAGATTGGTGATTGGTCCAGATCACAAAGGGCTTTTTAAGTCGGCATTGGGAAGCCACTGAAGGATTTTAAATAGAGTGAGATTTGTGTAATTATTTACAGATCCCTCCCAACATGAGCTCTAAGAGGGCAGGACTTTTGTCTCTCATGGTTGTCATCCCAGTGCTTGGCGCATAGTAGCCCTTCATTTGTTAAATGAAAGAAGAGCTGGTGAAATTTGCATTTTTAAGAGAACACAGCACTGTGAATGAAACATTGACATTGGAAGCAGAAGACCAGATATCCTCCGCCTGGACTGCACAAGGAATCAGAGGACTTGGACTGAGTAGTAGCAATGAAGAGGGGAATGAGGAGTGAATACACAGTACGCATTTGAGGACTGATTGGAACAAGGGGTTAGGTGGGAGAGTTTGGGAAAAAGAATCAAGAAATGATTTCCAGACACCTGGCTTCATCAATTCATTTGAAAGACATCAACTGTTAGATACACGAAGTCAAATAAGACATTTATAGGGTATTGGTGAAGATGCGTGACTAAATCAACTACTGTGATACTGTGTAAGAGGCATCATATGAGAGAGGCACACATTGGGGCTCAGAGGAGGGACAGGGACTTCTAAATTTGTTGGACAGCAGGGAAGGCTTCCTGGAGAGTACGGTCATTGGGTTTTGAAGGACAATATGCATTATCTTACAAAGTTTAGGACATGTCAAATATCAAATTTAGTTTCAGAATAGGAAATGCAACAAATCTAATAGCCAAATTATGCATGGCTTCAGAGGCAAGACCGAAACCAGAACCTGCATTCTGACTCCCAGGCATTGATGCTTGCTATTAATCACATTTTCAATACGTCAGGAAGGCCTAGTAAAATGACTGGTATTAATTCAACATTACTAAATATTGTCAGGCAGTGTTCTAGATGATACAAATTTGACAGTGAGCAAAACGAGAGGTCCTGTGGGTAGCATATATCCTAGTAAGCAATTAATCACTGTAGAAAGTCGAATCATGACCCACCAAAATTCAAGTCCACCCAGAATCAAAGACCTTATTTGGAAATAGGGTCTTTGCCAATGTAATTAGTTAATGATCTCAATATGAAATCACCTTGGATTAAGGTGGAACCTAAATCCAATCACTGGTATCTTATAAGAGGAGAAGACACAGAAGGAAGGCCATATGAAGACACTGGTAGAGATTGGAGTTGTGTGGCTATAAGCCAACTAATGCCAGGAGCCACCAGAAGCTGGGAAGGAAGAATTGTCCCTTAGAGACTTCAGAGCATGGCCAGGCTGATACTTTGGGTTCAGACCTCTGGCCTTAAGAATAGTGAGAGATGCCTAGCTGGTGTGGCTCAGTGGTTGAGCATGGACCCATGCACCAAGAGGTCACTGGTTCGATTCCCGGTCATGGCACATGCCCAGGTTGTGGGCCCGATCCCCAGTGGGGGGCATGCAGGAAGCGGCCAATTGATGTTCTCTCTCATCGATGTATCGATCTCGCCCTCTCCCTCTCTCTCACTAATATCAATAAAGAAAAAGAAATGAAAAAAAAAAAAAGGAATAGTGAGAGAAGGGGGCTGGGACAGGAAATGCTAAAACAAAGAACTTTTATGCATATATGCATAACCAATTGACACAGACAAGAGTGCCACGAAGGTGCAGGTTTGGGGGTGGGGGTGGTCAACGGGCAAATAAAGGTGGGACATCTGTGATACTTTCAACAATAAAGATAATTTTTTTTAAAAAAAAATAGAGAATTTCTGTATTTTAAGTCACCAAGTTGGTGGCAATTTACTACAGCAGCCCTAGGACATGAATACAATCACACATTTTTCTGAATAATACACTAATATAGAGTTAAAAAATCAAGAAAAAAAATGTGTACAGTGAAGTCTCCCTCCCACCCCTGTCTCCTATTTACCTAGCTCCTTTCCCATCTCTAACAGGTAACCTCTGGGTTTCCTGTAGATTCTTCCAGAGATTTATAATACACAAATACACACAAATGTTTCTCAACACAGACACACACTTTCTTTTTAAAAAAGTCAGAAAAAAAATGTTTTGTATATTTTTCATTCCGTGAGACTGTGGTTTGTTTCCCCAATTAGGCCAAAATTCCTTAAGAACTTGGACTGTTGCCCTGGCCGGTTTGGCTCAGCTGTTAGAGCGTCGACCTGCGGTCCAGAGACCCAGGTTCTGTTCCCGCTAAGGGCATGCACCTCGGCTGCAGTTTGTCCCGGGCCCTGGTTGGGTCGTGTGGGTGGCAGCCACTGGATGTGTCCCTTTCACATGGATGTTTCGCGCTCTCTCTTCCTCTCTCTCCCTCCCATTCTATCTGAACAAAAAATGGAAAAATGTCCCCGGGTGAGGATATAAATAAATAAATAGATAAATAAATAAATAGATAGATAAATAAATAAATAAATAAATAAATAAATAAATAAATAAAATAATAACTCAGACTGTTTACCCAACACCACAGGGCTGTGAACTGTGCATGCAGAGATGGTGGATAAGTGGTAACCGAACCCTCCACTGAGCACCTGGTCTTCACTAGCAGTCTCAGTCGCCTTACTGCCCGCTGCCCCTCCTGTTCCTCTGAACCTGCACTCACCGAAGTCACCAGTGGCCTCTACAGCAACAAAATTTAGTGGGCCTTTGTCCTTATGTTGCTGGATGGCTGCTCCGTGAAAGCCCTTTTCAGAGCTTTCATAATATTACACGCTCCTGTTTTTCCTCTCTTCTCCTGGGCTTGTACTTCTCTGCCCTCAAGGCTCTGCTCTAGATCCTCTTCTCAATCTCCCTTTTTCCCCTTTATGATTTTATTCACACTTGCGGTATCAGTTGCCCTTTCTATGTCAACAATACACTGTTCCACAGCCAAACCAGCCTCCTGCACTCCAGGTCATACACACATCCAACCGTTACTCAACATAATTACTTAACGTGGTTTCCAGATGCAAGATCTGCTCCTAGTCTATGCGGTCAGCTTCATCAAACTCTTCCACCCTCTGCCCCCAACTTGACTGGACCTTTCTCGTCCCTCAACTGACACTTGATCTTCCGGACCCAAACACATAAGATCAATAACACGGTGTCTGGATTGGGGCCCCAGCCCAGAACCTTGGATGCTGTGCTGTTCACATCTTCTCTGTGCCTCAGTTTACTCATATGTGAAATAGGGAAAATAACAACACCTGCATCAAATGTTGCTGTATTAAATTCCTTATATCCAAAGTTCTTAAGAGTGCCTACCCTACAGTAAACCCTATACCTGTGTAAATATTAACTATCATTTTTACACAAGTGCTAGGTATTGGGGGATGCAATGATGCTTGTTCCTTTCTTTTGTTTGTTTGTTATTTGTTTTTGTTAATCCTCACCTGAGGATATTTTTCCATTAATTTTTTTAAAATTTTAAATAAAGTGTAAGGGAAGGAGAGGTAGAGAGAGAGAGTGAGAGAGAGAGAGAGAGAGAGACATTAATTGGTTGCCACCCACATGACTCTACCAGGGGTGAGAGTAAACCTGCAACCAAGCTGCATGCCCTTGCCAGGTCCTCAAACCAATGACCCTTCCGTCTAAGGCATGACACCCTAACTGCTGGGCAAAACTGTCCAGGGCTGACTCTTGTTTCTTCTCTCTTTTTTTTTTTTTATTGATTTTAGCGAGAAAGGAAGGGAGAGGCATGAGAGAGATTGGCCGCCTCCTACATGCCCCCCACTGGGGATTGGGCCCACAAGTTAGGCGTGTGTCCAGACCAGGAATCGAACTGGTGACCTCTTGGTGCATGGGTTGTCATTCAACCACTGAGCCACACCGGCCTGGCTGATGCTTGTTTCTTTCTTTTCTTTTTTTAATCCTCACCAAAGGACATTTTTGCAGTCATCTTCAGATAAAGCAGGAGGGAGGGAGGAAGGAAGAGAGAGAAACATCCATGTGAGAGAGACACATTCAGTGGCTGCTTCCCACATGACCCAACCAGGGCCAAACTGCAACGGAGGTACGTGCCCTTAGCGGGAACTAAACCCAGGTCTCTCAGGACCACAGGCTGATGCTCTAACCGCTGAACCAAACCATCCAGGGCTGATGCTTGTTTTTTATTTATTTTTTTGGTGGTACATGCCCCTAGTGGGAACCAAACCCAGGTCTCTCAGGACTGCAGGCTGATGCACTGCAGGCTGATGCACCACAGGCTGATGCTCTAACTGCTAAGCCGAACCATCCAGGGCATCCAGGGCATCCAGGGCTGATGCTCGTTATTTATTTATTTATTTATTTATTTATTTTTATTTTTTAATTATTTATTTATTTATTTGTTTGTTTGTTTGTTGGTACGTGCCCCTAGCGGGAAACGAACCCAGGACTCTCTGGTCCACAGGCTGACACTCAACCGCTGAGCCAAACTGGCCAGGGCTGATGCTTGTATTTTAATGAGTCTTTCAGTGGGGGTCATAGGGGAAAGATATTAAATAATTATAATCAAATATAAGTAGAAAGTACAAAGTAAAATGGGAAATGAAAAGAACATAGAATTTAGGAGGTCATTAGGAATCCGTAGCAATGGGTGGAAAGTGGAGAAGATCCTCCAGACGGCAAGCGGCGCTGTAGCATCCTCCCAGCCGAACAGCTGACTGAATAGGAGGACGCGCTCCAGAGGTCACGTGTCCCCGCGTTTACCGCCCTGGCGTTCACGCCCTCTTCGCTGCGCATGACTCTCATCCTGGGGAATGATTGGTCCAGGTGAGACACGTGGTCAGGGGCGGGCCGAGGTGGGGCGGGGCCCGGGTGGGCGGAGGGGTGGGGCCGGGGCGGGGGCGGAGCAGTAGGGGTGGTCTATCGCGGGGGCCGTTGGCTCCAGACAAATAAACATGGAGTCCATCTTCCACGAGAAAGTGAGTGTCCACGTTCGGGGGGCACCTGTGTGCGGCGCCGGGGCGGACGTGGGGCGCGGTATCGCCACCTACCAAAGAGCTGGGTGGGGCCCGTAGCGCCTCAGTCCCGGTATCGCCGGGCGGGAAGAGCTTCACTCGGAGGGGCGCTTCACCGGGAGGGGAGCCTCACCAAAGCCCCCACCGCACCCTTCGCCCCAGAGGCCCATGCCCGGGGAGTTTGGGGCCTGGGACGTCCCGGGAGCCCGGAGGCAGTGAGAGCAGGGCCGGGGACGCCGCGGGCACCGGAGAGGGGGTGGCACCTAATGGGTTCGCTTCTGCGCTTCCCCTTCACTTTCCGTGGGATCCCTTCTCCGGTCCTTTCTCCCCCACTATCCGTAGGTTCTAGCTAGTCACCTCTCGGGCACCTCCCTCGATCCCTCCCAACTCTCCCAGCCCTACCCCTGGCAGAATGAACTTTTCCTTCTCTGGACTCCTCAATTTTGCATTGGAATCTCCCATACACTTAGCTCCCCGGGGTTGTGTTCATGCCCTTCTCCTGCACCAGGTCTCTGCGTCTCTCCAGTGCAGGGGGCCTGGCTCCACCCCACGGAGGGCCTGACATTTAGGGACGTTAAAGTGGGAAGACCTTAACAGGGAAGTCGTCATGGGAGTTTTTGTTACGAAATGTTTAGGTTTCGTTTCTTTCGGTAGTCCCATCTTTCCGGATTAGGAAACCAGCTTTCTTCCTAGGTATTGGGGATGGACAGGAATCGCAAGTGTTGTGGACCGCCTACCCTGTTTTGTTTTGATTCTTCAATGACCGGGAACTTGAAAAGATAATGTTTGTGGCACGTGGAGGAACTCGTCTTTTCCCACATGCAATTATAAAGCCATTTTGAGTTTGAGTGGAACCTTCCTCAGGACAATTTTGGTTTCATGAGAGTTTCTTGTTTTGAAAGGGTTGTTGGTGAGGCTTTTATTTAGTAGGAAGGAGAAAACAGATTTTGTTTTGTTAAATACTTGTAAATGATCATTTATCTGTTTATAAAGATTCACAAACGATCATCAAATAAAGCAATCAAGATGAAAGATGCACAGTATTAAATCTAAACAAATTGTTAAATGGAATGCTTTTCTCTATAAAACACATTTCAGAAAGTTTGTCACTAGAACGATTTTTATGTGTGGGGAGGAAGGACTCTGTATGGTTATCACTAATCTTGACTGACATGATTTATGAAACTTGGACAAGAGAAATGTAGTTGATTGGCTAAGGAGATTGCATGAAGAGAACCGCGTGTATACATTTTTTTATTACTAATTTTCAGAAGCTTTGGTATAAGACCAAGTGTTTCAACATGGAAGATTAAACATTTTCCACACCATTTCTTGAGAATTGTACAATGTATATTTTAACAATATAGATTATCTATTTGTTTTTATTTTTATTTTATTATTATTTTTGTTAATTCTCATCCAAGGATATTTTTTCCGTTGATTTTTTTTTTTTTAGAGACAGTGTAAGGGAGGAAGGAGCCGGGGAGAGAGATAGAGAAACATAAATGTGAGAAAGACACATCAATTGGTTGCCTCCTACAGGTGCCCCAAGTGGGGCCGGGGATTGAACCTGCAACCCAGTTACCTGCCTTTGACTGGGAATCAAACCCGAGTGGGACCCTCAATCCTTCGGTGCTTGGCTGACACTTGAACCACTGAGCATCACCAGCCTTGGTGATTGCCGTTATAGATAGATTTCAGTGAAGGTAACAATTAAACCATGGGATCAAAAGAAGCTGGGTGAGAGCCTAATGAAAATCTATTTACATGAAAGAAATCGCTCTCAATTATCAGCATGTTTGTAAGCTAAAAGATACTTCAGGAATATCTTTCTTTTTTTATTCTCACCCAAGGAAATTTTTCTTTTCTTTTCTTTTTTTTTTTTTTTATCCTCACCAGAGGACATTTTTCCATTTTTTGTTCAGGTAGAGTGGGAAGGAGAGAGAGGAACAGAGAGAGAGAGAAACATCGATGTGAAAGGAACCCATCGAGTGGCTGCCACCCGCACAACCGACCAGGGCACAACCGACCAGGGCCGGAGACAAACTGCATCCGAGGTACATGCCCTTAGCGGGAACCGAACCCCGGTCTCTCAGGACCGCAGGCCGACGCTCTAACCGCTGAGCCAAACCGGCCAGGGCACCCAAGGAAATTTTTCTATTTTTTTTGTTTGGATAGAGTGGGAGGGGGAGAGAGGAAGAGAGAGAGAGAGAGAGAGAGAGAGAGAGAGAGAAACATCGAAGTGAAAGGGACACATCGAGTGGCTGCCTCCCGCACGACCCAACCAGGGCTGGGGACAAACTGCAACTGAGTTACGTGCCCTTAGCGGGAACTGAACCCAGGTCTCTCTGGACTACAGGCCCACGCTCTAACCGCTGAGCCAAACTGGCCAGGGCCTTCAGGAATATTTTTACCCTTAAACTTATATGTACTTAGCAAAAAAAGCTCTTGAATTAAAGTTCTTTGGGCATATTTCAAGAGTAATCATAGGGCCCATTGTTAATCTCATCACAGTCTCTTCTGGGGATGCTTGAGCTTACTATGCCATTTTCCAGCATACTCCCTTCCCCTTCACCACATATATTTAACCCTTGCTAGGTCCTGGGTTTGGAGGGCCAGAGAACCAACTCGGCTGTAAGGAATCTGTTCATGTAGGGATACCTGTCTACAAAGGGACCTGCAACCACTTCTTGGAATGTTGGTTTCTTCGTATTTAGAGTTGTCACTTTGAGTGTCCTTTTATTAAGTAAAAATGTAAACTCAACGAGATTGTTTACTGATATATCCCCAGTACCTAAGTTAGTGCCTGATATATATAGTAGGTGCTCAATAAATATTTGAATAAATTGAGGTCTTTGAGCATCTAAGATGTATGGGACTATTTATCTAAACATTTTTTCTGTAAATATTTTAAGCTTTGCAAGTCATATATGGTCTCACATATTCTTGTTTATTTGTGTTTTCCCAACCATCTGAAAATATAAAAACCATTCTTAGCTACTGGTGCAGGTTGAAGTTGGCTCAAGAGCAGGAGTTTGCAAGTCCCTAACTTAAATCCTAATATTAAATGGCCACTAACTGCCTAACTTAAATCCTAATATTAAATGGCCACTAACTGCCTTTTGTTTTGTTTTGTTTTTAACTCTGTTGCATGTTTTCTGTCATTTTTGTTACCACTTCAATATCTGACTGCTCTTGGTGAGGTCACCGTGCCATCTGAATTGGTATTTTTATGTAATGTAAACTGAGAATGGTAACCAAATTTGGGATTATACTTAAAATTAGTGGAAATACTGAAAAGATGCTGAACATTGACTTTATGACATCTATTATACCCTTTTGTGATTGCTGATTCTTAGCCATCTTCAGGATATTTGAGATTTAGTAGTAACCAAATTCCATATAAGTGGCTTGGGAAAGTGGTAATAACACAGATTTGAAGCCTCTGCCTAGGTCTGGAGCCCAGCTTTGCCATTTACTACTTGTATGATCTGAGTAAGTTACTTATTATCTCTTTATTCCAGTTTCTTCCTCTGTGGTGTGAGGATAATAAAGTATCTACCTCAGAGTTATGAGTGCTTATCATGCTACCTGGCACATTGTGCTGTAGAGGTGCTGGCCATTGTTATTTGGATGCTTGTGTTTGCTAAACTCCATAAGTGGTAGGACCTTATTATCACTCAATAAAATGAAGTGGTGCTTGGTTGATTGGATGGCACCAGTTGGTCCATTTCAGAGCACACCCCAAGTCAGCAGTGTCAGGGAATTTGAGCTAGTTTCAGGTTGGCCCTGAAGACCTTGAGGGCAGTAGGGGAATGATTTGGTGCTGTTCCCTGTTGTGTTTTTGTAAAATATCTTGGCAAAACTGGAGATGCAGTTTGCTTATCCTCTGATCCCAAGACAAAGCATGGGCCTAATATCGTGGAATTTCAATACCTCTGAACTTTGATATGGCAATATGAACAACTTCTATTCAGCTTTAGTTAAAGCTTGATAAAGAAGAAGTGGTTGGAGAGTTTATGGGGAGAGGGGGATGCATAATCTTAAGAGGGGCCATTGTACAGTTTTGTTTTGTTTTTGGTCCATGTAGAATTTAGTTCCTCTTGTGACTTTTAAAAAGTGATTTTAATTTTGGACTGTTGTGTTCTTTCCTCCTATTAAATCATAGTAGAAGTACAGAACAGTAGTATTTCCTGTAGCAATACAGTTTTACTTAGACAAGGTTTGATTTCAAGTGCTTATTTTTCATTTTACATCAAATATTTGGATGTCACTATTTCTATATATAGTATTAAATATGGTAACCATAGTTTGAGTACCCCAAACTGAGGCATGTACAGTAGCTCAACAGCAGGACAGAAAATTCATTGCCTGGTCACCATATTAGGTAGCTCTTGGTATATACAATAGCTGTATCTTAGCAGAGGCTTTTTGTTTGAATTTTTAAATTAAATATAACACATGTAGGGCACATAAATCATAAGAGTGCAGCTCAGTGAATTCTCACAGGGTAAGCGGGTGTAAATAATACTGAGATGAAATAACAAACATGTATTTCCCTGCATTCTCCGGACCGCAGGCCAATGCTCTAACCGCTGAGCCAAACCGGCCAGGGCTCCCTGCATTCTCTAAGCCCCCCTTATGCCCTCTTCCACTGCTACCTCTACCCCTTGTAGGGGTAACCACTATCCTTAATTCTAATATAGACTAGTTTTGCCTGCTTTTGAACTTTGTAAGTGCAGTCATATAGTGTATACTCTTTCGAGTCTGCCTTCTTTTGTTTAACATTGAGAAATTTATATCGTTGCAGGTACTTGCAGTTAATTCATTCTCATTGTTGTGTACTATCCCTTTGTGAATACAATATAATGCTTCCATTCTACTCTTATGAGCATTTTGCTAGTTTCCAGTTTGGGGGCCATTATGAATAAGTAGTGTGTTTTTTAAACATTCTTATACATGTTTTTCAATGTACATAATGTTTGCATTTCTTTTGTTTGCACTATGTACCTAGTAGTGAAATTGCTAGATCATAGGGTATATGTATGTTTAGCTTTAGTAGGTACTGTAAATAGTTTTCCAAAGTGTTATACTAATTTACACTAGTAGCAAGTAGTAGTTTTCTTTTCTTTTTATAATTTACAGATGATATGATATTCTTCTAGGGGACAACTCCTACAGCAAAGTCAGTGATTCCTTTCCCCTTCCCAGTCACCACAAACGGAGAAGAGGCTCTGACAGCACATGCTTGCTTAGTTTTCCTTCGAAGGAGCAAGGAGAGGTCGGGGTGGGAGTAAGGACAGCAGTTTTACTTTTTTTTTTTTGGTATGTGCCCCTAGCGGGAACTGAACCCAGGACTCTCTGGTCCGCAGGCCGATGCTCTAACCGCTGAGCCAAACTGGCCAGGGTGCAAGTAATAGTTTTGCTGTTTCCAGTCCTCTCCAACATTTTAGCCATTTTGGAGAGTGTGTAGTAGTAACATTTTGTGGTTTTAATATACATTTCCCTAAAGGTAATGGAGTTGAGCACCTTTTTGTGATTTTTAGCCATTTGGCTCTCCTCTTGTGAATGCTTGTTTTTTGTCACTTTTCGATAGAATATAAGTAAGACATTTGTATATCCTTCAGTTTGCATTGTAGTACTCAGTGGTAGTTGCTCTCCAGTGGTAGGAATACAGTAGAAGGAAAAGGAGGTGGACAACGTTCCAACCAAATGAACTATCCGGCTAGGGCTCCCTATTTTTTTTTTCAGTAGCTGAATTTTGCTTCCAGAACATTAATTGATCAGGAAGAATGTGTGTCTTGCAACGTGTTGTTCTTTGGAGTCACTATCTATTATATAATATAGCTCAGAACAAATTGCAGGACGTCAGACAGGCTGATTTACAGAATAGACTGTACTAGGGAAAGGGAGAACTTAGAAGGCCAGGGTTAGCAGAAGAAGTATTCTCCCATCTGCCATCATCCCACAGAGAGGCAAACCCTGGGTATTTGTTCACAGGAGGGATTTCATTCATTCATGAAAGTCTTTTCTTTTTTTATCCTCGCTCGAAGACATTTTACATTCATCTTCAGATAGAGCCGAGGGAGAGAGGGAAGAAGAGAGAGAAACATCTACGTGAGAGAGACACATCAACTGGCTGCCACCCGCACGATCCCAGCCAGGGCCAGGGCCAAACTGCAACCGAGGTCCATGCCCTTAGCGGGAACCGAACCCGGGTCTCTCTGGAGCACTGACCGATCCTCTAACTGCTGAGTGAAACCAGCCAGGGCCATGAATGTCTTTTCTTAAAAGGCAAGCTTGGAGTGCCCGGCTAGCTCAGTCGGTAGAGCATGAGACTCTTAAAAGGCAAGCTTGGGCCCTGGCTGGTTTTGCTCAGTGGTTAGATCGTCATCCTGTGGACCCAAGGGTCGAAGGTTCGATTCCAGTCAAGGGCACATACTTGGGTTGCAGGTTCAATCTCCGGCCCTGGTCGGGGTTGTGTAGGAGGCAACCAGTCATTGTGTCTCTCACATCGATGGTTCTCTGTCTCTCTCCCCCAACCCTCCTCCCCACTCTCTCTCTTCTCTCTCTCTCTCTCTCTCTCTCTCTCAAAATCAATGGAAAGAGTATCCTGCATGAGGATGGAGAAAAAGGCAAGCTTGGGAAAGCAACATTATTTCAGGGAGAGGGGTTAAGTAGGCTTCTCAGTGCCAGGCTGTCTAGATAGAGATTTGGGTTGTCTTATGTGTAAGAAAGCCAACTGCCCAGCACCTGAAGGCCCATGGGAAGTAGTACTCCCCTACCCCCATAACAGGAAGTTAACAGTCCCATGGGGAACTGTGCTTGGATGCAGCCCCGCTTGTTGGCTTATCCAGAAGTGAGCTCCAGGGATGCTTTTTGGACAGTCCTGCGCATTGCACCACACTGTGTATATATTATCTTCAGAGTTCTCTAAAGAAAACCTAAACTCTGTAGCTATAAGTCTTCATTAACATCAAATAGAATTTTCTTACCTGTATCAATTCTTGAGATATGAAATTACATGAACAAGCATTTAGATCAAGTAGAGATTATCTCATTAAAAGAACAAATGTTCTAGGGATTAAAATTCCCTTTCAGCATTAGTAATTTGCTGTGGAATCGATAATGAATTTATTTTAGGCACTGAAAATGAAAGAGGGTAAATGCTTACAGAGTAATTTTTAATAAAATACGAGATTTGGTGTAATTCATAGATGGTTAATATAAATCATTCTTAAATTTTTCATCATATAGCTAAATTATTGTAGTTTCATTAATGGTGGAATTGTAAAATAAATGTTAAATGAAAAAGCATGTACCTTATGTTAGTCCTGTTTGTCTAAAGCTAGAAAGGTTCAGTTTTGACAGTGTTAAGAAGTTAATGATTAAATTCCTCTTTAAGGAAAGACACATAAAATCTGTTTAACAAGTCACATTTGAATTTTTTTCTTTTGGAAATATTAGCAAGAAGGCTCACTTTGTGCTCAACATTGCTTGAATAATCTATTGCAAGGAGAATATTTTAGCCCCGTGGAATTATCTTCTATTGCACATCAGCTAGATGAAGAGGAGAGGATGAGAATGGCAGAAGGAGGAGTTACTAGTGAAGACTATCGCACGTTTTTACAGGTACTGATTTTAAACTCACCAAATTGTGTTTTTATAGCCCATGGACACAGACAATAGTGCAGTGAAGTCCTGGGGTGGGGCAGGGGCCTGGTGGAGGGGAGCAAAGAGCAGAAAATGGGGGACATCTGTAATACTCTCAACAATAAAAATAAATTTTTAAAAATGTGGTATTTTTAAAAACAGAAGAAAACATGGGTATTATTTAGAAAAGAACAAACCATTCTTTCCGGGATCTGACTTGTTAATTATAACTCAGCTCTTGACTTTGTAAATGGGAATGCACAAGATGTTAATTTAAATATGCACACTAATGGCAGTTTTTCCTTCTTTCTCCACCCTCTACCCCTGCCTCAACTGCCTATCCAAATTAAACAGCAGCCTTCTGGGAATATGGATGATAGTGGTTTTTTCTCTATTCAAGTAAGTAGTTATAAGCAAGTACTAAGTGTTGTTTTTGTCCCAGGCTCTGTTTAAGCTCAGGGTATGGTTGATATGAGTATCTCTTCACAGCGCTTCATAGTCACTATAATGACGTGACCTTCAGAAGTTTCTCCAATAGATTGTGTCCAAGAATGTAAAATTGTACTTTAGGGTGCTAAATTTTTATATAAATAAACATGAAAATTAGGATTGTAGAATCTTCATTTTAAAGTAGGGCTTTTTTGAAAGATTATTTAATTTGCATCTGGATACTTATAACATTGTCCTTTGAAGATAGTATCTCTTGTGTGCATTTGAGTAAATGCAGAGCCTTGCCACCTTTCCTTTAAATCAGCGTATTAGGACTGGATTCTTTTATTATGGTCTGTGGCTTTTGCTTTTTTAAACATATATTTATCCATAGAATTAAAAGGAAGCTATATTACTTGTGAGGTTCTTTATCTGTGGGTCTTTCATTCTGTTTCTAAACACCTAGTGGGGTACATCCAGAGTTCTTGAGGCACCTATTTCTGAAATATCTTTGTTTACTGTCCTGGATTTCTCATTCACCAGCATTTCCATTCAGTGCTTCCCTGTGGACTGTTACAGGTAACAGCTCCTGCAGGGCTAGGATGGAGGTCTGAGGGGACCCAGCACTTGCCATTTTCTGTTTGTGTGGCGCTGCCCTTGGTGCTGATTCCCGTTTGCCCACTATATTGCCTTTGCTTTCTGTTTGCTAGTATCAAGTTCACTTGCTTCTTTGTTGGCTACCTTTGTGAACTTTCAGAAATCCATTTTTTTCCAGACAGTTTGAAATAATCAGGTTTACCTTTTGTATTTTCCTAAAATTTGAAACCTATGATAATAGAAGTTTAAAATCTATGAAAACTTCAGTATAAATCCCTAGAAAGAACTCATTTTAATAGACATATAATTATCACTATTACTGACATATCAGGTAGTGAGTTGAAATACAACTTTTCTGCAGCAGGACTATAGCAGCCAAACATCATGTGTATATAGAGGACTTGTTTTAAGAAGAGCACTTTATAGGTAGAAGATACCTTTGAATTTTTGAGGCAGTTTTATCTAGGAATTGTGTGGTTCCCTAGAATATCCCAGAAACCTAGTGTTAAAAAGCACTTTTTAAATGCTATGTTTGTATGTTATTTATAGATTCAATGACATGTCTTATATACACACACACACACACACTTTTTAAAAACCATAGCCTTCTGGGGAAACTGATATATGAAGAACAAGTGTTTGCACAATGAATATGGCTTTTCCTACTTAAATTTGGAATTGAATGGTTTAGCTAAAGAGAAGTTGCTATTTTTTTAACAGGTTATAAGCAATGCCTTGAAAGTTTGGGGTTTAGAACTAATCCTGTTCAATAGTCCAGAGTATCAGAGGCTGAGGATCGATCCCATGTAAGATTTTATTTTGCTTTTTCTACATTTCTTTTCCTTAATTTTATTTTTAAAGTTATAATTTAAGAAAAGTATATTTGGAATGCCTTTGTCTTGATGTGCCCTGTTTCATCCCCTATTTCACTTTTGGGGTATGTCCATGAACACGTGCCCTCTAAGCCTTCCTGGCAGCTCAGTTTCTGGCAGCACAGAGCTGATCCTTGAGTGGTGTGTGATGCCATCATTTTGTACAGCATCCCAAATCTGTAGAAAGATTCTTCTATTTGTAATTTTTTTAAAAATCAGTGATACTTAACTGTAAAAGTAATCTTAAATTATCGTAAGTTTTGTATAACACTTGCCAGTAGACAAACTAAATGAATATGAATTCTAATATTTCAACTTAATATTGGCACTGTATTTTATTTTTCCTTTTCTAGAAATGAAAGATCGTTTATATGCAATTATAAGGAACACTGGTTTACAGTTAGAAAATTAGGAAAACAGGTAATGTTTTTCTTCCTTGTATTTTTTTCATTCTGCACTCTATTTGCTACTAAACTGTAAAGGATTATATGAAGAAATTCACCAGTAATGTGTATGTTTGTGGCATAGTTTCAATCTTGATAAACAGAAATTTGCTGTTTTAAAAGATAATATTGGTTTCCCTCATAGATTTATTTGTGACAACCATGAATAATTTAGCTGTATCATAAGAAAAATTCTTTAAGATAGTGGCACACATGGTTACTTTTAGTGGGTTTTATGTGATTAATATTTTGTCAGTTAACTATTCCATTAATAGATTTGTTTAGCATAGTAGTGTCACAATGCCTGATATAGTGTCCAGTAGGAGTAAAAGTTTTCAACCATGTTTGCTTCAGCATAACAAGATTATTCACATTCCATAATGCCACATAGTACATATATTCACATAAAATAATTTCTGTTAAAAAAAAAAAGAACATAGGCCAGGCTGGTGTGGCTCAGTGGTTGAGCATCGACACATGCACCAAGAGGTCGCCGGTTGGATTCCTGGTCAGGGCACATGCCTAAGTTGTGGGCCTTGATACCCAGTGGTGGGCATGCAGGAGGCGGCCAGTTGATGTTCTCTCTCATCAATGTTTCTATCTCTCCCTCTCCCTTCCTCTCTCTTTAAAATCAATAAAGGACAAAATAAAAATAAAAATATATTAAAATGAGTTGGTGATTACTAATTCTCCTCCTGGAATAATTTGGCTTTCTCACAGTTGAAGTCTTTGACCAAAATTATCAGTAGTAGGAAAACTTTGTGTAGTTGTCATTTTTCCTCCACATCAATATAATGTGATTAGATTAGGGTTTTATTAGGCATACTTTGACAAAAGATTTAATTATAGCTATCAATAAAGATATTTTAAAGTACTATCAGTTTCTATTCTTTCAGGAGGATTTAAAGTTTATGGCTTAAAGAAAACTTTTATTTTTTGTTAATCCTTACCTGAGGACATTTTTTCATTGATATTTAGATAGAATGGAAGGGAAGAAGGGTAAGGGAGAGAGAGAGAGAGAGAAAGAGAGAGAGAGACATTGATGTGAGAGAGACACATTGATTGGGTTGCCTCCTGCACGACCCCAACTGGAGCTAAGGATTGAACTTGCAACCTAGATATGTGCCTTTGACTGGAATTGAACCCGAGACCCTTTGGTCCAAGGGCTGATGCTTTAACTGCTGAGCCAAACAAGCCCAGGCGCAAACTTTTATTTTTACAAAAGCATTTGATAGTGATAAATCTTCAACATTCTATTTCAGGTTTTTAAAATTCACATTCATTTTTTAAAATCTCAGTTTGATGTGTTTTCACTGTTTAGACAGTCATACTAAGTTTAGGTGGGTTATACCTATTTTTCTTTGTTTTCTTTTTAAGGACTTTTTTTTTAGTTTTTAGAGACAGGAAGGGAGAGGGAGAGAGAGAAAAACATCAATAAAAAATCGAAACATCAATCGGCTGCCCCTGGACACCCCACCCCCTCCTCTACCAGGAATCAAGCCCAAAACCTGGGAATGTGCCATGACCACAAATCAAACTGGCAATCTTTCCATGCACAGGACAACACCCAACCCACCGAGCCACATTAGCTAGGGCAGTTACATCTATTCTTAACGTGAAACTTTCTTATTAATAATAGTGTACACTAACTTAAGTGATGGCAATTTTTTTTCCAGTGGTTCAACTTGAATTCTCTCTTGACGGGTCCAGAATTAATATCAGACACATACCTTGCACTTTTCTTGGCTCAATTACAACAGGAAGGTAAATAAAAATGGAAAATTTTATAATGTTATCTTTCAAAGAAGCTAAATAAAATTAACTCATTAGATGTGACTGTAAGAATACTATTTTTATGACAGTGGCAGTGAAATAATCTTTGTTTTATGTGGTGAACTTGAGGTTGTGATTTGATTGATACTGTTAAGGTAGAGTTCTCACTGACACCTGGTCCTCCCCTGTGGGTGATGCTTCCTTTGCAGTCCCTCTTTTTTCTTCCATACCTCACATACCACAGGGCCAATGGGAGGGCAAAGTATTTCTTGTGCTCCTCCTTGCCCCTTCTAGGCCACTGTTCTTCCCTAAAATCTCCAGTTCCTTTGATTGCATATGTCTCACTAGATTAAACGTTACCCCTGATTGTTTTGTATTCACTGGGATCTACTTTTTCCATTGAAGATTTTTAGGGTCTGATCACTGTCTTCTTTCTGCCTGAATTCCTTTCATTTTTTTCAGTCTTGTCTTGCCATTACCAATAACTACCATCTTCAAACCTTAATTGCAAGCATTCTATTCTTTGACTATTGCCTTCTGTCTTTGTATCATATTTTCTCTGTTTCCATTGCAACAATTCTTTAAACCCTACCACAAGGTCCAAACATTCCCTTTATATTCTTTTTTTACCCTGCTTATTTTCTGTAATCCATTTTTATTATCACTCTACTACATTCCTCAACTCCTTTCTCCTTCTCTCCCTCCATCATACTTTCATAACAAAATCTCAAACCTGGTTAAAACCAAATCTTGGTCTTGTCCATTCTGCACTAGAGCAGCTGAACATGGCTAAAGAATAACATAAAATATGATGATTGATTTTGCTTTAAATTTATGATTACAAATTTCAAATGAGTCTTTAGTACCAAGTGCCATTCCGACTATGTTTTCTTAGTAAGTTCACTTACTCTCCATGATGATTATTTCACAGCTTATCTCTTCAAACCTCTGACCACTCCCATTTCCCTTCCTTCATTTATTAGCTGGAAGACTTCTATGCAGATAAGCTTTCTCTCATCCGGTATTTGGTTATCCTGAAGTATAGTCATGTAGTAAAAGCAGGATACAGCTTTCTTCCCTTTTATCAGTTTTTAAAGTAAATTTATTTTGCCCTGGCTGATTTGGCTCAGTGGTAGACTATTGGCGCGTGGACCAAAGAATCACAGGTTCGATTTCTGGTCAAGGGCACGTACATCGGTTGTGGTTTGTCTTCAGCCCTGGTCAGGGGCGTGTGGGAGGCAACCAGTCAGTGTGTCCCTCTCACATCGATGTTTCTCTCTCTCTCTCTCTCTCTCTTCCCCCTCACCCCCTCTCTTCCCCTCTCTCCCTCAAGTGAAGAGAAATGAAAAAATATCCTCAAGTGAGGATTAAAAATAAATGAATGAATAAGTTTATTTTATAGTATCTTTCCTCCAAAGGTAACCAACTGGTTGGTGGTTTTTTTCTGAGGTGTTATTGTAAAATAATCCATTAAAACATAGTTCATATGTTTTAGTTCATTATTATATTAATACTCAAATTTTTCCATCTTGGACCAGTGGGAATGTTTTGAACTTGACTTCCAGATCTCTGAAATGACCACTGTAGCCGATCGAAGCCTTTCTTTCTCATATCATGAGAATTTTCAGGCTTACTGTATATATTTCCTGCCCTTTTAGTTGTGTTTGGAGACCACAGTCTGAGAACTGGCATGCTTATTGCTTCTGGGTTGGTCCTCATGTAGTGCTCTCCATTTCACATGTAAGATTACAGTATTGTGACTTCTCTGATTTCATTTACTCTTATCTCTTTTCTATTATGCCTAAAACCTTAGTTTTTAACTATTCTTCCCTTCTTGAAATGCTGTCTACACTTGGCTTCCAGGCCACCATGCTCTGATTTTTCTTGAATTTTATTGGCTGCTTCCTTTAGATTCCTTTTGTGGATTACTCTTTCTAGTCTCTAACTATTGAGGGTTCAATCCTTGGACAACTTATTGACTATGTGCTGTCCCATTGTTTTAAATATGGTCTCTAAATAAGATCTACATGCCAGTAATTCCCAAACGTTTACCTGCTGTCTAGATAGCTACTCTGAGCACAGAACTCCTAACTTTGTCTTCTCCGCTTGGAAGTCCAGAAAATGTTTCAAACTGAACATGTTGACAAAAGACTGATTTTTTTCCCTCCTGTACATTCTATCCCTCAGGTTTTCCATTTCAGTAAGGATCACTTTCTTGCACGCTGGTTCCCATATATTATATTGATAAAGCAGTCCAGAGTGATATTTTTTAAAAAACATAATGCAATGGCTTTTTGGCACATGTAGAATGAAATCTAGTCTTGAATGAAACCTGGAATCTGTATAGTGTGCCACCAGAATGAACAAGCTATCTGCAATTCCTGCAGAGCTGACATAGTCCCTCTAGGATCTAGAAACAACTACTGGCCTAAAACATGATAAAACATCTGAACTCTGAGCACTTTTGTTCATGTAAAACGAACACAAAATGTTGAACATATTAACTTATTTCTGCTTTGAGTTTTTCTGTTAACGCTCTTTTTGATCCTTGTTTATTTGTTTCATTATCTGTTTTTAATTTTTGTTATTCATTACCGATTAATGCTCACAAAGGATTTCTGGTAATCACCAAAATTTAAGAAAATTTTATGGTAGAAAAATGTGAATTGATTAGAATGACTTAGGTATAGCCCACCCTTTTTCAGTTTTTATATGGAGTATCCAGCTGGGGAAACCCTGTCTTTCTAGATATGTATTTATAAAAAATTATACAGGATCAGTGTAATTATTTCAAAAGACAGTCTACATCTTTCATCTGACTAGAGTGTAGGTATTGCTTCTCAGATCTTGTTTTCAGTTAGGGGTGAGCTCTTTCCACAGATGACTTATTTTACACATATTACACACTATATATATTACCTAATTGTGTCCTCACAGAAGCCTGCTGAGGAAGGTACCAGTATCATCTGTTTTTGTTTTGTTTTAATTTTTATTTATTAATTTTGGAAAGAGAGAGGGGAAGGGGGTGAGAGAGACCAAGAAAGAGAGACAGAGAGAGAAGCATCGATTTGTTGTTCCACTTACTTATGCATTCATTAGTTGATTCTCATGTGTGCCCTAACTGGGGATCAAACCCGAAACCTTGGAGTATTGGGATGACACTCTAACCAACTGAGCTTCCCAGCTGGGGCCAGTATCATTTGTTTAACAGTTGAAGAACCCAAGACTAAGATGGGCAAAGTGATTTGCCAGAAACCATGCAGCTAGGAAGTGGAAGAAGAGCTTGGATTAAAACCCAGGCTGTCTGCTTCCAGATGCCTTGCCCTTACCCACTCCTCTACTGCCTCTTTTACCATATAGAGAGTAGCCTACTTGGTCAAGCACTGTTTTTAGGAGGGCCCTTGACAGATACTATTTCATTTATTCCTGGTACATCTTGTGAGATGGCTCTTCCCATTTCACAGTTGAAGAATGTCAGGCTCAAAGACTTAACATAATTTGTCCTAGCACCCTGCCAGAATGTGTGCGAGTCATCTAAACTCTATCATACCTGCTATCATTTTTCATTGATTTTGAATCTCTTACTAGCTGTTTTAGTTTATCTTTGCCTTTTTTTAGGTTATTCTATATTTGTTGTTAAGGGTGATCTGCCAGATTGTGAAGCTGACCAACTCCTGCAGATGATCAGGGTCCAACAAATGCATCGACCAAAACTTATTGGAGAAGAATTAGCACAACTAAAAGAACAGAGGTAAAATGAATTCTGCAGTATGGAATATCTGATAGTATTTATAATAATTCAATTTTCATGCTAATATTGAATGGGTGGTCCTTTTATTGTTGGTGATTTTTTTAGATTCGTATATTTTAGTGAAGTTTATTGGTTCAAACTCGAAACAACTCTTTGAAATATATTAACTCAGAGTCACATTGCAACACAAACTTTATATTATTAGACCTTATCTGCAAGAAAATGTGTGTTTTTTAAATTTTATTTTTCAGTTGACTGAAAATGTATAAGTTTTGACTTACATAAAATCTTTAGTTTATAAATGTCTTTATATCTAAAATGCAAGACTGGTCTGCAGTTATTATCAGTGTTTTCCTTCATTAGAGTCCAGAAAACAGATCTGGAACAAGCTGTGGAAATAAATGATGGGTCAGGAGTGTTAGATGAAGATGAGGAGGATTTGCAGCGGGCTCTGGCTCTAAGTCGCCAACAGATCGACATGGAAGATGAAGAAGCAGATCTCCGTAGGGCTATTCAGCTCAGTATGCAAGGTACAGACATTCTGACAGGGCTTTTTTTCATTGTTGAAGAATTGATTCACATAATTCTTGGTTTCCTGGAAGTTAATGGACTGTTGGAAGTTCTTTGACAGTTATTGCAGAGGCAGTAGCTATGTATAGTCCGCTATTCTTTTAGTTTTCTTGTAATGTAAATAACTTTTACAACCTATGTTATAATAGAAGTGTGTGTGTGTGTGTGTGTGTGTGTGTGTGTGTGATTTTAATCCTCACCTGAGGACATTTTCATTGGTTTTTAGCGGGGAGTTGGGGAGTGGAGGAGAGAGAGAGAGAAACATCCTGCATGTACCCTGACTGAGGCCAGGGATCAAACCCACAACAAGGCACATGCCCCAACCAGGAATCAAACCTGCAACCCTTCAGTGCACAGGACAATACTCCCACCAACTGAGCCACACTGGTCAGGACACTAGCTGTACTTTTATTTCTGGTTATTCCATTTGGTTATAATACTGTACTAACACAGCAATAAACTGAGGTTAATCTTTGTGGGTAAAAGTGAGGAAACTCTTACCCAGAACAGCTGTTCCATAAATGTATATTCTGTGGACACACAGGAAGGCCTGTACAGAGAACATAAATTGATTTCACAAAAATCTAACATTGGTGTCTGTGCAACTTACAGCTTCAGTCCACGTCTATGGGCCCACCTTTTTAATCGTCGCCAAGGGTATTCTTGTATTGATTTTCACATAGAGTGGGAGGGAGGGAGAGAGAGAAACATCCACATGAGAGGGACACATCGACGCTGCCTCCCTCATGACCCAACCAGGGCCAGGGGCAAACTGAAACTGAGGTATGTGCCCTTGACCGGAACTGAACCCAGGACTCATTTGTCTGCGGGCTGATGCTCTAACTGCTGAGCCAAAAGTAGCAGAATATTTTTAAGAAAAAAAATTTTAAAAGCTTATTCACATAAGTATAAACATATTGGTACTTTACCTGGTTTAAAAATAAAGATTTTTGTTTTGTTTTTGTTTGTTTTCAGGTAGTTCTAGAAATACATCTCAAGATATTCCACAGACATCAAGTACACAACTTACTTCAGAAGAGCTACGGAAAAGAAGAGAAGCCTACTTTGAAAAGTAAAGTAGTTGGTACAATATTAAAATTGCATATTCAGTATTTACTTTGGATTTTTTTTCTATCTGTGAACGTATAGGTTTGGCTTAAACTATTTATTTTATTTAGGATTCTCTTTTTTAAAAAGACTGGTTACTGCCTGACCTGGTGAACATTTGAATGTGTGTGTGTTTGTTTTAAATTTACAACAGATAAACTGTGAAAAGGGATGTTTTAGGGAAAAACTTTTCCCCAATGCTAATTAAATGTACATGAAATGGGGTGAAGCCACCCTGTAAAATTTCAATCATCAAAAGGAAAATGGAATTGGGTCAAGGCAAGAACAGTGCCTAATGATCTTTGAATCTGCTTCTCGGTTACCTAACCCTGCGAAGTTCTTCTGTTAGTTCATAGGAAACAGCGTTTGTGGTAGGGGAGCACCATCCCAAACAGAGACCAGGCTAATAGTCTGCTCATTGCCACACTAGCAGGGGTATCGCAAATCTGTCAGCATCCAGGATATGAGGGGAGACCATACATCTGAATCATCAGCTCCTGAAACCTAGCTTGGTACTCAGCTTTATAAAAAGTGCTCTTAAAATAGAAATTGTACTCCAGAAAAATACCATTCTTTCCAGAAAGTATCATGCACAAGTTTTCTTCCCTTTTTCTTTTTTTAATGATAAAAATCCATCTTAACGATTATAAGATCTATAATAGATATTTAGATCCTCTGATCCCAGTTCAAAAACCAAAAGGCTAGTGGCTGAATCTGTTAATTTACTGTATTTCATTAGTTCTAAGATGCACATATTCTCACATCTCAACATCTCTGCACCTGAGAAGCATCTCACAGTCATAATTGGCAATATTTGAGCAGTACCTAAGATATTGGGGCATTTTACATTTTGTGGTGTAATGAAGATAATATTTACCTTGTTTTCTGTTTTGTTTTGTTTTTAAAGTCACAACTCAGAAGTATATGAAGGAAAGTTTTGATCAACTGACTTCCTCTTAATGTGAGATATTTCTAGTGTTTATTCAGTTATAGATTAATGGATTTAATTATATGTAAAATTTCAAAATAGTGCTTTTTAGTACTTTTTATTTTTAAATTTTAAAATTAACTTAGTTTTAAAATATAAACTTAAAATTAATATGAAAGTAGAGAAACCAGCATAATAAACCCTATTGCCCAGATTTAACAAATATCAGTACATGACCAGTCATGTGTTTTTATGCCCTATCTCCCAGGCTCCACACTCTTCCACCCCAAGCTGGGCTTATTTTGTAACAACTCTAAATCATCATATCATTTCACCCATACTTATTTCAGTACATGTCTCTGAAATATGTGGGCTTTTTTTTTTAACATACCCAAATGCTGTTGTCACACAGTAATGTCAGTTATCATATGATAATTATTAATGGTAATTTTATAATATCAAATACCTGGTTAGTGTTAAAAATAACTTTAAACTACTTAATTAGGTAAAAAACTAATATCCTAGAAAATTTATTGTAATGCATATCAAAATTAAAAGATAACATAATTCTACTATCCTTTAATAACTAATGTTAGTATTTTGACATATTTTCTTCTAGTCCCACAGACACACATATACATTAGTTTACCCATTTTCCCATGATATTAAGTATTCTTTGTAAATAGGCAATATTTCATAAAATGAGTGTATGTATCATAACTTACATATGCACATTTTGATTTTTGCTATTATAATTAACAGTGCAACGAATTATCCTTTTACAGACTCGATGTCTCAAATCTCTCATCATTTTTTCTAATTATTCTGAGGATGTCAGATTTTTGGATTAAAGGACATGAACATTTTAAGGCTTTGGTACAGATTTCTAAACTGCTTTCCAGAACAATTTCTAAGTGATTCTTCTACCATGTTTTTCAGACTTTGTTTTTTGCCAGAATAAAATTGTCCAATCAGACATACTTTATAGAGAATCTACAAAGTTCACAAATATATCTAAGAAAAGGAAAACATCTTTAAATATAAAAACATATCCCTCTTATATTTAAAATTAAAAATTTTTTTTTGGTTTAGAAATGTGGAACTTCCAATACATGAAACTTTTTAGAGTGGAAAGAATAATGCAGTAACATTCCATAATAACTAAGAAATTCTAACAAGCACAATGGTGATAACTGATGCAGATGTTTTATCAACTTTGCACCCTTTTATGTTGGCTGAGCGTTGGTATGGCTCCTTCCTGGCTGGAGAGTAGTTGATGGGGAGGAAGGTGTGCAATGAAGGTTTCCAGCTTCAGCTTTTCATCCTCTGCTTCCTGGTTTGACTTGAAAAATACTGGTGGGAGCTTTAGGAGAACTAGAGAAGATTTAGAGTCACACACTGAGAAGAGTTAAGAGCTGATTTCTTGGTATTTCTTTTAATGTTGGCTAGAATTTGAAATCGTGTAGGACTCATTAATAAAGGAACCGAGAAACTAATAGTTGCGTTTCACTAGAATGAAGTCTAGATGGGTTCTTGTCTCTAGCTTCCATCTTTGGGAACGTGGGTTGAAGGTCATCGAGCTAACTCTTTCTTCTTTTTGACCCTCTCCAAACTCACCCTGGTGCTAACTTGTTATCCATTAAAATTTATAGGGAATTGGTGTTTTGCTTTTCTGTAGAGCATTGGAAGCTTCATACTTAATGTAGTAAACACAGTATTCATGCACGAAGCATAAAAGTACTGTTAAAAAATTACCTGTTACAAACTCATGTGTTACGAATAAGAGTTTTAAATATTTTCATAGCCATTTTTTTCAATTTTTATTAATTTATTTTTGTTACAGATGTTTCTCTTTTTCCCCCCAGACACCCTCCTCCTCATTTTGCCCCCCAGCACATAGCCAAATTTTTTTCCATTTTCCCTATCATAAAACCCCAAGCAAACTATTATATCAGCTTTGTCATTGCAAAACCTGCCTTCACTCACGTTATGAGCATCAAGTTAGGCAGGGTGTGTAAAACTGTTTCGTAAGCTATAAAGTGTTCCACAGGTATACATTAGCATTATTGATGTCTTCTCATGGGTGTAACTCTGAAATGCTGTAGATCCTTTCTTTCTGTCACTTAAGAAGTGTTTCTCAACAAGGAAGGTACAAGTGTTTTCATGGTCTTGGATTGCTGTGATATTCTGGTTGCCTACTACTTGAGCCACCACTTCAGTGGCATGGCTTAGTCAGGGTTCAGTCTAAGAATTATAAACTACTAGAGGTATTTTAAGCAGAAAAATATTTAATACAGAAATTAAGGCCTTAAACAATCTTAGGAATAGCTGAAATGAAGGCTGTAGACCAGGCCTCCAGAATTCGAACTTGTTTGAAGAGCTGCGACCACTGCCCAAGTTGAGATGATGGGGAATCAGGATATTGAATTTAAGAACACACTGCCAGAGCTGTGATCCCAGGATCAGGAAACTGCCACCACAGTTGCCTAGACATGAGGGCCTGGGAACATGAAATGTGGCCCCCACTGTAATTGCCATGAAGCAGAATTCCGGAACTGGCATCCCCGTGACTGTACTTGCCAGCAGAGAACAAACAAAGCAGCAGGAAGGTGGCTGTGCCTCCTTCCTGCCTTTTAAAGCCCGTGTGAGTGCTTAATTGGTTTCCAGAATCCTAGGTATAAAGCAACTTAAGATGTGGTTTTTAGCTTTCCAGACTCTATGATACAGAAGGCACGTTAGAAGGCACAGTGGGGCTGGATGATGAGTGCCATCCGAACACATTTTGTCTTGCAGTGTCATCACATATTAAAGGTGTCAGAGTTGTGTAAAGGTTGGCAATACATTTACTTTTCACTTTTCATGAATTTAAAGAAGAATAAAAGTTACCCCTCTAAAGTCACTGTCTCGCCCTGGCCAGTTTGGCTCAGTGGTTGAGCGTCGACCTGTGGACTAGAGAGTCCCGGGTTCGGTTCCCGCTAGGGGCACGTACCACTAAAAAAAAAAAAAAAAAAAAAAAAAAAAAAAAAAAAAAATAAAGTCACTGTCTCACCTATCACTCCCCTGCATTCTGACATGTTTTCTTGTGTGGAGGAGGAAGAGGGCACGGAGAGACAGCTGATGTGCCAGGAAATCTACATAACTCACAGCCTGTCTTTCTCGTGCCACGTTCCAGAATCAGAGTATGCTAGTGGGAGTACACTGCCCATGTGTACATCATTGGCCATGCACACCAGAGAGTCATAAACAGATGCAGATATCAGTATGCTGGCTCAAAGACCAACAGGGAGAAAGTGCGATTCCCCACTGGTTGAATTTTCTTTGTTGCTCATATTTAAAACACAAGACTAAGGGGGACCCTAGGAGAAAAGTGTGCTCTTTTATTAGTAGTGTTAGTAGTAATTTTAAAATTCTAGTTCTTTTAAAAGTCCTTTTATACATTTTTTAAAAATATATTTTTTATTGATTTTAGAGAGAGAGGGAGAGAAAGGGAGAGAAACATCCATTGGCTGCCCCCTGCAGACCCCCTACTGGGGATCTACCCCGAAACCAGGCCAGGAATTGAAGCTATGACCTCTTGGTGCATGGGATGAAGCTCAACCAAATGAGCCACACCCATCAGGGCCTTTTATGCATTTTTTGAAAGCTGTGGTTTCTCAGATTGTTGCTGTTTTATAGCTTTTTAAAATTTTAGCATATATATGTATATATGAAATCATTTTAACTATACATAAAAGCAAAAGTAATTCACAGAGCTCCTTATACATGTCGCTCAGGTTCCCCAGTTTTTGACATTTCTGAGCCATTTGAGAATGACTTGCAGACACGATCTGTCATTGCATCTTGGCACTTCAGTGTATATTTTCTAACTGTAAGGACCTATTACATCATAACCATCATGTTTAAATGTTTTGTGATACTGTTTTTTCTGCTTAAAAAATTACAGGGAGAGCTTATTTTAACACAATAGATATTACTGAAACTTGATAATGTATGTCAGATAGTTTTCATTTCTTGCATTCATCAAGTATTTGGTGAATGCCTACCACATGATTGGCATAGTTTTATGCATTGGGCAATAAACAAGAGAAGGTGTGTACTCTTGTTAGCTTACACTTCAAAGAGGAAGACAGAAGATACCAGATGGTGATAAGTTTATGCTAAAAATTAAAATGAAGTGATGAAATCGTGAGAATGCCAGTTGGCTACCTTAGGAAAGTGGGCAGGAAAGGTATCTCTGAGGGGCTATTTAAGCTCGGATCTCAATGACAGGAAGGAGCCAGCCATGGAGAGATCATTTCAACGTACATGGTAATTTAAGATGCTTTATTTTTCTTGAAGGTGCTTATTTTCTGTGACCTCCCACAATGTTAAGGATCTACAAACCAATATATTTTCATAAAACTAGCTACCAGTGAATCCTTTTGTACGATATGTTATTTTGTGGTAAATATACCTACCTATTAATTTCTCTGATAAATTCAAATTTTACATCTCAGTTTCCTAGGATTGCACTGTGATACTTTTACTAACATGTATCAGACTGATTGCTCTTACATTGTTTTGTGCATGCCAGTGACTTTGGTTTTGTGCAACCATTTATTTTCCACATTAACAGTGTTTCTCATGGCATATTTATTCTTAGGTTTTGTTTTTTTAATGTGCATTCTCTTGTGCATGTTTCAGGCAGCAGCAGCAGCAGCAGGACCCACCAGGACAGCTTTCGCACCCATGTGAAACGCCGACTACAAGTCCAGAAGCACTTGGCAGTGATCTAGGTACACCTCCGAACGTACATCACGGTCATTACCTCACGCTCTGTTTGCCACACAGGCTCTATGTGGTTTTGGCTTTACAGGCTGTTTTTTCTCTCTAATTGTATCAAAATTTTAAGGTATTTGTAAGTTTCCCTGGATAAAGCTGGCAGACTAGAGCACTCAAGGGATGTTTTGCTTTAAAATGATAAATGCTACCTGCAACTTCACAGTAATTAGTATATTCTACACAAGTTCCTCAGAGGTAATGAATATTACTAGGTAGAAAATAAGTACATCCTACCCCCTGGAAAACTCAAACCATCTGAATGTAGTCTAAATAACAATAGGAAGTCTAGAGTTACGTATCAGACCTTGGTTATTAAGTATTAAACTTTGGCCAGTTATTGGTAGAAGTTGAGTGAAAAACTGTATATAACAGGATTTCTAAGTGGAATGTGTAAAGAACTCTCAAAGCTGAGATAAGAAAACAACTTAAAAAATGGGCAAAGGATTTGAACAGACACTTCACCAAATAAAATATGTGGGGGACTAATAAGCACATGAAAATATACCCAACATCAGGCATCATTAGGGAAATGCAAATTAAAACCAAAATGAGATACCATTACACACCTATGAGAACAGTCTAATAAAAAAAATAAAATTGACAATACCAAAGGGCTGACAAGGATCAATGCAACTGGGACACTCATACACTGTAAATAGAAACGTAAAATGACACAGCACCTTTGGAAAACAGTTCAGTATTTCCTTACAAACGTAAAGTGAACTGAACCACATGATCTGGTAGTCCCACTCCTAGGTGCAAAACCAAGAAAAAGAAAACGGAGGTTCACAAGAAAACTTGAGTGTAAATCCCCACAGCAGCTTTATTCATAACTGCCTCAAAGTGGAAACTGCCTAAATGTAGTCAGTCCAGCTGGGAAGTGGATGTGCCACCTGCGTTGCCTCCAACGGACTGTATCAGTGATGAGAAGCAGTGAACTGATACTTTCTCCTCTCCTGCTCTGTACAACTCACAATCCTGAGCCTTTGTGCTAAATGTAAGAATATGAAAGGTAGAGAGAGGACTGTGGGCTAGGAAGCTCAGGAGCAGAGTAGTGACAGTGGTGAGTGGCCTGGGTATTCTTTTTGCCTCATCTGTCATGGACATCATGCTGGAGAAGCCACAGGTGCCATCCAAGAAAGAGAGGCCAAGGAAAGCCTACTCTGTGTAGCCAGAAGGGACCACCTAGCAAGACAGAAACTTTTAGATGATAAACACACTAGTCCAGCCGAACTGGACGAGGTAAATAAACTGGCCCTACTGCCAGCTTACCCTGTCTGCAAAGGCTAAGTAGGAGCCTAGTCTTATATCCCAACCTGGCAGTAATGAGGCCCACCTCCCACGTCCCCTGGCCAAGCTGATGTCAGAGAAAGCCAAGTGCAGAGCTGGGATTTTTACTTTCTTCAAGAGACAGCAGGGCCCCCTTTGCCATGGTGTCAGTGGTCATAGGGAGCCTAGAGTTGCACCAGCATTAAAGAGTCGTCTCTCTGGCTTCCTGTCTGGGTGGTATCAGAAGGGGCTTAGTGGAGATTTAAGGCTGTCATTGAGGCAGTAATGAGGCCACCCCCACAGTGTCAGTGAGAAACAGTAACAAGGCGTTCCTACCCTCCCAGTCATGTAGATATCAGTGGAGGACAGTGCGAAGTCAGAACTTCCATGTGTTCAACAGTCATAATCATACACACCTCTCCTATCTGGCAGCAGCAAGGTAGCACCTTTCCTCCCACCAGTGCTGTCAGAGCAGGCCTGCTAAAAGAGAAGATTTAAACAAGAGTCACAGTCTTATAATATCTGGATGGCGAGGAGTCAATCCAAAATCACTTATCATACTAGAAGCCAGGAAAAGTTCAACTTGAATAACAAAGATGACACCGATGTTAGAATTGTCTGACAAGGATTTTTAAAGCAGCCATCAGAAAAATGCTATAATGAGCAATTATGAACGTGCTTGAAACAAATGAAAAAATAAAAAGAGGGAAGAAATAGAATCTATAAAGAGGAACCAAGTGGAACTGCAGAACTGAAAAATAACAACTGAAATTTTAAAATTCAGTGGATGGGCCCAACAGGTGAATGGGACAGGAAAGAATCAGTGAACTTTAAAAACAGAACGATAGACATTATCCATTCTGAGCAATAGAGAGAATTAGACTGGAAAAAATTAACAGCCTTTGAGACCTGTGGGACTAGAATAAAAGCTCTAATATTTGTGCCATGGGAATCCAGGAAGAAGATGAAAAAGGGGTTTGGGCTGAAAAAGTATTTGAAGAAATATGGCTGAAAATTCTCCAAATTTGACAAAAGATATATAAACCTACAGATTCAAGATTGGTGGACCTCAAACAGGATAAACCCAGAGAAATCCATACTAAGACACATAGTCCAATTTCTGAAATTGGGTAAAAAAAGAAAAGAAAATCTTGAAATCAGCTAGAAATACCTTAACCTATAGCAATTTGCATGACAGCAGATTTCTCATCTGAAATCTTGGGGGTCAGAAGGAAGTGGCACATTTTTCAAGTGCTGAACGAAAAGAACTCTCATTTACTATATCCAGTGAACATTTCCTTCGGGATTGCAGGGGGGAAATTAGAGAATTTGGCACAGCAGACCTACCCTAAATTAATGGCTAAAGGAACTTCTCTAAACAGATATGATAAAAGAAGTAATCTTGGAATATCAGGAAGGAAAAAAGTACAGTAGAAAGAATAAAACTATGTGTAAACACAATAGACTTTCCTTTTGCGCTTTCTAAATTATGTTTCATGATTAAAGCAAGAATTATAACATTGATTTAGTTTTTAGTGTGTATATAGAAACTATTTAAGGCAGTTATAAATGGGGGAGAGTAAAGGGAGGTGAGGTTTCTACATTTCACTTGAACTGGTACAGATACAATGGAAAATACTTCGTCAGTTTCTTTTTTTTGTTTTGTTTTTTTTAATCCTCACCCGAGGACATTTTTTCCATTTTTTGTTCAGATAGAGTGGGAGGGAGAGAGAGGAAGAGAGAGAGAGAGAGAAACATCGACGTGAAGGGACACATCAAGTGGCTGCCACCCGCACGACCAACCAAGGCCGGGGACAAACTGCAACCGAAGTACGTGCCCTTAGCGGGAACCGAACCCGGGTCTCTCCGGACCGCAGGCCGACGCTCTAACCGCTGAGCCAAACCGGCCAGGGCACTTCGTCAGTTTCTTTAAAAATTGAATGTACACTGATCATACGACCCAGTCATTACACTCATGAGCATTTATTCCAGAGAAATGAAAACAACTGTCCAAGTAAAAACTTGTACACGAATATTCATAGCAGCTTTATTTGTCATAACCCAAAACTAGAAACAACCAAAATGTCCTACAGGAGATGAATGGTTAAATAAACTAGTACATCCATGCTATGGAATACTGCTCAGGATTGAAAAGAAACCAGCTATTGAAACATGCAACAACTTGGATGATTCTCGAGAGCATTATGCTGAATGCAAGAGGGAAAAAAAAAAAGGCCTCATAGGGGCTTAAACGGGATGATTCTATTTGCATAACATTGTAAAAATGACATTCATAGAGATGTAGAATAGCTTAGTCATTACCTGCAGTTAGCGAAGGTAACTGGGAGAGAAGTAGGTATGAATATAAAAGGATAACAAGAGGCAGATCTTTGTGGTATTAGAACAGTTTTCTGTTTTGGTGATGGTTTTACAGATCTGCACATGTGATAAAATACTACAGAACTATACACAACATTGTACCAGTGTCAATATCTAGGTTTTGCTACATATACTTAGATTGGGTGAAACTGAGCCAGAGTGTACCCAGGTCCTGTCTGGACTATCTTTGCAACTTCTGTGAATAAATATTTCAAAACAGATTTTTTTAAAAAGGTGATTTATTGATATACACAACAAGGTAAAATCTTTTTTCAAAAAGTAAAATCTTTTTTCACTTAGCATAGTGTATTTTTTTTTCTTTCTTGTTTTTTTTATCCTCACCCGAGGACACTTTTTCCATTTTTTGTTCAGATAGAGTGGAGGGAAAGAGAGGAAGAGAGAGAGAGAGAGAGAGAAACATCGATGTGAAAGGGACACATTGAGTGGTTGCCACCTGCACAACCCAGCCAGGGCCAGGGACAATCTGCAACTAAAATATGTGCCTTTAGTGGGAACTGAACCCGGGTCTCTCTGGACCGCAGGCTGATGCTCTAACCGCTGAGCCAAACCGGCCAGGGCTGTATTTTGCTAAGTGAAGGAAGCCATACGCAAAAGGCTCCATACACACTGTATTATTCCATTTATGTTGACATGCAGGGCAAGGCAAACTATAGGGCAGAGAATGCATCAGTGGTTGCCTAGGATTAGGGGTTGGAGATTGGCTGTAAAGGGGCAGTACAAGGGAATTTTGGGGGACAGTGGAACAGTTCTGTGTCTGGTGATGATGGTCATTCAATTCTATGCATTTGTCAAAACTTATAAAACTGTAAAAGAGTGAATTTTACTATATATAAATTTTAAAAATCAAAAAGGAAACTATAGTAGTCAAACGAAAATATATTTTCTAAGAGTTTACCTTTTGATGACTGATAATTTTCCAAAAATTTCTAAGAAATATATGTATTTTCTTTCCCAACAGGTGGCATGAGTGAAGAAGACATGCTTCAGGCAGCTGTGACCATGTCTTTAGAAACTGTTAGAAATAATTTCATAACAGAAGAAAAAAAATAATACCTTTTACAAATCTCTAAAATATTCATACTTTCCAACATTGTCCTGTGTGATTAAAGCATAGGGTCCATTTTGGTAATGTGTCAAAGAGAACAATGTTCAACAGAGGAAATAAGACTTTTAGGTGGTTTGCAAATAAAAAGCTGAGAAAGAAAAAAATGCATCAATGGTAGGACTAAAGAATGATCCTTCAAATACTAGCCAAAGAGGCTTCTAGCAGTTAAAGAAATTTAGAATAGTTTTCTCGATGTTCCTTTTTAATTTTTGTGTGCAATATCTAACATGTCTAAACTAGGGCATTTTTCTTGAATCTTTTTGCAGACCAACTAAAAAGCTCTTGCCACAGAACTTTTTCCATATATTTTTGTTTTCTTCCCTTTGGTGTATATAATTTGGCTCACTTTCATCACCTAATAGTTGCTTCTATGTCTCATTAACTAAATCTTTTAGGACAGTATCTCTTTTCTATGTTGATAATAGTAATGGTTCCAGAAGGATAAGTGTTCTCCCTCCACCTGTGTATTGTGCACTTGGGTATTTTCTCATGTTATTGTCTCAGATCACAATTTATCTGCTACATGGCTTTTATTATTTTTCTACAACTCTTAAAAGATGGTAATCTTTCTTGGGATTTTTCTTTTTAAGCCCTCCAAGATGGGATCATTATTTCATGATTCTGGTGCATTCCTAAACTCTGAAGTCAGCTTGCACAAGTACTGAAGAATAAATGAGCATTTCTAAAATGTGTGAGCACATCCTTTCCCAGATGCTTCATTGATGTCTTCTTAGTTGTGTCAGAACTTTGCAGCTTTGTTGTAACCCTCTATCCAGCACCTTTTTATTTCCTCTTTTCAAGTTGAGAAAAACAGAAGCAAAGTATGCAAGCAAGTTTCCTTCTGTTGTAAGACAATATCTAATACCCACCATGAATGTATGATAGACAAAATTTGGCCTTCAATTTTAGTAGCAGCTTCATTTTATTTTTCCTCTTGTGACTGGAGCTATCTGTTCTGTTTACAGCTGGGTCACGGAATATAGATGTCAGTTTCTACTGTACATCTAATAGGTGTAGCTTGCCAGAGATTATGATCTGGAACAAGAAAATAATTTACTAACAAAATATATTTAAATTTATACTGTGATTTAACATTTGCATCATGTTTAAAATAGCTTATATAGAAGTCACACAGTACTGAATGAGTCTGTAAATAAGAAAGTATTTAGTTTTGATAAACGATCTTTAATTGAGATGGCTAGAGAGTTTCTTGCTATGTCAGTACAAGGGTATGGTTTAGGTGAAATAAACCATGTCTCTCTGAAATGGGCGCTTTAGATTCTGTCATCTGCTCTGCATCCCTCATTCTTTATCCCCTTTTGCAGCCCTTTTGAATGTTGAGTTGTTGTTCATAAGCTAAAATTTAAGAAGACATTTCAGCTGACAGCTTACAAAATTAAAGTATGGTATGTTGCCATACTGGTATGTGGTTGCACACATTTTATCAGGGAAATATTTTTGATCTAGGATTTATTGCTAAGTAAAAAGAGATGAGAAAATGCTTTTTATTTATGATTATGATACAGCTTTTCCTTGGAAAGAGACAGATTTTTTTTAGTCGTCATTTTGTGCCAAGTGAAATCTTCTGAAGTTTCCCTTACATAAAATTGGACACTTTTACTTTAAAATCTAGTTTTCTTTTGATAATTGAAAATGTTTCAGAAGAATTATAGAACTTGAGAACTGCAAGGGATGTTAGACTTTAGTACTACTCTTTCAAGACTCACAAATCAATATATATATTTGGTCTTTATCTTTTCCCATTGAAAATTTACATAAAACTCTACATACACTTGAATTGATGAGTTACCTAACATAAAAATGAGAAAACATGAACAAGTTTTACCTAGAGTTTATGAAGTTCTTATATTACACACCCTTGTTAAAGCCTTTAAGGAAATATGGCATGTTTGACCTTCATTTGTTAGGCATTTTTTAAAAGCAAAGCTGAGCACACACTGGATACATTCGAATGTGTTTATTTAGTTTGTTGTGACATTGTTATATTTGGCAGGCAGATTCAGAATCACTAGTAAACTCTCATCTTGTTTGGATTGGCTTAAGTTTAATTGAACACTTAAATTCCATTGATGACTAGTATCAAAAGATGTCAATGCTTATAACCACAGTATCAGAAAATGTAAAAGTTACAAATAGCTATAAATCACACATCAGGAACTGCTGTTTACTTTATACTACCTGGAAGAAAGTCGGGAACAATGGAATTCACAGCTGTCCTGCTAACACTTTATATTGAGATTTCCATTCTGTTTTATCAATTGGGAACACATTAATGTTTAATATTTAAACTACTGGTATCATTTTCTAATGTATAATTTGTATTACCAGTATAAATACAGTGGCAATGCTAGTGTTATAAGTAAAGTTTAAACAAGCTTTGGAAATGCCACTTTCATATTTTGAGATGTCATGGATTTAATAAATAGTTATTTATGTTTTAACATTCAGAATAGTTAACCTCTGATCTAAAACCATCAATATACATTTTTACAGGAACAAATATTTCAGTACTGTAAATTATTTGAAGCGGTTGCTGTAGGTAAACTATATTTCAATTCTAAGATCTTGGCCAAATAATTTACAATTCACAGACTATTTAAGGAGGTGCTTTTTTTTCTTTAAAACTTGATTTTTCTTAATTAAGACTTTATTTATGCCAAAATTAATGAGGAAAAAAACTCAAAACCAGATGAGACTCATAGGCAAAACTACCAATAGTCAACATTGTTTCATTTAATATTAAGTTCAATAAAGTAAATTTTATTCCAGTCGGAGCCTAAATCACATTTTTAATGTCTGCATGTTTGATACTATATTTAATAGTATCATGCTAGTGCCAAAATTTACTAAATGTCTTAAAATTGGCCCATTGGACCTGTGCATGTTAAAAAAAGAATTGATTCAGTACATAAGCAAAATATAATTTAAATATTTTCAGTTGAAATATCTTCATGTTTTAAATTCTTAAGATTCAATAATTAATATTGATGACTTATTAAAAACTTGACCTGCAATTAGAGAGGCCTGTGATCACCACTTACTTAAATTGTTATCTCCGGGCCCTAACAAGTATGGAGATGTTATGTGATCTTCATTAAGAAAACCCAGATTGGATCAACTAATCATCTCGGTAGTACAGATTATTGTATTTTTTTTTTAAAAGGTATTCCACATTTAATGGTGTGCTCTTTTTTTTTTTTTTTTTTAATCCTCAGAGTCAGCCGGGGACATTTTTTTGTTTTTTGTTCAGATAGAGTGGGAGGGAGAGAGAGGAAGAGAGAGAGAGAGAGAAACATTGACATGAAAGGGAAACATCGAGTGGTTGCCACCCACATGACCCAACCAGGGCCCGCGACAAACTGCAACCAAGGCACATGCCCTTAGTGGGAACCGAACCCAGGTCTCTCTGGACCACAGGCTGATGCTCTAACCGCCGAACCAAACTGGCCAGTTTGTATTATTTTTTAATCCTCACCCGAGGACATGGTTAAAGAGAGGTAGAGAATTAGGGGGAGAGAGAGAAACATCAATTGGTTGCCCTCTCTATGCTCCCTGAATGGACATCAAACCCATAACCTAGGAACGTGCCCTGATGGAATCAAACCAGCAACCTTTAGGTATACAAGATGATGCTCAACTGAGCCACACCGGCTGAGCTCATAATTTTCAAATAACTTTTCTTCATTCCTGGTCCCTTTATAACCAGCACTTTTTGCTAAAGAAGTGAACTGGCATAACAAAAATATTTCGTTACATTCTGCTTTCATGAATGAAAAGATTATTTACATGATTTGTTAATGCTTGAATTTTGATTTTTTTAATTTGAAGAAAATCTTTGCTGTTTTTATTTTTTCCAAAATGATCTGGCATTTTAAGAATTAATGCTAGTAACATCACTTCTAAATTCACAGTAATTGGCATGCTAAATAATGTATCAATACTTGACAACTGTGGACTCAGACGAGGAGTGGGGAGCAATAGTAAAATATATGTGGAAATGCCAGATTTATTGAGGAAGCACTTCAGTTTTCTCTTGCATAGTTCACAGGTGAATGTTTCTGGGAATGTTTTAATGTTTGTTTTTAAAGAGGAAAATGTACATTTGAATGTGGTTATCTAATTTCTACAGTAACACTGGATTACTAGGAATAACTTTTTAAAAATAATTCTTATGTATAAATAAACTATTTGAAATTCAAGTACAAAAAAAAATCTGAAATAAAGGCATTATCATTTGGCCATGACACAAGTGCACTGTGACGGTGCCATTTGCTCAGGACTCAACTCTGCAGTGCTTCTGTGTGCACCCCTCTCTGAGTGTTTCTGTTATTACACACACAGGCCTTCCTGTCTGGTCCTTAGAAAAGCTGGGCTTCCAAATCACTGTTGAACACTGAGGATTCTATTGTTAATGTGGATGTTCTATAAGTTGTATTTTAAATATCAAAGATTATTAAATAAAGGTAATGTTTGCTTTTTTATTTTTGTTTTTGTGTTTATTGTTAATTCCTAACCTTGCCATTCAGTTTGGTTGGAGGACCAGCAGCGTCCGCACCACCTGAGAATTTCAAAGTGCAGAGTTTCAGGCCACACTCCCAACTTCCGGAGGACCTGTTTTTAACAGGACCCCTTGCAGAGTGCAGTTGGAGAAGCATTGTTTCATGGGTCTCGGCGATGAATAAAGCAGGCCAGCTAGCTGCTGCCCAAGGGCGCAATTATCACTTGAGCCTCTGATCTTTTTTAAGAAGCTAAGAATCCCACGTTTTTATTTGAAATTAAGTTTTGCATGCTGGCTCTGAGGTGAGGGGGTGGTTCCTTTTTTCTGGTGAACAGAGAGAAGGCTGAAGAAGCTACTAGGTAGTGAACAAGAAATTGGGTGTAGGCAAAATCTTCCCATGTAAGGTTTCATAAGTAAAGTTAAGTATGGATTGTATTTCTATTTTATTACACCAAGCATTCTGGCCCCACTTTCTTTTTTTTTTTTTTTTTTTTATCCTCACCCGAGGACATTTTTCCATTTTTTGTTCAGGTAGAGCGGGAGAGAGAGGAACAGAGAGAGAGAGAGAAACATCGACGTGAAGGGACACATCGAGTGGCTGCCACCCGCACGACCCAACCAGGGCCGGGGACAAACTGCAACCGAGGTACATGCCCTTAGCGGGAACCGAACCCGCGTCTCTCAGGACCACAGGCTGACGCTCCAACCGCTGAGCCAAACCGGCCAGGGCCTGGCCCCACTTTCTAGACTATTCCCAAGCCTTTATTTATTTTACTAATTTATTTTTTGTTACAGATGTTTTTCCTTTTTCCCCCATTGACACCCTCCTCCCCATTCCCCACTTTTTGTCTATGTCCATCGGTTATGCATACATGCATATAAGTTCTGTGGTTTATTCCCAAGCCTTTAAAAAAATATTTTAAAAGGCCCATTAACTACATCTACCAAAAAGCATGCCAGTTTCTACCTTAAGTAACACTCCCCCCCCCCCCCCAAACTGGCTGAATGTTTAACACTGTAGGTATTGTTTAACCTATCTCAGATCAGAATTTTAGTCAAGACTCCCATTACCCACTTGTGCATTTTGTTTATCTCCCCGTTAATTCTATGCAATTATTTTCATCACCATCACATGACTACAGCTCAGTTTTCACACCTTGGTATATTTTGGTTGTTAATCCACATCATCTGGATCTCTCCCAGTTACACCCCTTTTGTCTTTCTCAGCCACTTCTAGTCCAGGACATCATATCACATAGAAACATGTACAATAACATCATAGCTATTCAATTGGCTTTCAGCCTATTTTTAAGTCCAGCCTTCCCAAAGCTGCTTAGCCCCATCATCCCAATTACCTTTAAGTGAATCTTCATTACTGTCAACATGTTATTGCAAGGAATAATATATGTAAACATTGGAAAGGATGATGCCAAATTGTTTGTTGAAATAACTGTATGCCTGGACAACCCAAGGAAATCAACTGAAATGCTACTGAACTAATAAGGGAGGTCATTTTACAAATGGGAAACTGATGCACACAGAGAGGTTAAGTAGCCTACGCAAGGTCATACAAGCTAATAAGTGAAAGATCCAGGCAGTCAGCCTGAGGCTCTGCACATCTAACCCATGGGCAAATGTTTAATAAATACGTCCAGAATGAGATGTGTTCTTTTAAAATCATTCTGATTTCAGGGAGAGCTTTTATTGCCTGATGCCATCATATTCCAACTAGTGAGGGCATTGCCATGTCCCATTCACAAATAGTGCAATGTGTTTCTCTGTGAATAAAATCAAAGAGAAAGACGTCAGTATAGTTAGTGCTATACATAAAAGAACTGCATACCTGTCCTATCCTTTTTTTTTAATCCTCACCTGAGGATATTTTTCTATTTATCTTCAGAAAGAATGGAAGGGAAAGAGAAAGAGAAACATTGCCGTGAGAGGGACACATCAACTGGTTGCCTCACGCATGACCCTGACTAGGGCTGGGGACGAACTGCAACCTAGGTACATGCCCTTGGCTGGAATAGAACCCAGGACTCATTGGTCCGCAGGCCCATGCTCTACAGCTGAGCCAAACCGGCTAGGGCTATCCTATTCTTATCAAAGCAAAAAGTTCGGGAGTCTCTCTGGCTGCGTTAATGTGTGTCCTGGTACCACTGCAGCAATAGCTTGCTTTTAAGTCAGGTGACCCTTCTTCCTTTAGGGAGGAAAGCAAGCAAGGCATGTGCAATCTGAGTAACAGCAAGTGCCACCAATACCATAGGCAGGATAGTAAGAAGCTAGGAAAATTCCTTGGCAAGTGGAATGACGGAAATTGAGAAAAGGTCAAACAATTAACAACCTGCTAATAAATCGCAAGGTCTTATCTTCCCTTACCAAGGACACTTAGGAGCAAATAGTTTATACCTCCCCTCCCCAACCAGAGAGTGAGTACTTAAATCACCCTGGTCAGGGAGACAGACAACAGAGGCCCAGCTGGTGCCATTAATGCCAGCCAAATCAGAACGGAGGAAGCAGGGGAATAAATAACAAAAAAGCCCAACTGGGGTCAGACAAATCCAAGGTAAAGGCAAAGCAGTGAATCTGACCAGAGAATGATCCCAAACTCTATCTTGACGCATCAGCACATTAAACAGCACACCTGAAGAGCTGAACATTCTGCTGAGACCCTCCCTGAGACATCTCCCAAAACTCCAACCTTTAGAAAACAGATAAGAACCCTCAAGATAAGGAACCCAGTTGGTGCTCGCTCTATTGAGTATGGTTGTGCCTCCCCGACCCTTTCCTCAGGTGTATACTTTCTTTTCTTTCCCCTAAGCTCTCGGGGTCCCCATGAGACTTGCAACCAGGGGAGCAGAGGGCAGTGGCAGTAACCCCCTGCACCTGTCTCCACAGGTCCTTCTTTTACCTCTGTAACTTGTTTCCTGAGTCCACACAGCCCAGCGTGGCTCACTTCTGTTGTTGTGACCATGACACTTCTATCTTTAGCCTTTCCTTTGTTTCACTGTCCCTAGCTTTAATAACCGTACTCTCAAAACCATCTGGACGGTGTTGTGAAATCCTTCCTACACCAAATGAACCCACACTTTTCAGACCACGGAGGGCAGACCACCCTCGGTCCGGTCCCTATGGGGTGACAATAGGAGAGTTTACATTAGAACAGCTATCCTTCCATATTAAGTCTGTCCTCTAATGAGTTATTTGGGGAAAAGGTGGCCTGTGTTTTTAAATTCATCCTTTAAGCCGGCTTCTTGAATAATGCTCTTCATATATTAAGGAAGGCAAGGTCTCAACATTGAGCTGGAAGCCACCAGAGCATTTCTACTATAAAAGGTAATCCATATGTGTTTCCTGCCTGGACGTTTGCATTTGCAACCCATCCTTCCCGTGTGTCCCCAGCTCCTCCCGGAGCGCCGGCACAGAGCAGAGCAGCCCTCGAGAGGTTATGGAACAATCGATACAGTAACCTGCGCTAAATTGTGTAAAGCCGCTCCCTGCACCGTGGAGCGACCCCGCCAAGTCTCCGCGCACCACTGCCTTCGCGGGTGGCAGAGTTAAAACACTGGTTTCACCCACACAGTGAGCCCACGGGGTTTCCGGGCCACGTCGGCTTCGCGGGCGCACCCAGCGAGGGTGGGCTCGGCCTGAAACACAACTTTTGCCCGCAGACAGCGCCGCGTCGCCCCGGGTTCCTGTAGAGACCCGCGTCCAAACCCGGCCGGGACCTGGAGGTCGACCGCGCTCTTTGCCGGAGGTAGCGGCCCGAGGACCACGTTCGGTCTTCCGCGATCCCACGCTCCTTTGCGCCAAGGACACGTCCGTCGGCTCCGCAGGACCCTTCTACGCCGCCGCGGCGCCTCTCTATGACCCATTGCCGCGTAGCGAGTGGGTGTCATGGCGGCCGGCGGGGAGTTGGCAGGAGTTGCCCACAGAACTGGGGGAAGTCACTAAAGCAGAGGAAGAAGTGGCCCAACTGGACGGTGGGAAGTCGTGGGAATGAGCAGAGACCCCGCGGGGGTGACTGTGTCACAGGAGGCAGGCCCCTGGTAAAGTCCCAGGCCAGGCCTCTGTGTTTCTGTGCAGAACGGGACGTTGGTGGGAGCCCCCCGAAGCCGGCGTTGCCTAGGAACCCCTCACTGTGTGCTCGAATCCTGAGCGTTTAGATTTTGGAGCGAAGGCAGCGGTTCGAGGACATTTGGTGGGATCGTCCGACGGTGCTGGACGCTTTTTTCGGAGCGGACCAGGTCGTTCTCTAACCCACAGCGATGTCGTCCTGGCTTGGGGGCTTCGGCTCCGGCTTGGGCCAGTCTCTGGGTCAAGTCGGGGGCAGCCTGGCCTCCCTCACTGGCCAAATTTCAAACTTTACGAAGGATATGCTGATGGAGGGCACGGAGGAAGTGGAAGGTAACAGCTGGAGCGATGGGGAGGGCTTTTCTGGGACCCAGAGAGCGTCCGTTTGGTCCCCACTTCCATCCGTCAGGAGACGTGGACGGGTCGCCGAGGAGTGTCACTCCGCCCCTTTTTTCTTTATACTTCATCTTTGCCGCTTAACCGACTTTTCTCTGATGTAAAACCCCTGGCGTCCGGGGGCAGAGTTCTGGTTCACCTCCCCTTAAATACTCGGGATATCTCCGAGTGGAGTGGAACTGCTCCTACCTTGAGTAGAGTTTATTTTTGTTTGGTTCATCTACGCCCACTGCTTGCTTTGGCCTTAACTTGGAGGCGGAACTGATTTTGATACTCTGCCTTTATACTGACAGTTAAAAACCAAACATCAATGTATGACACAAAGTCACTTTTTTTGTTAGATTGATGTAACAATTGCAGTAACTCATTAAGTATTTAGTGTCGCTAATCCTGCCTGACTTGAATATATTATTAGTGAAACAAGTAAACAAGTATGTTTGTCCTATTTGTTATTTTACATTTTAGCTTATTCTGGTGACAGCGTTCCAACTCAAAAAGTATTTTTCTGCCTAATTGCCCATTGCCCTAGTAGAACAAGGGACATGCTCGATTCTTTGGGTATCCTTAGCAACCTTCACTCATTTTTGAAGCCCTCATTTTGTGTTACTAATGAGTTGTGACTCAGAGTTGCATGGTAATCACTGGTTAATTACTCTTTTGATTTTTTAAGATTTCTTTTAGCAAGTAGTATTTAGATCAAAAGAGTTCTTTAATCTTACTCTAGGTCTGCCTCCAGGGAAGTAATGGGCTGGTCTTTTGGATGAAAGCAGTTCCTTAGACAGTTTTATACATTAATAAATTAGCATTCTGGTTTAATTTTTAAAATCCTGATTGAACTGAGCCTTCGTGTTTATTTGGCTGAAGTAAAGTTAGTTTGATGAAAAAAATTAGAGAGAGAGAGAATTTATGTGGGTCTATTTAGAGGGGAGGACAGTTGGTGAGCTGCTTAAATCCTTTTCACTGCTTGGTATACCCCTTGGGTGGGAGGTACATCAGGTGGGGCAGGTTGGGAAAGAGAGTGGAATGGATTCTTCCCGTGTTTGCCAAAGAAGGGGTCACGTGACCTTGAGGGCAGGCACAAGCAGAGAAGGGCTGGATAACATAGGAAGTGACTAATCTTTCCTTGTGTCCCAGGTAGGGAAAAACAGTTGGCAATTTCTTTGACCCTAAATCAGAAAATATGCATACCCCCAACCTGGATGTCCTGCAGGCCTAAGGTGGAATTCATTTTGTTCTTCCCACCAAATATGTTCCTATATTCTGTCTTAATGGTTTCACCATCTACCCAGTCTCCTAAAGTAGAAATCTTTGTCATCTTTGCTTTGCCTCTTTTTCATCTCCTACTTCCATTTGGTCACCAAATCTTGTTCATCCTGTGCCAGAATTGCTTCTTATATCTGTCCTTTCTTTTATTATGCCTATTTCTTTAGTTCATATCCCCATTATCTTTACCACACACTATTTCTTTTTCACATCCTGTCATCCATTTCTCCCTACTCCACTCCATTTTCAGTTGTGTTGCCAGTTACTCTTCTAAAAACAAATGTGCTGCCCTGGCCGGTTTGGCTCAGCAGTTAGAGCATCAGCCCGCGGACGAAAGAGCCGTGGGTTCTGTTCCCACTAAGAGCATGTACCTTGCAGTTTGTCCCTGGCTCCGTTTGGGGTCATGTGGGTGGCAACCACTTGATGTGTCTCTCTCACGTTGATGTTTCTCTTTCTTTCTTCCTCTCTCCCTCCCTCTCTGAAGATGAATGCAAAAATGTCCTCAGGTGAGGATTAAAAAAATAAATAAAAAATAAAAACAAAATGTGCTTTAAAACCTCTTCTAAAAACAAATGTGTTTTAAAACCTCTTGACCCTATTACTTACGCAGTAAAGTCCAAACCTCTTAGTTTTGTGATACCGGAAAACTACCCTATCTGGGTTCAACCTACCTTTTCAAGTCTTATCTCTTGTCCCCTCTTTCTCTTCCATTTGCCAAACATATGCACATTCACATACACGTGCATGTTTGCACCCAGAGCTTATGCCACATGGAACCTTGTATACCTACACAACCTCAAGCCTCTGCATGGAAGCCTTTCCTTTTCTGCTTCCTCCTCTGTCCTCCTTTGCCTAGAAAATAATTTTTCCTGTATGACCCTTCTCACGTGTCTGGTACTTGGTGAAACCATTCTCATTCCATGGCAGATAGAATTGATGCATTAAAAATCTGTGTTCTAACAGAACTTTTGGATCTCTCTCCGACAGCAATTACCATGTCGAGTTATAATTGATCTCTTTCCTTGATGCCCAGGGTAGGGGCTCTACTTTATCCTTATGTTACCAGTATGTGGCATCTTCTACATAGTAATAGTAGAAGCTCAGTAAAAATTTTGCTCAGTGATTAAAAATCTTCAAAGTTGCTTAGTGCTTTTGTTTTCCTTTGTGTTAAAATAGGACTTGCTTAACACCTAATTACTGGTTTTGTAAATCATTTAAAAATAGGGTCAGAGTACAGTTCATTTATTCATGCAACAAGTATTTATTGAGTGTGTATCATATGTCAACAGTGAACAAGATAATAGTGTCAAAATAGTCCTGTTAGTACAACTTGGAAATCATTTATATTTACAATATCAGAAAGTTGTTATTTTTCCAAACAAACAATGTACTGATTTATTCAAGGTTAGGAGCTTGAGCTTTTACTTCAGGCATGGGTTGAAATTCTACTTCCATGCATTAAGAATTGTGGGATCTTTGGCAAATTATTCAATACTTAACCTGTAAAAGGTAGAGTTTCCTTATCTGTAAAATAGAGATAATCATACCTATCATGAGGTTTGGGAGGATTAAATGAAATCATGAGTGTAAAACACCTAACACTGTGCCTAGAGAATAGTAAGCATTAATAAACAGTAGCTATTGTTTTTGTTTTCCCTTATTGAGGAATAATTTTTTGGTCTGTATAACATCTATCTTCCCTTTATTCTTAAAAAGGCCAGATTTTTGTGGGGGAGGTGAAGAGGGAGGTCTGCATTAATTTTTTTTTTCAATCCATTTTTGAAACAATTGCTGTTTCTATAATTACCTTCCTAAACAGATTAGATTATAATTTGTTTTCTTCTGAGTAGCAATTACAGACAGTCCTGTCAGAGTTTTAAGCAAGATATGTAAACAACCACAGAAACAACCACACCTGGTGATTTTCAAAACAAGAAGAGTGGGTTTGTCACTTTTATTGGACACCACTTATATGTTCTTTTAATTTAAACTATAATTCACAGTATTTATTTTTGTCGTATTTAAATACTGTGATAATGAAAAATACTAGCACTTAGGAAGAAACCTAACTGTGGATGATAATTTCCTGGCAACATCAGTGGTGCTATTTACCACTTCTGGCCTCTGAATCTTCTCGTAAATGAAAATGTACCAAACCAGACTGAGCTAGTCCTCTTTTAAATAAATTGTGTCTATGTTATTTGAAATAAGTATTCTTTTAGTATATTTTCATTCTGTGTTAATAGGTCATTAATTATTTGATAGTCCTGGAAGCAGAAGTAGTTAGAAATAAGGCCTTAACCCCAGTTCCATAAATATCATTTAAACACAGAGAGATTTAATTTGCAGAACTTAATTTTCCACATTTTAGTGAACACTTCCAAGGGATAAAGGAAGACACCCTAGGGTGTATAGATAGGCAAAAAGGACTTCTCTGACAGTAATGAACACTTGCGGCAGTAGGAAGTAGTGATAAAATCAAGTTATATTTATCTTCTGGATATGTTCTCAATCAGCATACCACTCTGTTTAAAGCTCAGTGAAGTATATTTCCCTTACAGTGCCTTTCTATTAGTTTATATGGTGTTGATCATATATTCAGTTTGTGCTGTTTCTTTTGTAGCAGAATTACCTAATTCTAGGACAAAGGAAATTGAAGCCACTCATGCATTCTTAAGATTGGAGGTAAGGAAAATTAAAGACTACTGTTGAACTTGGATTTTTCTTTTTCAAAACCATGAAAGTTATTCATGCTTTATTTCAATCTTCTCTTTTTAATGCACTGCTTACCACTTTTTATCTCTTGCTCTTTATATTTTTTTTTAAAGCATTATCATCTTCTTTTAGATAAAGAATATATTTATAAGTTGCTGCACTTTGCTATTTAATATTCCCACCTCTGCTTCTATATGATGGAAGTAGGAAAACTGCCAAATGTAGAAATAATAGTGGCAACAACTTATCATTGTCAAGGATTTACTGTGTTCTAACAGTGCTGAATTGCAGAACCACATTTATTTAAGTTAATGTGAAGAATGCAGTTCTTTTTAATCTGGAACTGTTAAATTCCCTAACAGTAAAAAAAAGTGTGATATTTGTATGCAAAGAAGTTAATAATATAAGAATAGCAAATTGGTTTTATCACCTTTTTCATTATTAGTGTCTTGTGGCAACTAGCCCAGGGCATTGTACTTAATAGGGATGAGGAAAACTTGGAAAGGTTCAGAGGAAAGCCACAAAGACATGAGAGGATTTAAAGTGGGATCTATTATAAATACGAGATGTTCAGTGATTTAGTCTTTGGATAAGAGGAATAAGGGAACACTTAATAGTATTTCAGCAACAGGTATTCTTAGAGGACTGTGGTAAGCATGTTTTTCTATGTGTCAAGCCCATAAAAAGAAAACTGAATTTAAATAATAAGAAAATATTTACTTGCAACAAAGATTTTTGAGTTCTGGTCGAGATTGCAAGGTGAGATTATGGAATTTGAAAGTAGAGGGACCTCTCAAGAGGAAATATAGTAGTATTCTGCCTCAACAGAAGATGGCAGTTTGGTGTCACTTAAGAGATGATAGCTGTGATTACCTAATAAGTAGCCGCTTTAGGTGAACTATTTAGGTGAACTTAATAGCTTCTTTCTTAGTAAGGCTGAGATAGGAAATTGTTCCTGTAGTCCCTAGAGAAATCTTTAGTACAGGCCCACCAAGAAAAATTATATGGCACAGATGTGTGTAGTGGCATTAATTTAGGTAAATTTGCCAGTGTACATTTTGGGGGGGGAAAGGTAAATAGGGTTGCCCTGGCCAGTTTGGCTTAGCAAATAGAACATTGGCCCGCAGACCAGAGAGTCCTGGGTTTGGTTCTCGCTGGGGGCACGTACCTTGGTTGTAGGTTGTCCCCTGCCTCAGTTGGGGTCGTGTGGGTGGCGACCACTCTATGTGTCTCTCTTGCTTTAATGTTTCTCTCTCTTCCTCCCTTTCTCCCTCCCGCTCTATCTGAAGATGAATGCAAAAATGTCCTCTGGTGAGGATTTAAACAAAAAAAAGTAAATAGGGTTAACCTGCTAAAGGAGTGTCTGCTCTGTATTGAGTTTGAGACTGGAGCCCTGGCCGGTTTGGCTCAGTGGTTGGAACGTCGGCCTGCGGACCAGAGAGTCCCGGGGTCAGTTCCCACTAGGGGCATGTCCCAACAAAAGAGAGAGAGAGCGTTTGAGACTGGAGATAGAAATCTTCTGTCCCTCTTTGATCTCAAGTCTAATTTCTCATACAGTTGTCCCTTGCCACTTTGCGCTTCGACTTTCCCGGCTTCACTCTATCGTGGTTTTTTAACTTAACCACTGTAGAGCGAAGCTACGAAAGTCGAAGTGTGAAGTGGTGAGGGACGACTGTATATAAATAAAGAATACTGCTTCGCGGAAATTCATTTATCGCGGTAGTCTGGAACTGCTTAACTGCAATAAACAAGTACTGACTGTACTGTTATCTTGGGCTGCATGGTAAATATGATATTAGTGTTTAGAAATATATGTATGTTTAGTATAACACATCTGCAAATGAAAGCCAACTTCCTCATTTCGTGCTTATTCAAAGTAATGTGAACTATTCTAGTACTAGGGGAAAACAGACTATTGGACTTCTCAAGGGCTTCATTTTTTTATTTTATATATTTTTTATTGATTTTAGAGAGAGAGAGAAAGGGAGAGAGAGATGGAAACATCAATGAGAGAGAAACATTAATCGTCTGCCTTCTGCACACCCCCAGTGGGGCTCAAGCCTGCTACCCAGGTATGTGCCCCAACTGGGAATCAAACCTGTCACCTGTGGGTGCATGGGACAGTGCTCAACCAACAGAGTCACACCAGCCAGGGCTCAAGGGCTTTATTTTCTAATGTGGTTTTCTTTTTTTTTTTTTAATCCTCACCCAAGGATATTTTTCCACTTATCTTCAGATAGAATGGGGGCGGAAAGAGAGAGAAAGCAACGTTGATGTGAGAGAGATACATCGACTGGTTGCCTCCTGCACAACCCCGAACAGGGCTTGGGACCAAGCTGCAACCAAGGTATGTGCCCTTGACTGGAATCGAATCTGGGACTCTTTGGTCCATGGGCCAATGCTCCTACAGCTGAGCCACACCGGCCAGGGCTAAGGTGATTTTAACTATACATGATTCTTGCCTTATATCAACACATAAGCATTTCACACCCTAAGCCCTTATGTGACCATGCAATGAGAGAATAAGGTGAAGGTATGATTGAAGCTGTCAAGAAACTTGCAATATAAATTTCTATTTAGAAAGTTAGTTTAGACAGAGGGCAGCGTGTTTTCCAGAGGAGATTAGATTTGCATACAGATGTTAATATATAAAGGTGACTGAATTAATTGGGTTTCTTTAGTTGCAAATAACAGCAACCAACCTAAGCAAATTTAGCCTTCTATGCCAAGAAAAATAGTTAATCACGTTTACCACCTGGATCCAATGGGCTCTTTTAATTTTTTTAATATTAAATCATTTTAAAAGTAATTTACGGGAAGTAAGAATAAAGTCATAGTGAAAACCTTTATTATACATTTTAATAAGAATTTATATATAACAAACCCAAATTGTTATTCTGTATTAACTCTTATGCATGAACTGGAATGTATCTTATCTTGTAAATACTGATTCTAGATTCACTTACATTTCTAATAGATTTTATCTTATTATTACTTCTGGTTCTTTTTGTTTACTTGTATTATTAAACCCAGTACTTTGGAAAACTTTGATGGTTCATGATTATGTTGAAGAGATAATGGCTTATCATCTTTGTTGCATAATTACAAAGCATTTTTATTCTTTGATTTATAAATACCAATTTAAATGATTAATCATCTAAATTTTTTTTTCGTTTTTGTTAATCCTCACTGGAGGATATATATACATATTTTTTTATTCCTCACCTGAGGATGCTTTTCTGTTTATCATCAGATAGAGTGGGAGGGAGGGAGGGAGGGAGGGAGAGAAAGGGAGACAGAGAGAAACATCGATGTAATAGAGCCACATCAACTGATTGTATCCTGTACCACCCAACCAGGACCGGGGACAAACCACAACCAAGGTAGGTGCCCTTGACTGGAATCGAACCCATGACTCATTGGTCTGGGGCTGATGCTCTAACTGCTGAGCCAAACCGGCCAGGGCACTGAGTATATTTTTTCCATTGATTTTTAGAGAAAGTGGAAAGAGGAAGGGAGAGAGAGAGAGAAACATTGATGTGTCTGATGTGAGAGAGACACATTGATTGGTTGCCTCCCTCACATGCCCCAACAGGGGCTGGGGATTGGACCTGAAACCCAGGTCCATGCCTTTGACCAGGAATCAAACCCGAGACTCTTTGGTTCAAGGGCCAGCAGTCTAACCAATGAGCCCACCAGCCGGGGCATGACTATCCTTTAGATAGTTAGGACTACTCAAAAAAGAGATTCACAAGCGAAAATTGGTTCCAGTAGACCTTGATGGTATAACAAGGGTTAAGAAGGGAATAATTTTTAAAAAAAGCACATTTTTTCTTTATTGATTTGAGAGAGAGAGGAAGGGAGATGGAGAGAGAGAGAAACATCGATGAGAGAGAACATCGATTGGCTGCCTCCTACATGCCCCCCACTGGGGATCAGGCCCACAAGCTGGGCTCGTGCCCTGACTGGAAATTGAACCAGGGACCTCTTGGTGCATGGGTCAACGCTCAACCACTGAGCCACACCAGCTGGGCAAAAAGGGAATAATTTAAGGATGAGAGTTTCTTATGGATTCTAAGAGCAGAAATTGTAGCCAGTCTTTAAGAAGGATCTGCAACCAGAACTGGAGGCCCTCGGGAATCTGTCTCATTCTTGCTTCTCTCTTCTTCTTTATGTATGCATATTCTTTTCTCCCTCAAACCAGCCCTCTCTGCTTCATATTCCACATAATAAAAATGGCCCATGACAGCTTCTGTTCTGTTATGGGTCAGCACATGAAAAGAGTCTGTCCTTTATGTGCTTTCTGACTCACATGGCTAGAGAAATGAGGGAGACAACCCAGTTAGGTATTGGCCAAATTGAACATTTTGGAGTTCTCGTCATTCATCAGAGTTAAACCAATAGCTTTAAGTATTGTATGTAGAAAAGCCTAGAGTGGACTTTTATGACTAGGTTTTGACTTCACTATATTGTATTGCTTTAATTATGTATGGTGTTTTTTGTGTTAACAAAATATCATGTAAAAGCAGCCAATAGAATAGAAAGTAATTGGTTGTTTGACCATTGGTCCTATTTATTATTATTTCTTCAGTGTAACCAAGGTCTGTGTTAGATTTCTGGAGATAGTCTGCCAAAGTAGGATTTGTTTATGTTGTAATTTTTCCATTAATTTACTCCACTGATTTTTCTCTGGGAATTCATATAATTTCACACCTGTCAATATAAGGAATTCCTTTAATTTAAGAAGAAAGCATATCCTCAAAATGAAAAAGTCTTCACCTTCTAACAGCAGCTTTCTTTTCCACCATCAGTCTCCTTATTCTCAGTTATTATTGTTAAACTGTGTTTGTAGTTATATTAGTAGAATCCTTAGTAAATTATTATCTGTAATAATTTGTAAATTCCTTTTTGCAGAAAGTCTTAGTGTTCATTTCTCTTGCTCCATTATGTACTTATTCATTCAAATTTCAGAGAATGATACTAGGTTAAGATAATTTAATATATAGGTACATAAAATTTTAAGTAACTTTTTTTATACATGTCAACCTCTTAGAGGACTGTGATATCTAGATTCATTGAATTAAACTTAGAATATTTTTGTGTACTTCTAACTATAGCTTTTAAAACCAAGGAGTTTTCACATTGGATTTTTCAGAGGTGCCTCAGGAGCCTCTGGGGTTCAGGCAGACACATGGTGTGAGGCTTTGGCCTCCTATCTGTACTTCAGCCAGAAGTCTTTTTATTTATTTATTTTATTTTTTCTATATTGATTTTTAGAGAGAGAGGAAGGGAAAGGGAGAGAGAGATAGAAACATCGATGAGAGAGGACATGATTGGCCTCCTCCTGCATGCCCCCCACTGGGGATTTGGCCCACAACCTGGGCATGTACCCTGACTGGGAATTGAACTGGTGACCTCTTGGTGTATGGGTCGACCCTCAACCACTGAGCCACACCAGCCAGGCTAGAAGTCTTTTGAAAAAGATTTATTATAAAAAGTTTTACTGTTTGGAGAGAAAACAAAAGTTTAAACATGTAATCTAGCTCATTCATTTAGCAGACATTTACTGCCTATTATATGCTAGAAATTGGGTATACAAGATAGGGGAAACATTGATTAATGACTTTTTCTTAGTAGAAAATCAAACTGAGGAAGATTTATTTTTTTACTTTGGTTAAGAATTATGCATAATTTCTATAACATGCTTATTGCACTAGTAACTTTAATGAAATGTGTATTTTAAAGGCCATAATTTGGTCAGACCTAGAAGCAATGTTTTTCATAATGCCATACATATAACTGTTACTAACATGTTTTACTCTTTTTGTTGAAATACTTTTTTCTTTGCTTCTAGAATGAAAGACTTAAGAAACTTTGCTCTGATCTGGAAGAGAAGCATGAAGCTTCAGAACTTCAAATAAAGCATCAATCTACAAGTTATCGAAACCAACTACAACAGAAAGAGGTAAAGGTTATTACAGTACTTCATTCTGTTTTACTGTACTATATTTAGGAAGTTTTTAAGAGTTATAAATCAAGCTATATGTAGATCCATAAAAATATTGAAAGGGTATTGAAGTTAACACCAATTCAGTTTGATATCATTAATTTAACAAGATCTCTGTAAGCTCTTTTATTATGTTTATGTTACATAAACTAACCTTTGTGGAGTTTAATTTCTGCTTTCCAAAAGAAGAAAAGTCCTTGTATAAAATATCTTTAGGCATCTGTTGCTTATAAATTCTCATTTTATGAAACCTAATTTCTTATCTATTTCCTTAAAATTATTTGAAATCAGTACAACCATTGCTAATTTTAACTGCAAGTGTTAATATATGCTATTTTGGTATTTACTTGATTTTCCATAGAAAAACAAAATATTAAGTATTTTATAGTTGACTTATGCTGTTCCATACTTTTTTTTTCCCCCTTTAGTTTGATAGAAGTAATTATTTCGGAATTGGCTTATCTTTTCTTTGCAGTGCTGTTAATTGTTAATAGATAGTATATATAACCAATCTTATCATGAATCCTTAAAATATAGACTGTCTCTCTATGTTTCATTCTGTTGAATTCTCTTTAGTGTTCAGTATGTAACTAGAATTCAGTAAACACTTCTATTGAATAGAACCATTTCTTGTTTCATTAAGATCATTTGGCTGTTCTTCATTTTGTTGATTAAATGTTCATTTCTACCATAAATTCATATTTGGGTTTTTAAAATTTAGATGCACTGATTTCTAGTTCCTTTAGTGACATATTAAGATAAAATTAAAGCAAATCATGTTAAAGATAAATATAAACATTTTAAAAAGAGCTTAATTTCCAGTCTGTTAGGAATTTATTTCATAAAATAGAATAAAATGAATTACAACAAAAAATGAATATAAAAAAAGCATAACTGCAAGTTCAAATTAAAGTTAAAAGCCCACCATTTTTAAGAAGGCTCAACATATATAAAATTACTCTGTTAAATTGCTGTAAAAGTCTTTACGCTTTACTCTTTGAATTTCTGTACTTTTCATGGGCAGGTAGCAAACATTCATGGCATCAGTCTACACACCACACTTTGAGTAGGACTGACTTATAGGTATTACAGTAGAGCAGTAGTTCCCACCCAGGGGTTTACAGCTGAATCATAAGTGACACTTAATAAATACACAGGCTCGCCCTGGTTAGTTTGGCTCAGTGGTTAGAACGTCTGGCCCTCGGACCAAAGAGTCGCAGGTTTGATTCTGGTCAAGGGCAGTTCTGGCCCTGGCCCTGGCCAGGGTCATGCGGGAGGCAGTCAGATGCTGTGTCTCTTTTGCATCGATGTTTCTCTCTTTCTCTCTCCCTCCCTACCACCCTCCCTTCCACTCTGTCTAAAAATAAATGGAAAAATATCCTCAGGTGAGGATTAAAAAAAAATAATAATACACAGGCTCATGTATTCCAGAACATTCTGGTTTCGCATACTGGGAAGAGCCCTGGTATTTTTTGAAAATGCTTACATCCTGGTTGAAAACACTGTTGTGGAAAACTGGCATTTTATATTATATTATACCTATTGATATTGGAGGGCAAATTAAGCATTCAACTTTAGAAATGCTTCTTTGTTGTTAGAGCTTACACTTTTAAACTCTACAACTTGATATAAATGGCTGTTGTATAATGAGAACTTTCTTTGAGTTATAGCTACATTTTTTAAAAAATTGTGGATTTTAGTACTTTTTACCAGACTGAAAGATAATACATCAATATACTTTATAGCAGAATCTATTTGCTATCCTCACTGTGATGCTCATATTCCCCAAAGATACAATTTGCCTTGCCTAGCCGGTGTGGCTCAGTGTTTGAGCATCGACCCATGCACCAAGAGGTCACCGGTTTGATTCCTGGTCAGGGCACATGCCCAGGTTGTGGGCCTAATCCCTAATGGGGGGCATGCAGGAGGCGACCAATCAATGTTCTCTCATCAATGTTTCTCTTTCTCCATCTCCCTTCCTCTCTCTCTCTCTCTAATATCAATAAAGGAAAAAAGATGCAATTTGCTTAATATTATTTATGGAAAAATGAATGAAATTTGTGTACAACTGTTAGAATCTCCATTAGAGAAGTAACTCTAATGTGAAAAACCTGTTTGTTATGACATTTGATACAGTTGTGTTTGGTTTTTCTTTGTCTAGTTGCTTAACATTACACATGTAGAAATATTATATTACTTATTGGTTTGTCTCTTCAAGTATCCAGTTTTCCTCACTTGTGGCAGGATTCCTTCTGGACTAGGTGGACTATTTTAGAAAGCTTATTTTAGTTCTCTCTAGCTTCTGTGTTTTGTCTCAGAATGGATGTGGCATTATGGTTAAGTCCTGTGTGCACAACTTCTTTTGGACGATGACTTATCAAAACTCTGCTCAGGGTTTTATGATGTTTATACTGTTCTCTCCCTGAGTAGAGTCAAATTTTCACTGGCCCCTCTTTGCCATGGCTAAAGCCAAGGCTTCTTTCAATGTACGATTTCCTCCTAAGATTCATGAGCCAATAACCACAGGCTCACTGTGTTTGTTATCTGAGAAGACTGGATTAATGATCAAAGCATTCTTCCAGCTGTGTTGTATAAACCACTACAAAGTTACTCCTGATTCATGGTGCATTTTAAGCCTAAATCCAGCCATAATCAGATACATAAGACTTTTCCAGCAGATGGTCTCAAGAAACTGTCCAGCGCATAGCCTGACCCAGCTTTCACTTTCTCATCATTTGAGGTTCAATAATCACAAACAGAACATTGAGAAATTGTCTATCCTACCTGGTACATAGAAGCTAGTAAACCCATGTTTAACTAAGAGATTCATTGCTTTAGTTATCATATGAGTGAAATTCTGATCTTCACACTATCCAAAACATTATCTATGCTTTAATTATGTTAATTATATTTTCTTTTTATTTTCTTTACTTACTTAATTTTTTTTTTGTACGTGCCCCTAGCTGGAACCGAACCCAGGATTCTCTGGTCTGTAGGCCGACGCTCCACCCGCTGAGCCAAACCAACCAGGGCCTATTTAATTTTTAAATATGTTTTTGTTGGTTTTGAGAGAGGGGTGGTGAGGGAGAGAGAGAAAAATGTTGATCAGCTGCCATTTGCACAACCCCCAGCAATGATGAAGCCTGTAACCCAGGCACATACCCCTGATTGGGAATTGAACCAGTGACCGCTTGGTATCTGGGATGATGCTCAACCAACTGAGCCACACCTACTGGGCTATGTTTGCTTTTTAAATAACAATGTTATGGTTGGGATGTTATAGAAGACTTGGATTCAGCTCAGCCGGTGTGGCGCAGTAGATTGTGTCGTCCCATAGACTGAGAGGTCCCGATTCAATGCCCAGGTTTTGGGTTTGATCCCCAGTAGGGATGTTTCTTTCCCACATCAGTGCTTCTCTCTCTCTCTCCCTTCTTTTCTCTAAAAATTCAATAAAAACATATTTTTAAAAAAAAATGATGACTTGGATTCAGTTGCTAGCATGCCATCACTGGATAATGTAAAACAAATTATTATGACTTAATATTATGAATCTATAATATGGTTAAAGTACCTTTTCTAAAATATGGATTATAAATATATAGGTAGAAATCAGCCATCTTAAAGCAAGACATATGGCGCTACAAGATCAGTTGCTGAGGCTACAGTCAGCTCAGGGAGTAAATTCAGAAGCTGGCAGTATACCAACAACCACAGCATCATCTTCATTCAGCTATGGTGTCAGTCATCAAGCTTCAGCTTTCCATGACGATGACATGGATTTTAGTGATGTAATTTCATCACAACAGGAAATAAACAGATTGTCAAATGAAATTTTAAGACTTGAATCTGAAGTTGGACATTGGAGGCGTATTGCTCAGGTGGGTAAACTTTTCATGAAGTTTTGGAAACAGCGAATGAAAATACTGGTGCAATGTGTAGAGCTTTTGGTATCAGAACTCTGGCCTAGGAAACCGACACCTGTATTCTAATTCTGCCAGTAACTTTCTAAGTGATTTTAATCAGGTCATCTTTCTCTCTCAACCTCAGTTTCCCCTTCTGCATGATATTTGGAAGAAACTTTCAAAATAAAAATGGAGTTGCTGTGGTTGAACCCAGCACCTTTTCCCAGAGTTCCTAAGACTTCACTGCTGGAAATCAGGGCTCCAAGGCACAAGATTTGCAGCTGCTTGCTTAGATACTGTCTGAGGTGCCTTTGCATTAATTATATGTAAAATGAAAATCTGATAATTGATATTATAAATTTGTTAAACTATTTTGTGTTGTTTCTTATGCATTAGAAATGAAATATTTGCTATTTTGGGCTGTAAACTTTCTTCCAGGGAACACTTTTTGTCTTACATATCAGATTTTATGTAAACTACTAAAGTTGCTGATAGACGTGAGATTCAAAATAAACTGTGACATTGTTCATATGGGTTTAATTTTATCAGTGTAGAGGAAAATAAAGCATTTTCTCTTTGTGAGTGTAATCTGATTGTGTAAAGGAGAAATCCTCCCAATTAAAATGATTTTCTTGCTTCACAAGTTGCTAAACATGTCTAATACCCAAAATAAATCCAGAGAGAATGATCTGTCTTTCCATATTATCTCTAAAAAGTAGTAGTTCTTAAAGATTGTACATGTTAGAATAACTTGGGGAACTTGATAATATTGTAGATTCTCTGTCCTCCCTTCAGAGATTAGAATTTTGTAGCCTATTTGGGGTGTTGAAAACTTCATGCAAACAAGTAAATGCCATAGGTGATTCTGAGAATATGAGTAATACATGTTTTTTTAATCCTTACTGAGGATACCATTGATTTTTAGATAGAATGGGAGGAAGGGAGAGAGAGAGAGAAACATTGATGTGAGAGAGACACATTGATTGACTCCCTACCACATATCCCTGACTGGGGCCATGGATTGAACCTGCAACCAAAATACGTGCCCTTGACGGGAAATCAAACCCCAGACTTCAGTCCAAGGGCTAACACTCTGACTGCTGAGCCAAACCGGCCAGGGCTGAATAATGCATTGATTAGGGTACAACTTCATAAGGAAGAGATGGATTATTCATATGTTTACTTAAGTGTACTTTGAATGCCTATGACAAACCTGTATTGGGATATAAAGGTGAAAAAGGCATAATTGGGACCTTTCAGGGAACTTAATTTTCTAGTAAGGCATAATAAAAATTAATATTTGTATTATACTTTACAAGATGTTTCCATATATACTATCCCAATATATGTTATATTATCCTTAATAGGTATTGAGGTATTTATTACTTCTATTTTGTAGATGAACAGAGTAGAAGTTTAAGTAAAACACCCACAGTCACAGTGATTAAGCTGTTATTCAAATGCATGTCTTTCTACTCTAAATCCTATTGTATTTCCATTATACTGTGTTCTTTTTTTTTAAGATTTTTAAATTGATTTTTATTTATTTTATTTTTTTAAATCTTTATTGTTGAATGTATTAAAGATGTTCCTCATTTTTCCCTCCTGCCCACTCCCGCCCCCCTCCCACCTTTTCCCACACTATTTTCTGTGTCCATTGGTTATGCATATAAGTTCTTTGGTTTATTTCTTCCCACCCTCCAACCCCTTTCCCTTTGAGGTTCGTCAGTCTAGCAATGAATTTGTACTTCTTATTTTATTTATTTATTTTTTTATCCTCACCTGAGGACATTTTTGATATTTTGTTCAGATAGAGTGGGAGGGAGAGAGAGAGAGAGAGAAACATCAACGTGAAAGGGACACATTGAATGGTTGCCACCCATACTACCCAACCAGGGCCGGGGACAAACTGCAACTGAGGTACGTGCCCTTAGCGGGAACTGAACCCAGGTCTCTCCGCAGGCCAACGCTCTAACTGCTGTGCCAAACCGGCCAGGTCGAATTTGTACTTTTTAATTCCTTCACCTTTTTCTCCCATTCCCCCAACCCCCCTCCCATCTGGCAACCAACAAAATGTTCTCTGTATCTATGAGAATGTTTCTGTTCTGCCTGTTCATTTTGTTTGTAGATTACATTGTCGATAGATATGTATTCATTGCCATTTTGTTTGTTCATATATTTTATCTTTTTCTTCAAAAAGACCCTTCAACATTTCATATAATAACGGTTTGGAGGTGATGAACTCCTTTAACTTTTTCTTGTCTGGGAAACTCTTTATATGGCCATCTATTCTAAATGACAGCTTTGCAGGCTAGAGTAATCTTGGTTGTAGGTTCTTGCTTTTCATCACTCTGAATATTTCTTGCCACTCCCTTCTGGCCTGCAAAGTTTCTTTTGAGAAATCAGCTGACAGCCTTATGGGAACCCCCTTGTAGGTAACTAACTGCTTTTCTCTTGCTGCTTTGAAGATTCTCTTTGTCTTGAACCTTTTGCATTTTGATGATGATGTGTCTTGGTGTGGGCCTCTTGTGGTTCATCTTGTTTGGGACTCTCTGTGCTTCCAGGACTTGTATGTCAGTTTCCTTCACCAGGTTGGGGAAGTTTTCTGCCATTATTGTTTCAAATAGGTTTTCAATTTCTTGTTCTCTCTCTTCTCCTTCAGGCACCCCCAAGATGCGAATGTTGGCACGCTTGAAGTTGTCCCAGAGGCTCCTTACCCTATCCTAATTTTTTTGGATTCTTTTTTCTTTTTGCTGTTCTGGTTGGGCGTTTTTTGCTTCCTTATATTTCAAATCAATGGCTTGCTTCTTGGATTTACATACTCTACTATTGAATCTGTGTAAATTATTCTTTATTTCAGTTAATGCCTCCTTCGTTTCTGACTGTGGATCCATCATTTCTGACTGGTCCTTTTTTATGCTCCTGAGGCCCTCACTAAGTTCATTGAGCATCCTTATAAGCAGTATTTTGAACTCAGCATCTGTTAGGTTGCTTATCTCCATCGCTTAGTTCTTTTCTTGGGGTTTTGTTCTGTTCTTTCATTTGGGACCTGTTTCTTTGTCTCCTCATTTTGGCTGCTTCTCTGTGTTTGTTTTTGTGTATTAACGAGAGGTATGGGGCTATCTGAGACCAGATGCTGCTTGTTTGAAAGGATTTAGGAAAACCTGAAGCAGGATCCAAGACAGGCCAATCCTATGGTTAAGCAACTGGCAACAGCTTGGGTGGGCCTGAAAGTTGGGTGGGGCGGGGCCTCAGGGAATCACCAGGGCGGGGCTACCAGTGTGAGCCAGGTTGCTGGAGTCCCAGATATGGAGACTGTCTGCCGCCCCAGGGAAGGGCTCACCAAAGGAACAAAGGCCTCTGACAGCACTTTTGAAAGCCTCCTCTTCAGCCCTCACTGCAATGCCAAACAGCTCGGTTCTTCCCTGTATGTCTCTGGTGCCCCTCAAGCTGCCTCCCCTCCAAGCTTAGAGGGAGAGAGTCTGATAAGTCCGTGCGCGGGCCCTTTAAGAGGAGCTGCCTGGGTCTCCAGCTGCCTCAGCTTCCCTGAGCCTCAGTTCCCGCTGGTTTTTCCAGCCAGAAGTTATGGGGATTCTCTTCCTGGCACTGGGACCCTGAGCGGGGCTCCTGGTGTGGGACGGGGACCCTCAGTCCTCGGGGAGGACCTTCCCAGCTGAGGTGTCCTCCTGATTTTTATCCGCCACATGTGGGTGTGGGACCAGCCCATCTGCCTCCGCCCCTCCTACCAGTCTCAGTGTGGCTGCTGCTTTTATCCCGTAGTTGTAGGACTGCCATTCAGCTTGATTTCAGGAGGTTTTGAATGTTGGTTGTTTTGTAATTTAGTTGTAACTTTGATGTGGTTGTGGGAGGACGGATACCACGTTTACTTATGCTGCCATCTTGACCGGAAGTCTCCTGAAGCTATTTCCTAAATTGATTTTTAGAGCGTAAGGAAAGGACAGGGAGAGAGAGAAATATATGTTGGTTGCCTCCTACACACCTTGTATTGGGAATTGAGCCCACAACCTGGGCATGTGCCCTGATTGGGAATGGAAGAAACCACCTTTTGGTACACAGAGCAATGCCCAACTGACTGAGCCACACTGGTCATGGCTACTGTGTTCCTTTTTTCATCCACAGAGCAGCTTTTAGTTCCTTAACACACTATATATAAATGTTAACAGAGGTAAATGAACAACATAACAGCTTTGAATGAGAAGAGAAGAATCCAAAAGTTATATTTTATTTATTTGTCAAACCAAAGGTTATTTTATATTGGGGTAGAGATCTTCTGGGCAAAATCATTTTTAAAAGATTTTTATTATTGTTAGCATTTATATTGGATAACTTTTCATTTTAGAAATTACCTTTTAGGAAGCTGATTATCATCAAATATACATTTTGTTAAGTAAGTAAAATATTCTATGGTGTTTTTCTTCCTGTTTTGTAAAATATTATCTCCCCAATTAGTTAACATACTCTTGAATGCTATCTTTTATTTATTGTGTATTACTTGTCATTCTTTAATCAGAATTTGTCTTGGAAATGCCCCATTTTTGAAAAGTATCTCTTAATATCAGTCTGTGACTTTCTTTATAAGAAAATCAATGTAGCCCTGGCTGGTTTCGCTCAGCGGTTAGAACATTGGCCCGCAGACCTGTGAGTCCTGGGTTCAGTTCCCGCTAAGGGCATGTGCCTTGTTTGCAGTTTGTCCCCTGCCCGGCTTAGGATTGTGTGGGTGGCAACCACTCGAAGTGTCTCGCTCACATCGATGTTTCTCTCTCTCTCTCCCCCCCTCTTCTTCCCGGTCTATCTGAAGATAAATGCAAAAAAAATGTCCTTGAATGAGGATAAAAAAAAGAAAATCAACGTAATTTTCTAATTCTGTTATTCTATAGATTTCTAAAACCCAAGGATCAAACAGCTCTGATCAAAATGAAATCTGTAAACTGCAAAATATCATTAAGGTAAGGCAGATTGTTGGAATAATGACCATTATTCATTTAAACTTTGCTTATGAAAATTATAAGCCTGAATTAATAACAGTTATAAAAGTAACTATATAGATTATGATATTCATTTCTTTTTACTGTTTTGTATCTTCTTTATTCTTTATGACAAGTAAGGTATATAAATATGTCTCTTTAATTTTTTTTGAACTTTTATTTATCAGGTAGTGTATATCCTGTGTTGCTGTTTTCTATTGTATCTCACAAAACGATCTTTATTAAAACAGAATTACAAGGTTGCTAATGTTTCAAGGTTTAGGGTTAAAGGATATGACAAAATGCTAATGTTACTCATTACAAATAATTATTTTCTCTTATAATGGTGGAATTTTGCTAGTTTGAATTAATTATTTCCATCAAGAAAAGTCTTAATTACATATACTTAACATGGCAATTAATTGTTTTTATTTTGTGTAGATTTTTTAGTTTTTGATTTTAGTATTACTACAGTACTAGTATGGGTGGGTTCCTGAGTCAGACCTGTGTTTGAATCCAGGCTCTACTATTTACAAGCTGTGCTTCTTTGGGCAACTTCCATTTTCTTATCAGTAAAGTAGATTTTGTCATAATACCGCCTTTGTAGAATTGTTTTGAAGTGTAAATGTAAAGCTCTTTGCCAAGTGCTGTCACATACGTGCATAGGAATAAAGAATAACTTCATTGGTCTCCTCAAGAAATAGAAGCTACTTTATAAATTAGGATTTTTCATTATAAGCAACAAAACATCTCTAGCTAAGTAAAGCAAAAGAAGATTGATTGATTGATGGATTGGAAGGACCCATGGTGGTTTGTTCACAGGATTGAAAGAAGAGTTGAGCATTTTGGCTTCAGAAAGGACAGGAATGGGAACAGCACCAAGGATTTAGGTAGTGGGACACAGTGGACAGACTCTTCAGGGTGCAGCTATCAAAATGCTTCTGGTTTAAGCAATTTCCCTCTGGGGAATTCAGCCAAGATCTAGCTTCCTAGGAGAGAGACTGGTGGTCTCAACTTGGGTAGCAAGGTACCTTGGTTGACAGTTTGGGAGTCCTAGCAAGACTGGTGGAAGGAAAAGCTAGCAGGAGGATGGGGTAATAGAACAGCATTTGCACATTGGCCAGAACGTTGACACTGATATTAGTGGAATGTCATTAACAGGAGAAGTTCATGGTCACAGATGTTAAGGAAAAAAGATATTTTTGCTCACTTTTTGTTTCAGTTTTTTCTTGCTGATATTCCCTCATTAAAAGTAGAAAAACTGGCCCTGGCCAGTCAAGGGCACATACATGGTTTGCAGGTTTGATCCCCAGCCCTGGTTGGGGTCATAGTGGGAGGCAGCCAATCAATTTGTCTCTCTCGCATTGATGTTTCTCCCTCCCTCCCTTTCACTCTATCTAAAAAAAAATCAATGGGAAAAGTATCCTTGGGTGAGGATTAACAACAAAAAAAGAAAAACTGTTTTTAAGGCCCAAGAAGGGAAAGGGTAGAGTCTCAGAATTATCTAAATTTTGGGCCTATGTTTAAATTCTTTTCAGCCTCAGCACCTTAGGATAATTATTTATTTATTATTATTATTATTATTTTTTTTTTTTTTTTAATTCTCACCCAAGGATATTTTTCCATTTATCTTCAGATAGAGTGGGAGGGAGAGGAAGAGAGAGAAAGAGAGAGAGAGAGAGAAACATCGATGTGAGAGAGACACTTCAGCTGGTTGCCTCCAGCATGACCCCAACCAGGGCCAAGGACGAACTCTTTGTTCCGAGGGCCAACACTCTAACCACTGAGCCAGGGCTAGGAGAATTATTTTTAATAACACAGCCTTTTTGACAAAAATGAAATAGCTTAGGTAAGTTTATTGATTATTAATATAGTTAACTTTGTTTTTATTTTTTAAGGAACTTAAACAGGACCGAATTCAGGAAATTGATAATCATCAACATGAAATGTCAGTATTACAGAATGCACATCAACAGAAATTGGCAGAAATAACTCGTCGGCATCGAGGAGAATTAAATGAATATGAACAACAAATTGAAAAACTGGAAAATCTGTTACAACAAGGTTATTAATGTCATTAATTTAACATATTAGGTTATATAATTAAATGACAAACCTAGCACTGGATACTGATGTAAAGTTGGACAAAGTTCCAAAGAATGTGTAATGACTAGTTCTGCTGATCTGCCAGAACTTTGTACTGGCACCACTATTGTCATGGTTCTGCAAAAATGGATAAGTCCTTTTGGCCTTTGTGGTAAACAGTTATAATACAGAGACTTGTTTGCATTATTTGGTATATTTTTATTTTCTTTCAAACTCAGATATATAAGCTTTTTAGTATGTGATTCAAATAATATCTTTCCTCAACTGTTTTTAAATGTTTTGCTTATTGTATTTATTTAACTTTATTTAGACTTAATATTTTTAGAGCATTTTTAGATATATAACAAAATTAGGGAACAGCGATTTCCCTTATATCCTGCACCCCTGCACCCCCCAATGCATATTCTCTTCTACCATCAACATCACTCAACAGGATGGTACTTTTTTTTTTTAATCCTCACCTAAGGACATCTTTTTTTTAATTTTTTGTTCCGATAGAGTGGAAGGGAGAGAGAGAAACATCGACGTGAAAGGGACACATTGAGTGGTTGCCACCCACACGACCCAACCAGGACCGGGGACAAACTGCAACCGAGGTACATGCCCTTAACGGGAACCGAACCCGGGTCTCTCTGGACCGCAGGCCGATGTTCTAACCGCTGAGCAAAACCGGCCAGGGCGGTACTTTTTTTTTTAACCAAAGATGAATCTATGTTGACACACCCATAGTTTACTTTAGGGCTCATTCTTGGTGGTGTACATTCTATGGATTTGGACAAATGTATAATGACATGTATCCATCATTATAATGTCATAGAGAGTATTTTTACTGCCCTAAAAATTCTCTGTGTTCTGCCTTTTCATCTCCCTCTTTATCCCCTGCAACTGATCTTTTTATTGCCGCCATAGTTTTGCCTATTTTAGAATTGTTGTTATAGTTGGAATCATATAGCCTTTTTAGATTGGCTTTTTTTGACTTAGTAACATGCTTTTAAGTTCCCTCCATGTTTTTTCATGGTTTAATAACTTATTTCTTTTTAGTACTAAAAATATTCCATTGTCTGGATGTAGTGTAGTTTATTAATCCATTCACCTATTGAAGGACATTTTGATTGCTTCCAAGTTTTGGCAATTATGAATAAACTGCTATAAACATCTTTGTTGGGGTTTTTGTGTGGATATAAGTTTTCAGCTTCTTCGGGTAAATACCAAGGAATATGATTGCTGGATCATATGATAAGAGTAGGTTTGTTTTGTAAGAAATCACTAGACGGTCTTTCAAAGTGGCAGTACCATTTTTGCATTCTCACAGCAATGAATGAGGGTTCCTATTGCTCCACATCCTCACCCGCATTTGTTGGTGGTATTCTGGGTTTTGACCTAGTAAGAGTGTAGTGTTATATCATTGTTTTAACTTTTCAAGCCTTCCAAATTCTGAAGTCTTGAAATCTTAGTTGTATACAGCAAGCTACTTACCTTTTGGTACATTTGTTGTCCTTGATTTTTATGTTTATGTTCCAGGTGGCTCAGGAATTTTGGTAACTGATCACTCTAAAATACACGAGATGCAAACAACTGTTCAAGTTCTACAAACTGAAAAAGTAGAGTCTGCAAAAAAAATGCAAGAACTTGAGGATAAAATAAAAGATATAAGTGAAAAATTATCTTCTTCAGAAAATGAGAGAGAAGTTTTGAGGAAGGAACAAGAACAACTACATGTGGAAAACAGGGAAATAATTAAAGAATGTGAAAGCTTGAAACTGGAATGTAGTAAATTACAGACTTACGCTACGAAGCACAGTGATACTGTGAAGGAAGAGGAAGGAATTCTTCCACAGAGTCCGTCACTGGAAGAAGTGTCCAGACTACAGCAAGCATTGTCTGGTATAAAATGTTTGGAATTTATTTCTGATTGGTGTTTCATCACATATTAATTGTTTTTTAGAGATAACTAGCACTTTGTATAACTGGGTAATTTGTGGAAATGGAATAGTCATGGAAATGACTGTGGAATTTGAATAGAATTGTTTGGTTTAGATTCAGTGCCATATTAGAGCACAAATAGGAATTTTCTACTAAAAAGGGTTAAGTATCGGCTAGGTGTCTCTTAACCTCTCTTCCTCATCTTTTAATGATTTACATGGAACACATTCATTTAGGAGGCTATGTAGATTTCTGAGAAATGTTTGTATAGACATTTGTTGGGAGGAGAGAAATGGGTCTATTTCTGTTCATCTATATAGAACCAAATATTTCCTATAATTCATTAGGGCCCAGACCCTCCAGTTAGGGAATTCAACATACCTTCTTCAAAAATTAAATATCCTTTAGAAATCTCCAGAATCTAAGCAAACATGAGAATGGTAAGAGCCATAGGTCTTCCACTATTACCTAGAGTCTAGGTAATATTTAGTTACCATACCAGTGTTCTGTGTTACAAAAAATAACTATTAAAAAAAATAGGCCAAGCAGTAGTATTCATTCATGCCAGGAAAACATAATGGGAGCTCCTCAGCTGAAAAGATGCATCTTATTTTTCACTTTGTCATCTCACAATATAAGCTATCACTGTAAGACATGAGCTATCATTCATGTCTGCGTTGGAGGTTTCTAGCCCTTGTGTGTTTGTGATCTCCCACGCCCATCTGTATTCCTCATCTAGCTGTTTATCATGAATTCATGACCTGGATGGCCAAGTCTATAAATTTAAATTTAAGTTAGGTTCAAAGTAAATTCTTCATGTCCTCCACTTTCTCTTTTTTTTCACCTTGGTAATTGATAGCATTTACCAGTCTCCCAAAACAGAAAATTTGAAGTTATCCATTAGAAAGTTCTGTAGGTTCTTATATTGTTTCCTAGAGGAGCTCTAGGGTTTCTCATAGGTACTTTAGTCCTGGGAGCTGCAACGAAGGCAAAGGGAAGGCTGTGCAGTAGGATTCGGGACTTCTTTCTCATTTGGATTCAGAGTAGCTCTGCTCCTTTCAAAAATAAATGTATCTATTGAATGTACTGGGTGATACATATGAGATTTGTTGCTTTAAAAATAAGTTTGTTGCCCTAGGCCTTCCCCTTTTTTCCATTTCCACACCACTGAATAACTGTAGCCAATCATAATGGGGGGGAGGGGGGTGCAGCTTGTTACCTTGCATAGTTTCTGAATGAAGCAGATTAGCACAATGGTTAAGAACATGACAGAGTTGGAATCCAGCTTTGTCACTAACTAGCTGACCTTGGGCAAGTTAATTAGCATCTTTTTTTTATTCTCACCGGAGGACATTTTTGCATTCATCTTCAGATATAGTGGTAGGGAAAGGGGAGGAAGAGAGAGAGAAACATCGATGCAAGAGAGACACATCAAGTGGTTGCCACCCACACAACCCCAACCGGGGCTAGGGACAAACCGCAACCGAGGTACATGCTCCTAGTGGGAACCAAACCCGGGACTCTCTGGTCCGTAGGCTGATGCTCCAACTGCTGAGCCAAACTGGCCAGGGCTAATTAACATCTTTATGTTTTGTTTTTTTTCATCTATATGGTTGCAATAATGTTATCTTCATAGTTGTAGTAGTAGTAATGAGGATTTTATGAGTTACTAGCTGCGCAGTTCTCTTTAGAATAGTGTCTAGCCCACAGTAAGCGTTATACAAGTGTTAGTTATTATTCTCTGGTCTCCATGATCCCTTCTTCAATTTTTCTTTTCTTTTCTTTTGCTAAACAAAACTTTTATTGAGAGAAGAGTACCAAGAGGCTGTCTTCCAGAGGTTCTTGAGCCTCAGACCTCAGGAAGTGGGGCCCCAGGCCAGTGCTCTGTTAGAAAAAGACTAGAATGAGGTTCCATGGCCAGGCTACCATCTGTGCAGAGATACCATGCTGAGCTGCAGATCCTGGGCCCGTGTTTCTAGATTGAGGCCTGACCCATGGACTCACAGGCCAGGTCTGCAGTCCCTGAAGTCTGGTCTTCAGAGGTGGCCCCATGGGACAGGTCTGTATACTTGCTGGAAGAGCCATGGGACAAATGTGCTGGGTAACATTGCCTGTTGGTGTCCATCTTGGAGAGCACTGTTTGGGGCTGCTAATGCTACCAGATAGATTAGGACATCACTAAGCTCCTCTCGAAGGGTTGCCCATTCCTTGGGGGCCAGGCTCCTCATTGGGCTACCACTGAAAGAGTTCTGGCAGCTTCCCTACCAAGGCCAGGAAGAGGTTCAAGGCTGGTGGAACTGGTCCAAGTCTCTTTCAGCAGCAAACTCTGCGTGGAGGTGGTGGATGTCCTCAAGCATGGGCTCCAGGCTGAAGCTGAAGGGCCTGGCAGCATCAGTGTTACCCCCCCAACCATCCACAAACACCACCACCACTAACCCCATCCCCATGCCTTTTCCCACCCACAGCAGACATGTCACCCACCACACTGCAACCCAGACTGCACTGAAGAACCTCGTGCTCAATTCAGAGCCTGCCTCAACAATTCTTTTCTTTTTGTAGCCAGAATGATTTTTCAAAAACACAAAGCCAGTTTCTTTCCTGACTTCAGTACTTTGTGGCTTCCTGTGAACTTTAGGATAAAGTCTCAACTTCTTGATCAGACATATAATGTCTTAATGATCTGTTCTCTATCTACCCCTTCAGTTTCAACTCTTCTTATTCTAATATTCTAAGCTTTAGCCATTTTGACTTTCTATATAGCTCCTTCAGTTGGCAATGTAGCCTCCTAGCTCTGTTGCCTTTGTATTTATTGCTTTCTCTGTGTGGAGTGTCTCTCTTTGTTCACTCTTCTGTGCAGTTTAAGATTAAACACAGATGTTGTATTCACTGTGCGGCACCTAGCAGCTGCTTCCCTGGCCCTACGTGCCACCCTGCCCCATCCCTGGCCCACTCTCCACCAGTCTGGATTAGGAGTTTGCCCTCTTTGTTCTCATAGCACCTTATGCTCCCTGTATCACACAGCACTGTAATCGTGCTTACTTGTCTTCCACTCTGAACTGTATGCTCCTTGAGAGCAAACAAGAACTAAAATTTTCCACTTTATTGTCTAGCAGTTGACCTCCTAGTAAATGTTCAGTACTTCTTGTATGAGCCTTGATTTCATTCCCCTGAACTCATGGTATTCTGCCTTTGTGTTCTTCTAGAATCCCTTCTATTTATGGGTCTATCTGAAATACCAGATTTGTATTTTTATTAGTAATCATGGCTGCATCACTTTAGAGAATTGGTAGATGATTGTATTGTTGTTATAGAAATAGACAATTTGTGTTTTAAGTTTTTTCCCCCTCTCTTAGTCCTTATACTATTTCCTGCTACACAAACTGATCAACTCACTTTGAAACAGTTGTTACTGTTTATATCAAGGTAATAAATAACTTATGACTCACTCAGAATACAATTATAATTCTTTCTTATATTGTTTCATAGCATTGGATTTTAACATAGTTTATAACTGGCATTTATATTATGACTTCTTTGGAATAGTCAAAATAGAAATACAAAATAAGTATGGCCAGTGTGGCTCAGTGGTTGAGCGTCGACCCATGCACCAAAAGGTTCCTGGTTCATTTCCTGGCCAGGACACATGCCCAGGTTGTGGGCCTGATCCCCAATGTGGGACATGTAGGGGGCAGCCAGTCGATGTTCTCTCTCATGTTTTCATTTCTCTCTCCCTCTCACTTCCTCTCTCTGCAAAATCAAAAAAGGAAAAACAAAAAAACAAAATAACATACATTTTACCTAAGAACTCTGGGGGCTTGCTAATTGTGCTTATGAATATACTTTGTTTTAATAGTATTTCATTTCTGAGTTTAATTTTAGGAGGTAATTATTAAGTTATTTTAAAGAATTTTAATGTCAGGTCTATTGTTTTTACAGATGCTAAAAGTGAAATAACCAGGCTGAGCCATTTAAATCAGGTAAACTCATTTTAAGAGAGAAAGCTTTTGGCATTGGTTTACCAAGAAAAAGTATTTTGATTATTATAATTGTTTATTGTGTGTGTGTGTTTTACAAATTTATGTGAATTTATCCTAGGAACTTTTGTCTTAGCAATTTTATGCTTGCTGATTAATAGCAAAATTTTTGCATCATAAATTGATGATTTTAAAAGTTACATAATTGAAAAATGGGAGTCTATCTCTTTGAAGATTAATTTAACAAATGTTATATTTTGTAGAGACAGTGGAAGCAGATCCTCTACCAAAGTGAGGGATGCATTTTGGCTTCCCTTTATGTTATTCAAGGGGTTGTTTCTTTTTCTGATGATTACAGGTTATTTTGTAAATGTATTTATATATTTTTTCAAATATAATAAATCTTCTCTGCAAATGTCTGTAAAATGAGCGACCGGCTTTAGATGATCCAGTTGTTGCATGCTTATAATTTTTATATGTTATTAAATGCTGAGTGGAAATGTACAGTTGTATAGCTTGCCTGCTTTCGAAATGGTAAACTAAAAATTTCATGTTATCTGAAAACAGTTTTTAACATGTTTATAGGATAGTCTCGCTGAAGACAATCTGAAACTTGAAATGCGTGTCCAAGTTTTAGAAAAAGAGAATTCATTATTGAGTCAAGAAAAGGTGGGTGCAATAAAAATGGGGGCAGATTTAAAATGGTGTATTATATATCGATCACAGCTAAGAGCCCGTTTATATCAAAATGAGTGTTTAGTTCTTGAGAGTCCTGAGGATAAAGCTGATTTCACTGATGCTTGTCAGGCCAGGTTGAAGTACTTGGGCAAGGTTCAGAGTATGAGAGGCTGGCCAGAGTTTATGTTTAGAGATAAACCGGTAGGTACAGATAGGAGCAGAAAAACTAGGTAAAGGTTCTGTTTTGGTTTCAGATGGAGTCCTGACAGCAGCAGCATACACAGGTGGGTCGGGAGTCTGGGTGGCATGCTGGTAACTAGTGGCATACATACTGCCTGTATGCCCTAGAATGTGTCTAGCAGGAATTTCTTAGTGGTGAGGAGTAAAGAGGGGCATTGTCAGTGGTAGAAATAGGGTCTCTTGTGTATATTGGTAGCAAGGATAGGGTAAGATTCTGTAATGCAGTGTGAGGAAAGATGATTTTATATGTGTACCACTTGAGGAGGTAATTCTTTGGCTAAAGCAGGTGTTTAAATGTAGGACAGTGGTATTTATTATTACAGGCAAGTGTCTCAACCCAATTTTGAAAATTCTTAATTTTCAAAAAGTGACATATTTACTCATGTACGTATTCAATAATATATGCTGAAAAACTTCAGACAGTACAGAACTTTAGGAATATCCTTCATACCTCTATTAGTTGGCCTCTTCCAGAGGCATTCTTTCTTACCTGTTCTCATATATCCTTCCAGATCATATCTGTGCATATATATATAGCTTTACAAAACACAAATACTAGCATGCTGTGCATACTGTTCATACATACCTTAACATTTTTTTATCCTCACCTGAGGACATTTTTCCATTTTTTGTTCAGCTAGAGTGGGAGGGAGAGAAACATCAATGTGAAAGGGACACATCGAGTGGCTGCCTCCCGTACTACCCAACCAGGGCTGGGGACAAACTGCAACCGAGGTACATGCCCTTAGTGGGAACCGAACCCGGGTCTCTCTGTACCACAGGCCGACGCTCTGACCGCTGAGCCAAACTGGCCAGGGCTTATACCTTAACATTTTTGACATTCTTTCATATTAGCATATAGGCAATGTTTCTCCAAGCGGTGCAGTTGGTATTCAGTTTGGGAAAATTCTAAGTTGTGTGCACTGTCCTGTGCATTGTAGGACCCTTGCCCCCACTTTTAAAAAAATACGTTTTATTGATTTTTTTTTTTTAGAGAGAAAGGAAGGAAAAGAGAGAAACATGGATGTGAGAGAGAAACATTGAGAGCTGCCTCCTGCACGCCCCCTACTGGGGATTGAGCCCAGAACCCAGGCATTTGCCCTGACAGAATCAAACCAGGACCTCTCAGTCCATGGGGCAATACTTAATCCACTGAGCCACAGCAGCTGGGCATCTCCCCCACATTCTATACTCACTAAATGCCAGTACTGTTTCCAAGTCATCTTTTATTTTATATATTTCCTCTGTTCCCATGCATTCTGCTCTTTTCAGTTATTTATTTCTGTAACTGGCCTAGGAGTATTTATAGTTTGTAGATCTCTACACATATCTGACAAGGCCTGTAACTTTCTCGTGATATATTTGGATTCTGTGGTTATTTCTGATAGCTGTTTCTCCTTTCTTCTGATGTTAAGTAATCTATAGTAACTCTTCCTTGAATTATGTCTGCTCACTGGTTAAAAAGCCGAAAAAAGTACCTGCAAGGCTGTGTGTGTTCTTAAGATCCACCTGAAATTTTTTTTTTTTTTGGTCATTCTCCTAATTGTACAAATAACTCTTGAAAGACATAAGAGAATGCTTTTTCCATCTTTCAATTGTAGTTCAGAATAAACTTTTGAATTGGAAGAAGAATGAGAATTGTGAGGCAGATGTTTTAACAGTTTTCATTTTTCTCTTTTTAAGGTATCTGTTAGACTATAAAAATATGAGATTCTTATTCACTTTAAAATTTTCATAGAAATTTTATTTTAAAAAAATCTAGCAGTGAAAGGCTTTACAGCGTCAGCACAAACATCATAATCAGAGGTTGAAATAATGTTGAAGCATAGAGAACTAGCCCACTCTGGGATGTTGGAGCAAAAGCATTAAATACCAATAGAAGAGAACATAAATGCACTTTAAAAATCACATATAGATACATCTTTATGAACGTTAAATTTGAGAAAGGAGAGCTAGTGCGTGCTCAGGTTAGAAGGTAAAGAAAGGAAGGAGGGAACTTCCTTGGATGAAGAAAAGTTTTCATGTTGTGACAGAAGCCAGTAATACAGAAGATCCCTTTAGTGAGGGAAAAGAGGCCTTTCATAGTCTAAATATAGAGGACAAACTTTAGAGTCAATGAGTGCTGATGTTTTACATTTGTCTGTGGTTGTTGGTGACGGATGCTGGGAATGGAAGTGAAGAAGACTTGGACACCATGGCACGTCTGTGTGTGGTGGGGGGGGAGGGAGCAGGAGAAGCACCAGCAGGAGTGCGGTTGGGAAGGCTCTCAGATGGGACGGTTTCTCTGTGAAGAAGCTGGAACTAGAAGGTGAATTGATGGTCACTGAGTCTTGTCTAGGGTTATAGAAATATTTTCCATATGTATGAAGGCTGTGATTTGTTGAATTTTATATATCATCGCTGAGGTATTATTCAGTAATGTTTCTGACACAGAGCATTTAAAATAGATTTCCAAGTTTTGTTTATATTTTTAATCTTTTAATGTCTCTTCTTCCAATTGATAGTATGTATTGTGTTTTTCTCCTTTTATCATTTAAGGAACAACTTCAAGTATCATTTTTAAAATTAAACAATGAATATGAAGAAATTAAAAATACAACTATAAGAGACATGGATTTGGATTCAGAATTAAATGATTTAAGACTTAATTTGGAAGCAAAGGAACAAGAACTCAGTCAGAGTATTACTGAAAAGGAAATACTGATAGCTGAGTTAGAAGAATTGGATAAGCAGAACCAAGAAGCTACAGAGGTAATAAACACCATATGAAAGTCAGGTGGCAGCACATTTTACCCAGTAGACTGACACTAGATTAACAAGCAAAGGTGATTGGTGTGATTTAATTTTGTGTTTTAATTAACATTTTAGTTCATCAATGTTCTAGTCATAGAGGTTGGCAGACTTTTTCTCTGAAGTGTTAGTAAATATTTTTGACTTTGCAGGCCATATAGTCTCAGTTGCAGCTGCTCAACCCTGTTGTTATAATATGTAAACAAATGAGCGTGGCTCTGTTCCAATAAAACTTTATTTACAAAAACAGGTGCCAGGCCTGATTTGTCCCTTTGGCTGCTGGTTTGTTGATTCCTGCCCAGTGTTTAACAGTTGAAAATAAACAGCATGTATCATTTTTTTCTTTATTGATTTTTAGAGACAGAAGAAGGGAGAGGGAAAGAGACAGAAACATTGATTGGCTGCCTCCTGCATGCCCCACACTGGGGATCGGGCCTACAACCAGGGCATGTGCCCTGACTGGGAATCGAACTGATGACCTTTTGGTGTATGGGTCGATGCTCAACCACTGAGCCACACCGGCCGGGCCAGCATGTATCTTTTACCTTCTTTAGTTTTAAATTCTAATCTCTAAAATGATAAAGTAGATTTGCTGTAAAATATTAGTTATTTTGTTGGGCTTTTTTAAAAAAGAAAAAAAGAATTAGAAATATCTGAGGATTATCATTCTATTGTGTATGACACTTTATAAAATTTCCTTTAGGTACTAACAATGTTAACATGAAAATTTTTCTTTCAGCACATGATTTTGATAAAAGATCAGCTATCAAAACAGCAAAATGAGGGAGATAGCATCATCAATAAATTGAATAAAGATCTAAATGATGAAAAAAAAAGAGTTCATCAACTCGAAGATGATAAAATGAACATTGCTAAAGAGTTAGATGTGCAGAAAGAAAAGTTAATTCAACGTGAACTGGTCCTAAATGACTTGCAGTTAACCAAGCAGGAACTAGAGGATAAAATAGAAGATTTAGTAGATCAACTAAATAAATCACAAAACAATAATTTAAATATCCAAAAGGAGAACATTGAACTTAAGGAACATATTAAACAAAAGGAGGAGGAACTTTCTAGAGTCAGGTGTGAGTTAACTCAGCCTCTTAATCAAGACTCAAACAGTATTTTTAAGGATGACTTACTTAAAGAAAAGGAAGCTGACATCCGAAACTTAAAGCACAATCTTTCAGAAGTACAACAGCTCAATGAAAATTTAAAGAAAGTTGCATTTGATCTCAAAATGGAAAATGAAAAGTTGGTTTTAGCATGTGAAGATTTAAGACATCAATTGGAAGAATCTATCGCTGGTAACAGTCAGATAACTCTAGAGAAAAACACTATTTTGGAGACTCTAAAAATGGAAAGGGGGCAGTTAGAAGCAGAATTGTGTCGGGCTGAAAAGAGGCTGTTGGAAGAAGCAAACAAGTATGAACAAACCATTGAAGAACTGTCAAATGCGCAGAACCTGAGTGCCTCTGCTTCACAGCTGGAGCATAAGCGTTTAATCAAGCTCAGTCAAGAGAAGGACGTTGAAATAGCAGAACTCAAAAAGAATATTGAGCAGATAGATACTGATCACAAAGAGACTAAGAACATTTTGTCATCTAGTTTAGAAGAGCGGAAGCAATTGACACAACTTATAAACGAGAAAGAAATTTTTATTGAAAAACTTAAAGAGAGAAGTTCAGAGCTCCAGGAGGAGTTAGAGAAATATATTGAGGCCTTAAGAAAAAATGAAAATTTGAAGCAAACCATAGAGGAAAAAGACAAACTTCTTGGATCCATGAAAGAAGAAAACAATCACCTCAAAGAAGAACTGGAACGACTCAGGGAGCAGCAGAGTCGAGCTGCACCTGTTGCTGACCCTAGAACCCTTGACTGTATTACAGAATTAGAATCTGAGGTATCTCAGCTGAATAGGATCAAGGATAATCTTGAAGAGGAAATAAAACATCACCGAAAGGTAATTGAAGATCAAAACCAGAGTAAAATGCAACTACTTCAGTCTTTACAGGAGCAAAAGAAGGAAATGGATGAGTTTAAATACCAACACGAGCAAATGAGCGTTACGCACACCCAGCTCTTTTTGGAGAAAGATGAGGAAATTAAAACTTTGCAAAAAACAATTGAAGAAATCAAATCCCAGTTGCATGAAGAAAGGCAGGGCATTCAAACAGAGAATTCTGATATTTTTCAAGAAACAAAAGTTCAGAGCCTTAACATAGAAAACGGAAGTGAAAAGCATGATTTATCTAAAGCTGAAACAGAAAGATTAGTAAAAGGAATAAAAGAACGAGAATTAGAGATTAAACTTCTAAATGAAAAAAATATATCTTTAACCAAACAAATTGATCAGCTATCCAAAGATGAGGTTGGAAAACTAACTCAGATTATCCAGCAGAAAGATTTGGAGATACAGGCTCTTCACGCTCGAATTTCTTCAGCTTCCTACACCCAGGATATTGTTTACCTTCAACAGCAGCTGCAGGCCTTCGCTATAGAAAGAGAACAAGTATTAGCTGTTTTTAGTGAGAAGACTAGGGAAAATAGCCATCTAAAAACAGAATATCACAAAATGATGGATATAGTTGCTGCCAAAGAAGCAGCCCTCAACAAGCTGCAAGATGAAAATAAGAAATTGTCCACTAAATGTGAAGGTACTGGCCAAGATATGTTTCGAGAAACTATTCAGAATTTATCACGTATCATTCGAGAAAAAGACATTGAAATAGATGCATTAAGCCAGAAATGTCAGACCTTGTTGACAGTTTTACAAACGTCCAGCACTAGTGATGCAGTTGGAGGTGTGAATAGTAATCAGTTTGAGGAGCTTCTACAGGAACGCGATAAGTTAAAACAACAGGTTAAGAAAATGGAAGAGTGGAAACAGCAGGTGATGACCACAGTACAAAACATGCAACATGAATCAGCCCAGCTTCAGGAAGAGCTTCATCAGCTTCAGGCACAGGTTTTGGTTGACAGTGATAATAATTCTAAGTTACAAGTGGACTATACTGGCCTGATCCAAAGTTACGAGCAGAATGAAACCAAACTCAAAAATTTTGGGCAGGAATTAGCACAGGTTCAGCACAGCATAGGGCAGCTTTGCAACACAAAAGATCTTCTTTTAGGAAAACTTGATATTATTTCACCTCAGTTCTCTTCTGGATCAATGCCTGCTTCCCAGTCTGCAGAGTCTCTTAGAACCGTTAAATCTGAATCATTAAGTGAGTCTTCTCAGCAAGAGATAGACGAGCTAAGAAAGTTGCTGCAGGAGAAAGATAAAACCATCAGAACTCTCCAGGAAAATAATCACAGATTGTCTAATTCAATTGCTGCCACCTCTGAGCTAGAAAAAAAAGAACACGAACAATCAGATTCAGAAATTGGGCATCTGAAAGAAAAACAAGATAATTTACAAAAGTCACTTAAGGAAAAAGACCTATTAATTAAAGCCCAAAGCGACCAATTAGTGTCTTTAAATGAAAATTTCAAAAACAAGGTGAATGAAAACGACCTACTCAGACAGGCGGTAACGAACCTGAAGGAGAGAGTATTACACTTAGAAATGGACATTTGTAAACTAAAAGAGGAAAATGAAAAAATCATAGAAACCACCAGGGAAAAGGAGACGGAACAGCAAGCATTACAAGAAACTAATATCAAGTTTTCTATGATGCTGCAAGAAAAGGAGTTTGAGTGCCATTCAATGAAGGAGAAGGCGCTTGCGTTTGAGCAACTACTGAAAGAAAAAGAGGTATGTCCTGGATGGTATTATGTACAATGGGAAGTCAGGGTGGAGGAAATTACTGATGTTACTCTGTTGATATTATCTTTGAACGGAAATATGAATTTGTTCAGTTAGTAATACTTATGTCAACGTATTGTGTTTCATTCTAAATAAATATTCTTCAAAGGCACCTGGAAGTTTATTCCCCAAATTACTAGGTATTTCCACATATTTTAACATTTGGGTTAATCTTTTTTTTTTTTAAATCCTCATTGGAGTATTTTTTTTTTTTTCTTTTTTGCATTTATCTTCAGATAGAGCCAGAGGGAGAGAGGGAGGAAGAGAGAGAGGGGAACATTTATGAGAGACATATCGAGTGGCTGCCACCCACATGATCCCAACTGGGGCCAGGGACAAACTGCAGTGAGGTACGTGCCCTTAGTGGGAAACTGAATCTGGGACTCTGGTCCGCAGGCCGTCGCTTTATTCCCTGAGCCAAACCGGCCAGGGCCATTGGGTTAATCTTTTAGAGTCTGTTAAGTAGAAAACATTTACTAGTAATTAATATTTTTCTTCAGAAAGTAGAAATGTGTTACAAGAGGAAAATTTGAAGTCAGTACAATTTAACCAAATTTTAGGCATATTTCAGTAGCTGCTAGTAATGGTTAACATTTCAGAGGCTTTTATATGTAATGAGAACCTCTGTGAAGTACTTTCTCTGTCTTTGACGATCTGCAGTAAGAAATACATTTTACCTTGTGACATAATAAGCACTTGTGTGTAAAACTGAAGTTTCAGGAATCAGTAATTACCCTCACTATGTGTGATGCTCTATTAAAAAAAGAAATTGCTGGATGATCCATTAAATTGATTTTTATGGATCAGTCACAACCTGGCATTTGAAAAATGTTAGCAATGAATAGTGCTTTTTACATAGTAGGCTCAGTAAATATTCTAATCCCAGCTCAGTGACTGGTATGACTTTGGGTGTGTTTTGACCTTATTGATTTGCTTATTCAATTATAAAATGGAGCATTGTAGCAGTTATATATATAAAGTATCGATAGTTTTTTACATATTTAAATTTTTATATGCAGTTGACTTTTATTTTAATAAGAAATGTATTGAAGACCCAGAACATAGATGCTGTGTAGGACTTTTTGGTAGTGCTTATTACTCTGCTTTCTATACTTTCAGTAGTAGAAGTTTCGAAAAGAAATAAAAATATTCAACAAGTGCTTCTTGAGTGTTTATATGCTGCCAGGCACAAAATACAAAATGATTTAACTTGTTTTGCCAATTGAGTTCTCTCTTAGAATCTTGGATTACAATTTGAGAAATGCTTCATGTAGTTTTCACTTTGGTAAAAAAAGTCTATCTCATTTCCCCTTTGCTGTCTGATTAAGTAGGTACACTGATAGTGTTGAGGTGTTCTCCCTTAGCTATAACGTCAGCTTCTTGTGGTGCTGTTCTGGAATTGGTATGAAAAGACTCTCAGAGGGCAGAAGCTTTCTATTGCTCACTAACCAAAATTGGGTTTAGTGTCTTAGGGCTGTCAGATTAAAATAGAGGAATGTAGAACAATGAAGTATTTTTTCCCAATACATTTGTTTTCCTTTTGTAGTTTTAGCATCATGTACAATGTAATTCTAGTTCATTGACATTTATAGATCTAAAGTGTGCAGATTTAATTAAGACTCACCTACCTTTCAGGAAGCTCCATGCTAAGTCATTCTTAAGTACTGAATTACTTGAAGGTAATTAGCATAAACTAATTAATGTTTCCCAATACTCTATAAAATGAGTACCATTATTATATTTTTAATATAATAAATAACATCTCTTGTTTTAGAGAGAAAGGGATGTTCTCTAAAGAGATCTTCAACTCTTTAATTTTTTTTTTGTTGTTAATCCTCACCTGAGGATATTTTTTCCACTGATTTTTAGATATAATGGAAGAGGTGGGGGAGAGAGAAACAGTAATGTGAGAGAGACATATCGATTGGTTGCCTCCCACACAACCCTGACTGCAGCCAGGGATAGGACCTGCAACCCAGGTTTGTGCCCTTGACCGAGAATTGAATCTGTGACCCTTTGGTCCTCAGGTCAACACTCTAACTGCTAAGCCAAACCAGCCAGAGCTACTTTTAATTTTTAACCATTGGTTCTTTGTCTGTAATATGAAAACATTTTTAACTGAAAAATTACAGTACTTGGAAACTAGTGGCCTCACTATCTAGGAGGGGATGTTGAGATAAAGGGAACAGATAGTTTAATGTTTTGGTTTTAATAATTTATCTTGGGGGACACATTATATATTAAAGAAATGGAAAGTTTATATGAAATTTTAAAATAATACCTAACTATAAATAGATTCATAAGATGTGCATATTTAAAACAGGCTGTCAATAGCCTGTCACTTTTTTATGCTTTTTAGAATTCCAGCTAATGTCTTAATTTTATGGCCCTATTTTTGCAATGGTTATCTTTTTTCTGCTGTCCTTAATATATTGTACTTGTGTGAACTGCAGTCAAGAATAAATTTTCCCAACCATTTGGCAAGATATCATTCTGGAGTTGCTTTTATTCATTCGATTGTAGTCCAATAAAATAGTCTGTGCATATGAAATGACTTTCCTATTTCTCCCCTGCTAGCATCTTAACTCTTACTTTCTCCAACAGTTGTAAATGCCTGATGAATAGGGGGACACACACACACACATTTTTTGAGTGATTTGGGTTTTGTGAACACTGTTGTTTAGGGTAAATTTGAAGAGATTGTATCTTTTGAGTTCTTTTAAAAATATTTCTAATAAACTTTTTCTTTAAGAATCATTTTAGATTAGAAAAGTTGCAAAGACAATATAGAGTTCCCAAAAAGCTCACACCATTTCCTTTTTTTTTAACATCTTGCACTACTATGGTACACTTGTAACAACTAATGAACCAGTATTGATACATACTGTTAGGTAAAGTTTGTACTTGATTGAAGCTCCTGTTTCAGGATGCCGTCTGGGACACCAGTGAGTCCTTGGGCTCCTTTAGACTCTGACAGTTTCTCAGACTTTCCTTTTTTGATTACTTTGACTTGGTTAACTATATTTTAAAGTTAACTAATGAAGAACTCTCTCTTTTAAATGTACTTTTATTTAAAGCTAAAGTTATTTTTTTCCTAAAGGGCCAGACTGGGGAGTTAAATCAGCTTTTAAATGCAGTTAAGTCAATGCAGGAGAAGACAGTTACGTTTCAACAGGAGAGAGATCAAGTCATGTTGGCCCTGAAACAGAAACAAATGGAAAACACAGCTATACAGAATGAGGTATGCTTTCACTTTAAAGAAACAGTGATTCAAACACTAAATTTAATTATTAAGTAAGAAAACTGTAAAGATTAGCATTTAAAATGAATTTCTCTCATAGGTGATATTTTTTTAGTCTTCCTCTAATGTACTGTGGTAGAATTTTGATATCCCAGAAAGCATTTTATTTCAGTTTTCAAAAGTGAAAATCATGAGCTAATCATTATGTTGTACACCTGAAACTAAATTATACCTTGATTTTTTTTAATTAAAAAAAGTGGAAATCAAAGCATATAAGAAAAATTTTCCATTCATAAAGTATGGAAAAAATGAGATTTACTGAAGAAAATAGACTGTGACAAAAAGCCTAGTACTTTATATAATTTCATTTTCCATTATAGCCTCAGGAATGGGGTCTTACAAAATAAACCTTCTAGATGAACATTCAGGATGATTTCAGGAGACTTTTTCCTGGCATAAGTACATCTTGCAGTATGAGAAATTAGTATTCAATCAATACACTTCAGTAGTTGGGAAAAGTTTTGATAACAGTTGGTGGCTTGTGGGAGAGGGAGGGAGCATTTTATAGAAGAAAAATAAAGAAGTGTCCTCTATCTAGGTTCAACATTTACGTGACAAAGAGTTACGCTTAAACCAGGAGCTGGAGAGATTGCGAAACCATCTTTTAGAAACAGAAGATTCTTACACCCGGGAAGCTTTGGCTGCAGAAGATAGAGAGGCTAAACTAAGAAAGAAAGTCACAGCACTGGAGGAAAAGCTAGTTTCATCCTCAAATGCAAGGTAACTTTCTCCTTTTTTTAGCCTTAATATTAACTGAACACTTCTTGAATATAAGACTCAATAAGCATTTTTCATATTTTACCTCATTTTATTCTCACAAAATTTATCTCTGTTTTACAGATGAAGAAACTTAGAGTAAAGAGGTTTAGTAACCTTCCTGAGGTTGGGCACACAGTGTGTGGGGCTTCATGCTCAGGACTAACTCTCAACCAGACCTGGCATTCAAAGCGAGGTTTCTCCGGATCTTAACCAGTATCCTCGATAATCGCTTCTTGTCATTGTAGGAGTTTAGACTTAAATCGCAACTAATTCAATTAGCTTTTCAGACTCCCAAAGAACTGATTTAATAAAATTTGTGTGATTTTATTTTTAATCAAATGATCTAAGGTTTAATAGGTTTGGCTCTAAGAAGGGAGAGAGTAAAGGAAGGAGTAGTGAGATGAAGACCTAGGTCAGTATGAATTAACCCTTGGTTTATTATGTCCCTGCCTTATATATTTTTAAATTTTATTTCTCTCAGTAAAATGTCTTTTTTTGTCTTATCACAAAACATTTTATTTTTCACTTCAGGAAAACCACATAAACCAAAAGAACATAAAGCCACAGTCCTACCCACCCAGAAATAGTTTTTTTGTATGCCTTTATATGCTTCTATATATTTGCATGTATGTTATCTATTTTTTAAAGCAAACTCTAGAGATCATATATTCATCTGTTTTGTAACCTGACTCTGTTACTTAAGGTGAATATCAGTACACGATATGCCATGTGTTTCTGCAGTATCATTTTATGGCTACCATTATTTGAATTGTTATAATTTCTTTAATTGTCAATTATTATTGGACACTGGACATATAGAGTGTTCCAACTTTTCATAATTACTAAGAATGCTGTTATAATCTCAAGATAGATATTTTTGTGTTGATGACAGATTATTTCCTTGGTATACATTTTTAGAAATAGAAGTTTGGTTCAAAGGATTGTTTTTTTGTTTTTTGTTTTTTTTTTAATTTTGGTTAATCCTTACCTGAGGTTATTTTTTCCATTGATTTCTAGAGAGTGGAAGAGAGGGAGAGGGGGAGAGAGAGAGAGAGAGAGAGCATGCGCGCGCATAACATCTATGTGAAAGAGACACATCAATTGGTTGCCTCTCATACACATCCTGACTGGGACCTGGGATCGAACCTGCAACCCAGGTACATGCCCTTGACTGGGAATCAAACCCAAGACCCTCTGTTGCATGGGTGACACTCTATCCAGTGAGCCACACTGGCCAGAGGTCAAAGGGTATATTTTAGACTTTTGAAATGTACTGCCAAATAATTTTACAGACAAATTATTTCTATATCTATTTCCGTTAGTGATATGCACATCTTTTATTTATTTTATTATTATTATTATTTACCATGTATTACACTGCAGGAGATACAAGGAAATACTAGATATATTTGTTTGCATAGAAATTATGGGCTGGTAGAGACAATACTTCTGAGGGTGAACTCCTCCCTCACATTGTAGGGTATATTATGATGTCTTCAGACTCAGAAGGAAAACTTGTTTAAAACTAGAGTGAGAATAATGGATGAGTGTATGTGTTTCACATGGGCAGAAATGCCAAAACATCCTCCGGCTATGATATTGATACTTTCCTTTCAATTTACAGGCCTCTGTCTTCTCTGCTCCCTTTCACTTACCCTTCATAATAATTCCCAGAATAACCTTTGTTAAAGTAGAGCTGTGACCTTGTTGCTCCTTTTTTCAAAACCAGGGTAGACTCATGATTTGATTCCAGGCTATTTACCACCTTAGCCTTATTTCTGCTATCATCTATATCTGATCAAGCTGTATCATTCAGTTTTTCAGACACAGCTACTATTTTTCTATTTCTTTTTCTGTTTTTTTATTTCATATTCCTTCTTCTACCTGAAAGTGGACCTGATCCCTAATAGTTGTTCTTTTAATCCCACCTGTTCTTCAAATAGCTTTTTCTTCATAAAGAATGCTTTATTTAGCACCTCACTCCTCAAATCCAAAGCCAAACCCTGGTGTGATATTTTTTCCTTTGAACCTGCATAATATTTTGAGTCTCTGATGGGGCACTTGTATTTTACTTCAGGGTATAAGTAATTGTTGACCCATATTACTTTCTCCCACCCAATGGAATGTAAGATTACTGAGGGTAGGAGTGATGCCATTGACATTGTACCCTTCCCACAAGCATATATTATTACACATAGTTTACTAGATCTTCAGTAAATATTCATTATGTAAGTAATTCAAATCTACAAACCAGATTATGGTGTTTGAGTTCTTACCTAACAACAGTAACATTTGGTAATCTATTAATTTATTGAGTGACATTACAACTCATTTCATCTTTACAATCACCCTTTGAGTAATTTTCATTAAAAAAAATTTGTTTTAATATTTTTATTGATTTTATCGATGTGAGAGAGGGAGAGATGGAAACATCGGTATGATCGGCCGCCTCCTGCACATCCCCTGCTGGAGATTGAGCTCGAAACCAGGGCATGTGCCCTGACCGGGAGTTGAACCTATGACTTCTTGGCGCATGGGACAGCACTCAATCCTCTGAGCCACACTGGCCAGGCTCTTTGAGTGATTTTCTACCAGCAAAGTTGAATAAAACTCCGGGACAGTTGAGGACAGTTGTCTCTTGTTTATCAATTTACTGCTCTTTCCACAAGAGGGTGCTATTGGGCAAAGTTTCTTCAAAGTAGCTGCTCTAAATGGGCTTTAATGGGCTGCTCTTGAGTAAGAATTTAACTGGACATTAAAAACCCAGGAAAGACTATTGTAATATTTTGTATGTAATAATTATTATACATTAAGGAAGTACATCAATGACATAAACGTGGGTAGGTGCTACATAAATCTCCTAGGGAACTCTGATTTGTCATTTGAGGCCGTTGTAGAGGTTATTTAATGTACGCAGAAAGATGATAATGGTAAAAGATAATTAACTAGTAATCAGGGCAGCTAATCAGTGGGCTCACCATAGGAAAGCTGTGACTTCACTATGATTTCACATGTTAAAAGCAAGGGGATGTCATAGAATTCATTGCTCACTCGGTTGGAATCTGGACAAAATGACTTCCAGGTCACTTACAACTTTATGATAAATTACATCTTAGAGTTTTAGCCGGAAAATTGAAAGTTGCAGGCTATTTGTAAATTTTTCTTACGGTGACATTTTTTATTTTGCCTAGTGCTGTCTTTAAAATGGCTGCCATTTATTCAGAGTCACCTTCACAGGATGGATGATTGGATTATAAAAACCAGGGGACAAAGGGCAGAGGCACTGTTCAAGTTTCTTTAAAATCTAACTTGAATGTAATGCAATTAAATGTAGGGAAGTTCAAATTCAGAGACAGAAAGTAGAATTATGGTTGCTGGGGGAAAGAGGAGTTTTGGTTAATGAGTGTGGTGTTTTGGCTTGAGAAGATGGAAAAAGTTCTGGAGATGGATGGCAGTGATAGTTGTACAATCATGTGAATGCTCAGTACCACCGAACTCTACACTAAAAATTCTTAAAATGGTAAGTATGTATTTTACCACAGTAAACAAAAGTTGGAAGAAATTTCATGGTGTTCAAATTATCTAAATACTGTGAACTCTAATTTGCATTTAATCCAATAAAATGTAGGGAAGATGTTTCATCTTGTAAAGCACCTAAATAGAACCAGTTTGACTTTATTCTTTTTGTTTGAAGCCATCAAGCCAGTTTGCAGGTAGAGTCATTGCAGGAACAACTGAATATAATCTCCAAGCAAAGGGACGAAACTGCCCTGCAGCTGTCTGCGTGTCGGGAACAAGTAAAGCAGTATGCGCTATCACTGTCCAACCTGCAGATGGTGCTAGAGCATTTCCAGCAAGGTAAGTTGTATGGTCAGTCTTTCAGTGAAGAAAAATCATTGTAGTATTGGGAATCTTGGCTTATCTCAGTGCCATTTTAGATTAGGCATGAGGGTATGGCTATCTTTGAAAGGTTACCCACTTGTGGGGGGAAGATAAGTAGCCATCAATAAGGTAATTTAGACTGCTTTTCTAAAAATATGTCTTTATTGATTTTTTTAGAGAGGAAAGGAAAGAGAGATAGAAACATTGATGTGAGAGAGAACATTGATCAGCTGCCTTCTGCATATCCCCACTTGGGGATCAAGCCCACAAGCCGAGCATGTGCCCTGACCAGGAATTGAACCAGGACCTCTCAGTCCGTGGGACGAGATGCCCAATCCACTAAGCCATGCCGGCTTGGCTAATTTAGACTGCATTTATAATTAAGACTAGAGAACATAAACTATATATAGTAATAATTAAAAATGTACTTTAGTATCATATCATGACCAATTAAGGTATGCATTGGGGAACTATAGGGTAACATAGAAGGATAATCATGCAATAAAGAGGGGACTACAAAGGAATAGAGAGCCACACATAGAAAAGATGGTTAGGTTTGGAGATATTGGTTGGAGGTTGAACCCATTTCAAAGAGTTAATCATCAGTAACTGCTGTCCTTTGAAATATTGATGCACCTGTTCTTAGCTCTTCATCTATATAATTTGAGGTAACTATGTTTTCTAGTCCAAGTGGAAAATAATTTTTTGGAGACACAGTAACAGTGACCAGAGCAGTTTTACCCTGATAACTGAATATGCTTTCTCACATCTACTTCCCATTCTCAGATTTACTCCCCTTAGATCACTCACCTGCCCATTTGTTTACCTAAAATTCAGTATTTATTGGCTGTGAGTTTACTGCTAGTGGGGGGTAGGTGGGTGATTAGGGAATATGAGGCTAATGAAGCAACAGGAGTTACAGTTTTGTGCCTAAATTAAACTTTAAATTTGTACAAATGTATACCTTCAGGGTTACTCATATGGTTGAAATCTTGAATTTTAAATATAAAATTTCTCTAGACCTACTCTATATAATACTAAAGTGAACACGTGTACAAAGTAGTATGGTACTGAGGTTGTAGGGAAAGCTTTGCCAAAGAGGAGATACTTGAGTGGAGTTCTGGAGGGAGGGAAGAGTTTGCAAGTGGACAAGATGAAGAAGGATTTAGGCAGAGGAAACTTATCTCATTACCCTTAATTCCAGTTAACACTGTCACTAAAGCATGTGTAACTGTTGAGACATAATGAACCGTCTTTGTTGAATTAACATTTCAAGTGGTTTAAAATTCTAATTTTATTGCACAATTGCAAAATATACTATGTACCTTTTTTTTCTTTTTAGAGGAAAAAGCTATGTATTCTGCTGAACTAGAAAAGCACAAACAACTTGGAACTGAATGGAAGAAAAAGGCAGAAAATCTAGAAGGAAAACTGATGTCCTTACAGGTTGGTTGAAATAATTTCCCTTATAAATATTACTTATGAAGCAATTTCTTGTAGAATCTTCATCTTAGAAATAATCTCCTAAACAATTAATATAGTAAATATTGTTTGAGTGACTCATCTGTATCCCATGCTGTGGAATAAGGGTGAACAAGATACTCAGGATTTCCCTTTTGTGACTGATGTGAGCAAACAGCAAATGTGAGATAGGACATTTTAATTTTTTGGGCACAGATGAGTATTTTAGACATCATTGAAGAAAAAAACCAAATTTGTCTATAATTTTAACTTTATAATTTTTTCTTTTCAAGAAAATATATTGGGTACTTTATTTCACATGGATTAAAATAATGTATATTTATCTCATTAGGTTTTTTTGCAGCATAATCCTTTAAAACATTTTCTCTTTATTATTATACTATATTTAGTACATACAGAAATTATATATAAGATAATAACATGAACAGATGACACCAAAGTGACTTGTTTTTAGATTTAGGATAAACTTTGCTAAGTCATAAGTAGACTCTGGTGATAGCTGGTGGAAAACAGGCACGTTAATATTTCAAATAAGTGAAGCCATATTTCCTGTAGAGTTTTGAAATTATTAAATATTGAGTGACTGCCAAACAGTAATTAAATATTATGTATAAAATATAAGAATAACAAAACAGCAAATACCCATATACTCACCATCCAGTATAAGAAATAGAAGGAAGTCCTTTGAAGTTCCCTAAGCACCTCTCTTTATCCCACCCCTTCTTATCACCTCCTTTCCAAATTTTTTTTTTTTTTTTTTGCATTTGTCTTCAAGTAGATCAAGAGGGAGAGAAGGAGGAAGAGAGAGAAACATTGAGTGGTTGCCACCCACATGACCCCAATGGGGCCAGGGACAAACTGCAACTGAGGTACGTGCCCTTAGCGGCAACCGAACCCGGGTCTCTCTGGTCCACGGGCCCACGCTCTAACCGCTGAGCCAAACCGGCCAGGGCTCCTTTCCAAAATTTTATGTTTATCACCCCCTTGTTATTTTTTATGGTTTTAGCACATAGATTTGTATCTCCATATAATACATTGTTTAGTTTTGCATATTTTTGAACTCTGTATAAATGGAATTTTGAACTGTATATAAAATAGATAATTTTTCTGAGACTTGCTTTTTTGCTTAGTATTATGTTCATGAGTTTCAGCCATGTTATGGTATGTTACTGTATTTAGATGGTTCATTATTTTTATTGGTCTATTCATTGCACGAATATATAACTTATTTACCCATTTTATTGATAAAGACATTTTCATTATCTGCTGTACAAACAATATGGGTATGAACATCCTTGCTTGTATCATCTGGTACATGTACAAGAGTTTCTTTCAGGTGTGTACCTTGATTGGAATTGCTGAGCCATGAGATATATATGAGCAATTTCACCTTTATTAGATGATGGTAAATTGTTTTCTAAAGCAGTTGTGCTAATTTATTACTAAGAATAAGAATTCTTGTTCTACATCTGTGGCAGTACTTGGCATTATAAGAATATTTTAACTTTTTACCAGTGTGGTAGAGGGGAAGGGCTATCTTCTTTTGATTTTAGTTTGCATTTCTCTAACACTAATAAGGTCAAGCATTTTAAAAATTGTATTTATTTATTTATTCATTCATTCATTCATTCATTCAATTGACTTTTTAGAAAGAGCAGAAGAGAGAGGGAGGGAGAGAGAAACATCAATGTGACAGCAGAACATCAAGTGGCTGCCTCCTGCATGCCCCCTTACTGGGGATCAAGCCTGCAACCCAGGCAGGTACCCTGACCCAGAATTGAACTGGCAACTTTTCAGTGCTTGGGACAATGCCCAACTAACTGAGCCATACCGGCCAGGGCAAGGTTAAGCATCTTTTAATGTTTATTAACCAGTTATGGTTACTTTCTGGTCAGCTCATTAATACATTTAAAATGTATTTTATCTAACACTTTTAGTTGTTTCCATTGGGCCTGAACTATCTAGTCTGTCATACTGTTGGAATAGAAGTCTGACCTTTTTAAACTAGGTTTTTTTCTTTTGTTTTTAATTAAAAATGTAACATTTAAAAAAAATAATAAAAGAAACTAAAGATGGAATTAGTAAAGATAAAAGCTGAAATTAATTAAAAAACTGTAGTAGAAAGAGTAACAATCTAAATGTTAATTTAAGAAAAAGTCTTAGTGTAGTTTTAAGCTTTAATAATGTCTTAAATATAAATAAAATGAGATTTAAAAATATAATTTGAAAACTTATTTAAACTTTCTTTACACTAAATACAGATTTGTGGATTTTGAATATTAAATTTTTAATGGATGGACACATACACACATTGATATATATGATATATATGATATACACACCTATGAGATTTATTGGCAATGTGATTGTAGAGACTGACGAAGCAAGGACAAACTATGCAGGCCTAGCAGTCAGAATAGGAAGATCACTGAATAGGCAGGCTGGAGCTCACAGGCATGGGCCAAAGCTGTTGTCCACTGGTGGTCAGGAAAGGAACATCATCAGCAGGATGGAATTCCATGGGCAGGGCCCAGAGTCGTCCACCGAAGAAATTTCTTCTCTTTCTTGAGGGAAGTTTCAGTCCTGCTTTCAAGGACTTTCAACTGGTTCAATCAGGCCCACCCTAATTATCCAGGATAATGGGCCTTCCTTAAATTATACTGATTGGAGGCTTTGATTATGTATGTAAAATACCTTCACAGCAACAACTAGATTATGTTTGGTTGAATAACTGGGGACTATAGCCTATCCAAGGTGACACATCAAAAAAGGTATCACATTCTTTTTTTTTTTTTTTTTAATCCTCACCCGAGGATATTTTTCCATTTTTTGTACAGATAGAGTGGGAGAGAGAGAGAGAGAGAGAGAAACATCGACGTGAAGGGACACATCGAGTGGTTGCCACCTGCACAACCAACCAGGGCCGGGGACAAACTGCAACCGAAGTACGTGCCCTTAGCGGGAACTGAACCCGGGTCTCTCCGGACCGCAGGCCGACGCTCCAACCGCTGAGCCAAACTGGCCAGGGCAAGGTATCACATTCTTTAAAAAAAAAAAAAGCCCTGGTCGGTTTGGCTCAGCAGTAGAGCATCAGCTCACGGACCAATGAGTAGTGGGTTTGATTCCGGCCAAGGGCATGTACATCGGTTGTGGTTCGCCCCCGGTCCTGGTCGATGTTGTGCGGGAGGCAGCCAGTCGATGTGTCCCTCTCACATCGATGTTTTTCTCTCTCCCTTTATCTCCCTCCCTCTCCATCACACTCTATCTGAAGATAAATAGGAAAATATCCTTGGGTGAGGATTTAAAAAAAAAGTTATCACCTTCTGATTCAAGATGGTAAAACTTGACCTGAAATTTACATGAGTGAATACTCTAGAATAGCTAAGAAAATTGTGTGAAGGAACAATAAGGAAGGACTTTCTTACTAAATATCAAAATAGGGCCATAAATCAGTATCATATTGACTAGATGAGAGGAACAGATGGAAAATTCAGAAGCAGAGCTCAGGATATATTTGAAAAATTAGAACTAAACCCTAAACTAAACTAATTTCAATTTAATAGGGAATGGATAGATTAATGAATGATGTTGGCACAATTGGCTTTCTATATGGAACAAAATTAAATTGGACACCTATCTCACACCATATACAAAATTAACTTCCAATTGTATTAAAGTAAGGCTGCTCAACTAGGAGCGGTACTGGGAGTCTGGGGTATCTTTGGTTGTTACAGTTACTGCATGGGTCTTCTGGCACTTAGCGATCAAGGGCCAAGAATGTTAAAAGCACTCCCATTGAGAAACATTATTTTAAAGATGTAAATAATTTAAAAAATTAATTTTTTATAAGATAATTTAGAAGACCATATATATAGTCTAGGGGCAAGGAGAAGTCTGACCAAGACTAAAACGCAAACAGTTGTGAAAGCAAAGTAGAACAGGTTTGACTATATACAATTTAAGCACTTTTACATGGCAATAGACAGAGCTGGCAAATTATTTGTAGCACTGATGGCAAAGGGTTTATTTCTACTATACAAGGTGTTCTTACAAACTGACAAGAGAAAGACAGCTCTGTAGAAAAAGGGGAAGGTATGCAGAGAGATTTTCACAGAAGAGCAGATCTAGCTGTCCTGTAATCATGAAGAAAATGCTTAAATTTACTAGTAGGGAAATAAAAAGTAATAATGAAACATCACTTTATACCCATCAGGCTTACAAAAATTAAAAAGAACATTTGTTGCTATCTTTCTTGACTTCTGTTGTTGTTAATCCTCAAGGATATTTTTCCATTGATTTTTAGACAGGGTGGAAGGGAGCGAGGAAGAGAAAGAGAAACATCGATGTTAGAGATACATACCGATTGGTTGCCTCCCGTATGACCACCAGTGGGCTGGAGATCGAACCTGCAACCCAAGTACATGCCCTTGACCACTAATTGAACCCTTCAGTTCATGGACCGATGCTTTAACTGCTGAGCCAAAACTACCAGGGCTTTCTTGACTTCTGTATCTGCTTTTTGTAGCTTTTATTTTCTTTGCCTTTTTTTAAAAAACTTTTGTCACCAAGTTGTCTATTTGTAGTAGCCTCTTTTTCTGATTAGTTCCTCTAAAAGAGACAATATTGTGTTGTCAAGTGTGGGTTCTGTCTTTGACGCTTGGTTGCCTGATCTTGCCCAAGGTCATCAGGTAAAATGAAGTGTTGCCCTTGCTGGTTTGGCTCAGTGGCCAGCGGACCAGAGAGTCTTGGGTTCAGTTCCCACTAAGGGCATGTACCTTCGTTGTGGTTTGTCCCCAGCCTTGGTTGGGGTCATGTGGGTGGCAGCCATTCGATGTGTCTCTCTCACATTGATGTTTCTCTCTCTTCCTCCCTCTCTCCCTCCTGCTCTGTCTGAAGATGAACACAAAAATGTCCTCAGGTGAGGATAAAAAAAATAAAATAAAATGAAAAGTGTTGATTAACTCTAAGATGTCTTCTAGCCCTATAGTTTGTGAAATAGTTTTTACATGCTGCTTTTTACTTATTTTTATTATTTATTTATTTATTTATTTTTGTATATGCCCTGACTGGATTGAGCCTGTAACCCTGGTGTATCTGTCCAGGGCTTACATGCTGCTTTTTTTTAAATCCTCACCTGAGGACATTTTCCCATTTTTGTTCAGATAGAGTGGGAGGGAGAGAGAGAGAGAGAAAAACATCGATGTGAAAGGGACACATCGAGTGGCTGCCTCCCACATAACCCCAACTAGGTCCGGGGACAAACTGCAACCGAGGTACATGTCCTTAGCGGGAACCGAACCCGGGTCTCTCTGGACCACGGGCCAATGCTCTAACCACTGTGAAAACTGGCCAGGGCTACCTGCTGCTTTTTAATGAACTTTCCTTCCTCAGGAGCGTTTGGATGAAGCAAATGCTGCGTTGGATTCAGCATCGAGACTCACAGAGCAGTTAGATTTAAAAGAAGAACAAATTGAACAACTTAAAAAACAAAGTAGGTTTTTTTTCTTTTCCTACAACACTAGTGTTGAATCAAATGTAGTTTTCCCCATGCATTGGTACAGCTGAATGAGACCAACTTCCATTGGTGGGTGACTTCCATCTCCATCTCCCATTAGCCAGTGTGCTTCCATTCGAATATGGCCCTAGTGAAAACAGACTCATAAGTTGGCCCTGGCTGACCAGTTAGTTTTCCTTGGTATTGAAGCAATCCGCTTGTGCTGGCTGTGATCTGTTGACCTTGAAGAGGATTGATTTGATTGACCTGACTTTTGATGTGTATGACTTCTCCCTAATCAACCTACCTAAAGCCATCTCATGTGTTAGAGAGTGCATATTGTCAAGTAAAAGTAACTTTTTGTGCAGTGAATGTCTGGGCACAACTAGCTTTTTATTATAGATCATGCTTTACATGAAGACCACTCATCGTGTATTTTTTTATGCTTGTAAGGTTTTTCATAAGCCTTGTCAGTTTCCTGAGTTGAGTCCTATGCTTAGGATTATCAGTTGGGCCTCAGATAATCAGTGGTTCCTAAGTGCTTTGCTGAATCTAACCTCTGACAAAGATGGCATATCCTCACTTAATCTCTGATTTAAGGGTCCCCAGGAAGTTGAAGCTGTCCTAGGGCTACATTTAGTAGGTAACAATTGAAGGTTATCAGAAGGTGATAAGGGAACCTAGAAATGAACCAACTTTAGGTGTCTGAGTTGTCACAGTAGTACCAAGGCACATAATTAAGGAATTAAAAAGTATCACCTAAAATAAAATAGAAATAGGCAAAAATAGAAAGAAATGGCCCAGCAGAAATACTGTCAGACAACAGAAACTGACTTGGACACTAAGTAGGCAAGCAGACAAGACCTCGGAAGCGTGGATGCCAGAGATCAGGCCAAGTTAAGTGGGCCTAAATTCAGTAGGAGACGGGATAAGAGATTTTTAGGAATACAAAAATAGTAAGGTAGATCATGTGAGGTAGTTTTCTCAAAATAACTTGATTCTGAAGCAAATTACTGGCCAACTTAAAGCCCTCTGTTCACTTTGTAAGACTTGGCTGGCCTGGGAACTCTGAATCTCTTAGAGGGCCTGGGTGGCAGCAAGCAAGCAATTATATATTGAGTACCGTGGACATTGTATGTGACATTTACTATATATTTGGTCTTACTTAATTTACTCTTCATAGCAACTTTAAAGTAGGTGGTATTTGTTCCACTTTTTTTTATAAGCTAAAGAAGTTGAAATTTGAACTCTGATCTTTTTCTCTTGACCAAAGTTCCTGTTCTTTCCATGTTACTGTCTTTTTTCCTGTCAGGACAATAGCTCTTTATAGTTTGACTTATATTTATTCTGTATATCTCCATTTCCTTTGAAGAAGGACAATATCCCCTCTGTTGAAATGGTTGCCCTAATCCAGAGGCAGTATTTATTGGGAAAACAGTCTAGTTAGGTTGAAGGCCAATGCAACTACATCGTTCTCTAGGACATGAGCAACTCTGAGGGGACACAAGGGCACCCACGGGATTAGCCAGAGAATTGCTATCTTAGGGTAGGGTTAACTAATGGAGGTGAAAAGGCAGTATTCTGACCCAGGTCCTATGTCTGTGACATCTCGGTGTTGCATGTCATGCTGTTAGAATATCTGAGGCCACATCCCCCTTTAGACATCTATCTGAGGCATTCCCAGTAGACAATGGTAAGACAAAAAAGTCCTATGACTTACTGTAGTTGATAAATATTTATCAGAGTCCCTGCACTACTTAGTACTTGTTCAGGCACCCATTTAAACTCCCAGTGGTGGTAGAATATTTTCATATTTTGATTATAAATGACAAGGCTTAGATGGCCTAGCTCCCTATTTATGTAAAAAGTTACAGTTAATATTCATTGTAAATGTATAGTAGTTTTGGGTGTATGTTGTGGAGTCAATATTAGCAACAGAAAAAGCCCTAATTATGCTGTACAACTGGTATTTGAAAGGGCAGGCAAAGGGCCAGTGTTGCACAGACTGGAAGGGGGGAGTAGAGAGAGTTCTGTTATGTTTTTAAGCTATTCTTGCCATTTACAGCTCTTCTTAACAGTTTGTTTTCTTTTATTATCTAAGTGCTTGATACTACTTTTATATCTCTAAACACAAATGTGATTTTATTTTCTCAAAGCTACACTCTGGATTTGATAATATAAATAAAACTTTGATTGGCTTGGTTGTTTCAAAAGAATCATTGTATATTTTCTTTCATAGATCATTAAGTACTTTAAATGTTGATTGATGTTGTAATACTGTACTTTATTTTTAACACAAAACTTGGCCAGACAGCAAAAATATTTGCCAGGAGAAACAATTTTGAAAAGGACAGATTGGCTTTTGTTGCAAGAAAGTACATAGAGACTTGAATCATAGAGGCAAAGTATTGTTTTATTTCTAAGCATCTGTAGACTGATGATTAGTTGATATGCAGTTTCAACATTTAAACAATATTAGGAAACTCATTTTTAGAAGTGATATTTTATTTGAAATGCTGATTATGTCATTGCTACCAGAAATGAGATGATTCAATCTGGTCAAACATGAAAAGGGAGCTATTGCATATAATACCAGTATTAAAACAATAAATTGTTGATGATTTCAGTCCTTCTTAGAATACGTAATTGTTAGTGCCATGTACGTGCAACTGTGCTTGTGAGTTCGGGTATTTACAGGCTCTGGGTGAAAAGTATGAAGATGCTTATCAAGCATTAAATATTTAATGAGAACCAACTACTTGGCTTCACTTTCAATGCTGTGTGAGATACTAGATAGGATTCCTTTTTTCAAGAAAGTAACAGAGCATAGACACGCCATAGGTTCATAATTTAAGACAGTGGTGCACAACTGTTATCGTGAGACAAGGCATGTTCACTTCCTCAAGAATCCCATTAAGGGGCCAGGCGCATTCCATGGGTGGAAGGAACCTGAGCAGAGCCCTAAGCCAGTAATTTCAGGGCTTTCCCCTGACAATGTGAGAACTTCTTGCTCTCTCTCGTCCCCTAGCCCCCAAGGGAAAGTAACAATGAAAGAAAACCCTAAGGTGATACAGGTGCTATATTTTAATAATGTTGGCTGGTAGAAGAATTAGTGCTTTCCTTCCTTTTAGAAATTATTCTTGCAACATTTTACCTGGAAGTACTCTTTTTCAATTAGTTTCAAAGACTTACTTCATGTCATCCTATTTTTTTATTGATTTTTAAAAATGAAACAGAACAGTGTCTTTCATAAACTATTCTGGGTTGATCAGAGTTCATAATATCTGCAGAGTTGTCATTCATGGGAAAATACACACCTGTGGAAACCTAGACTACAGCTGAACCATTGAAAGATATGTTATCTTGCTGTATTTATGGCCAGACAGGACATTTTCCTTCTTTCACTTCTTTTTCTTTACCATTATTCTTAAAATAAATTCCTGCTTAAATGAAGATGATGGGATAAAATTGAAATAGAAAGTACAAAAAAGCTTTTGTTTTGATAACTATTATTCAAAAGGGTGGTGAACTGTGTGGTACACAAAGAAAAACAAGTTTTCATAAACAATACAAGTGTATGTTCTAGCACTGGGAAAATCTTTTGGCCTGTCTGCTAGTTTATACCCACATCTTAAAGGGCCCCATAACTGATATATATATTTTTAGGGAATGTTTGGTGACTGCATTTTAAAAAGTCTTCTATGAGTTGAGAATGGAAAATTTTTTAGAGTGTTTTTGTTTTTTTTTAAAGAAAATCTAGAAGAATGTAAAAATGAGACCCAGTAAACCTGCTGTAATGTGAAGTATAAAAATATGAGTTAAAGCTACAGATATAAGAGAAGTTTAAAATATTTTTTATGGAACCACCTTTTGGGTGCTGGGTGGTAGAGTTTTTATTTTAAATAAAGACATTCCGTTTTCCAGGACATGATTTATACAAGAACACATATAATGTCGTGTTGAACATAGGCCAAATACATTCCCAGACGCTTTGTTACCCAAACCTTTTGAGGGATTTCTTTATAGATATTTTTGGCAGAAGTGGTGATTTTAGAGGAAACATATAAGAAATACCAGATGCAGTTTTCTGAATTGCCATAAATGGTTAAAAAAGTTATTTGTGATGATATAAACATCTGGGTATACTACACAATGCCAAAATTTTAGTTGAGAAAATAGTTTATATCAGTTAGATAAATAATTAAGCCCTTTTCAACTTAATGGTTATATTTTTACATGTGTGTTTTATTAATTCTTGTAAGTATAAAGGAAAAAGTAAGTTATGTAGAGATAAGAATGTTTTGAATTAATATGTTTTGTGTATTTTTCCTCATATGGATGAGTAATTCAGAACATAAATCATCATTCCTTTTGTCCAGTGTTCTTTTCCTCCCTGATGGTCTTCCCTCTCAGGGAAAAATCAATCTTTCATTATTTATAAAAAATTCATTGTTTGCTGTTGTGTACCAAACACTAAAATAGGCACTAGAGATACAGAGATAGGGGCAAGTGTCCTACCTTCAGAAGGTTTACAGCCAGGCAGAGAGGAAGACTACTTGTAACCACATACATGCAACACATTGTTTCGAAAGGAAGGAGCAATGCATTCTACTTGGTGATGGTGGTGTGGATGGGTAGAAAGGGCTGGTGAAGGGTATACTTGATCTCACTTGAATGATGAATAGGTATAGCTAAGCAGGCCGGGAGTTGGGAAAGAACATTCTAGACAGAGGAAGGAACTCATGTGAAACTATGTGACATAATCTGGAAACTGGCTGAAGATCTGGTGAATCAGTAATGACCAAAGGAGTGGTGCGTGCGTGTGTGTTGTGTGGAGGGCTTGCTAGTGGGCAGAGGTGGAAGTGGGTTGCTGTGTGAAGAAATATTTGTAAGTGTGGATCATAAACACAAATTGTAAACTGAGGCCTGAGGCCTAAATTATATAAAAGAGCAAGTAGGACTGAGTAGAGACTGGTGCATTTGAGAGTGTCTTATGG